TTTACTTCGAAAAAAGAAATGATAGCACAACATGTTACTCTAAGCAATGCATTGGAAGGTAAATACAAAAAGTGGAACAAATTTTAAACCTGGATTAGCGCTAATCAGCCTTTTATCGACCCGGGCCTGGTCGTCTTGTCCTGCACGTGTTTGTGATTGTCTTCGATTTGTGTCAAGAGGATCCTCTGAATTCCTTTTCTTCCTTCCCATCGTTGAGGTTTTCCTAATCCTAACAAGAACAGCCCTGCAAGACTCAAGTCTGACTTTGACACTCTCAAACAATTTGCCTCAATGCAGGACGTTTCCTGACAACCTCGTCCCCAGGGCGCTTTTCTCTGGCTCTTTTTCTGACACATATATAATCGATTCCAAAGCTGAATAGCCTTCAAGTCGCAATATCCACATACAAATTCTCCAGTCTTAGACTGCAAGCAGTCTCTCTTTTTCTTTAGATTTAGTGAGGGGAGTGCACGGGAGAAACGAGGGCAGCAGACCGCTTGTAGTCTACTCCAGACTGGTCTCCATACACTTCCTTAAAAAATAAGTTGGGAGAATTTGATAAAAGATCAAAGCATTTTTCCTTAGATGTCTATTTCATTAATTCTCCCAACCTTTTCTTTTCACTGTGTATTGTTAGGAGAAAATTGATGTTGGTTTCTCTTGGGACGTAAATTAAAGGGTTAACGCCTGGATAGTGATTTACACGTAGCGGCATGCAGTGGTTAGCACTATACAACTCTTGAACAACTGGGGCCTGGTGTAATGGAGCCTCCTTGATGAAAACGAAGACTTGTCGGGAAACAAAGGGTGTGGTGTGTCTGTGACAGTGAGTGGTGTGTCTGCGTTAATGTCAGGGTATGTCTGTGCCAGTATGTGGTGTGTCTGTGTAGCCTGTAGGTGTGAGAATTGGGCGGGTGGGGATTTCAGGGGGGGACAGGAGGATCACTAAAAACTGAACAACAATAGACTGACTTCCACTTTATAATCTCTGAAACAGTAACAGTTTTAACTAGTGATACTGTATAAGCGTCAGACTCGTACATCTATTGAAAAGAAGCTATGGTGGAAGCGCAACAGCATAAACACAAGCGCAAGGAAAAAAACCTTTGGTACTTATGCTTGGGTTTAAGCTGTTTTCCTGAGAAGAAAGTATTTTTGTCATTGCACTTCTGCTTGAGTTGCTGGTAAAAACCAGGCTCGACACTTTATGTACTATATCAAACGCTCAACACAGTGTTCCATCTGATATCCAGATGTCACATCCACAAGTGACTTCAAAAATAAGGAACACCTGTGTTTTCTTAAACCAGGTTTGAGACATCTGGATATCAGATTAAAACGCTGTCTTCAATGGTCAATAGAAAACTTAAGATACACCGTTTCTCCCCTCTAACCCCGGAGAAATGGCTAAGTCACCCAGGGTCAGAGAATAATGATGCCAATCAGGAAATCATGGGTTTCCCAGATATTACTTCGTCAGGAACATGTTCGCCTACCTACACCCATCAGCAGAAACAGTGTCTCTTGATTTTCCTACTAACCCTTGAACAAAATTCAAAGCTTATGCTTAAAGACCTTAAGAAGGAATCCATTAGGAAATTGAGTCATTTTAATTCTCAGTGGACAAAACCCTTGTACCAGAATATTTTAAGCCATATTGTATTCTTTTTACACTTCTCAAGGGCTATAGATGTAATTAGTTATCTGTAATAACACCAAAGACAATTTCTCACGGGAGCCCGAGAAAATAAATTTCAAATTTCCCAGGAACCGAGAAAACACAGGTAAAATTGTCATTTGCAAGACTTTATTTTGTGAAATTTGAGGCTTCTGAAGTTTTTTTGGGGGGCCTCAAATAAGAATCTTTTCTTCAGAGTTATTTCATACAACTTATTACATTTATAGCCCTTGAAAAGTGTGAAAAGAATGCCATAATATGCTTGAAATTATTCTGGTACAAGATTTTTGTCAACTGAAAATTATAGTTACTCGATATTATTTCCCAATGGATTTTGTCTTGAAATTTCATGGCAGTTACGTTCTGACATCGAAACATCCTTTACAGTAGTGATTACTGTTTTTTCCTCTTAAAGGAGCTGTGTCATGAAATTTACCAAAATTCAAACATTGGGAAAGGCCACCATACTGAGTGAAACATAAAAAAAACTGCTGAAAACATTGCCAGAAGGTATAAATAAAACAGCAAATAGAAAAGGAGTCATGGATGGACAAACTTGAAGAAGACTGAAATGGATTGAAGTTGTGTTTTTCTTAAACTTGTTAGCGTAACAGTTTTCAAACTTCATTTTTGTTGTTTGTAACGTTTGATTTAATGCTTAGGAAACATACCATAAAATTCCAAAAATAAGCCCCACCATGTATAAGCCCCCCAAACTCGTAACGTAAAAAGCCCTCTGTTAAATTGCCCCTCCAAATATAAGCCCCCCTCCCCCACCAGGGCTTGTAATTGGAAATTGCCCTCAAATACAAAGTAAAACAAAGCAAAAACGGTAAATTTCCTTCCAACTATAAGGCTAGCCCAATCGATTTTGAAACGTAAATTTCCCTCCGTAGATAAGCCCCTCTGAATATAAGCCCCTCCAAAAATAGGCCCCTCAAAAAGGGCCTTTGAAAAATATAAGCCCCAGGGCTTATTTTTGGAATTTTACAGTATTTGTTTGGCAGGAAGCAGTGCTTTTCACATTAACAAGTAATTCCTCAAGTTCCATAGGGGATAAGAAGGTGTAATTGGCATTATTAAAAACTGTCAGAATCATTGAATAATGCAATTCCAGAGCTCTGATTGGCTTAGCCATCATATCATGGTATATGAGCCATTATCCCATACTCTCCAAATAATTATGGTAACTGTATGCATCTGCTCAAAATTAAAAACAAGCTGAAAATTGGTTGTTTTACAAATAAAGTCGAGAAGAATTCTCGATATTTTGTGGGCATTTTTAATAAAACAATATTATTATTCCACTTGCACCTGATGGATATGAGATGATTATAGCCAACTGGGCGCTTACGCGCCTCGTTGGCTATAATCACCTCATATCCAGTGCCCACTCACGCAATAATTGTTAATTATAAACAAAAATACCATAAAATTCCGAAAATAAGCCCCAGGGCTTATATTTTTCAAAGGCCCTTTTTGAGGGGCTTATTTTTGGAGGGGCTTATATTCGGAGGGGATTATCTACGGAGGGAAATTTACATTTCAAAATCAATTGGGCTAGCCTTATAGTTGGAAGGAAATTTACCGTTTTGGCTTTGTTTTACTTTGTATTTGAGGGCAATTTTCTAAGTACAAGCCTCTGGGGGGCTTATATTTGGAGGGGCGATTTAACGGAGGGTTTTTTGCGTTACCAGTTTGGGGGGCTTATATTTGGAGGGGCTTATACATGGAGGGGCCTATTTTCGGAATTTTACGGTATAATGAACTAACCATCCATGACACAGTCCTTCAATAAATTAGTAATGAGTTTCAGAAAGACAAAGACTACATCAAGATGGTTACAACACTCCTTTAAAAATGTTCATCCACAATGACAAATCCAAGAATCAAAAGACCACCATAAAAACAGTGACTCCTATGAAAATAAGGGTTCGTCTTTGGAAGAACTTGTGTGATTCATTCATCCCCTCGGTGCCTTCATCACCATGAACTTGCCAAATCCAGTCCAGCCAGAAAAGGCAGGTTACTGCAGGGACGATACCATCTGAAGATCAACCTTCATCCTTGATAACATCACAGATAGTTCCATTTTCAGCAATCTTAATGAGCTCTGACGTTATCCAAGACCATTTCTCTCTTCCTCGTTATGTTTCCTGACCTAAGATTACACATGAGAAAGAAGTCCTTGCATGTCGGTTTGAGACATTAAGGCCCTAATAGGCGAATCTTTATTGACGTCATTGTTTAAATTTTTGTTCATTAGCACACCAGTTAACCCATAGAAGGCGTCGTCATACGTACAAATTAGGTGCAAAAGTTGAAAGAGCTGGCTATTTTGACAAGTTTGAGCAATTTTCAGCTCTTTGCAATCAGTAACAAAGGAAATAGCAGCAATCAAAAACTGTGAAATTACTGGGTGGAAAAAACAGTAATGAGATCATAAATTATATTTTTTGTAAACTTTTGAGTTTTTGGAAGAGAATTTCTCCAAAAAGAGTTGGTATATCGGGCTCAAGTTCTCAGGGATAACTGGAATTGTTATGGTCTTTCAATATGCATTCAACAATAATATTTCAATGGCTTGATTAGGGAATGAAATGTGTATGTTAATGAGGCACAAAATGTAAATAAAGATTCACTTATAAGGCCAACTTTCACCAAGTGGATACTTCACTAATATGAACATCCCACTTTTGTGGGGCAGCAGCTACAGTATTGATCAAAAGTAAGTTACCACCCTCTTGCAAAAAAAGATTGTACTGCCTGCTACGAGATTTATGTGCCACAGAAAGTGATTCTCCTAGTGCAACCCCTGGAAGTATTGTAACTAAAATTCTTGCATGATTTTAATGACGAACTGTAACGCTTTACAAGGTGATTCTGAGTAACAAGTGAAAAATAAATTATAACCAACTGGACTTGTTTCTTGTTCTTTAATTAATGTTTACAGTGCAACTACTCAAACCAGGCACTTGCAAGAAGATTATCCAGTCACAACCTTTCTTGAAAACAAAAGATTCAAAGAGTTTTGTGAACAAAACAAGAACATTCAGAAATTGAGAGCTGTTTCCTGAAACCTTAGGTACCTCATAAGTTCAAAGGGTTTTAAAATTGCATAGTTGAACCTTTAATATTATTTTATTGCATTGTTTGCAAAAAAACACTTGAGAATCTTTTGTTTTAAAAAACGTTGTAATGGGATGATTTTCTTCCAAGTGCTTTGGTCCGAGTAGTTGTACTCTAATAAAAAATGGAGTTGACTATGCCCTTTAATCCTGACTACAAAAGTAGTTTACTGTTTCCGAAAATCAAGCAAAGTTCAGTTTCCTGAAAAACAAGAATTACTTACGATCTTGATGATGTGTTCTCGTGATTTTTCATTGCCATAGCAAGTACTCTCCTTGTACGGTGGTTCAATTTTTAAGTCACCCATGACAACAATGGTTTGACCGTCCCACTTAACATCATTAAAACTGTTGGTAAAACAAAACAAACAAACAAATAAGAAGCAGAGATGTTAGGGACTTTCAAATTGTTATTCAGTTACACAGTATTGAGAGGGAAAAAAATTTCATGTTAAAGTACACTGTGCATTTTTTCAACCCATTCAGTCCAGAGCTGTATTATGCACTGGCAAGAACTACTCCAAAATGCAACTCTTTCATTATTTGCAGCTCTGTATTGTAATTTCAACTTGATGGTGTTAAAAAAATTATGTTAAAATCAAAGCAAATCGATGAAAGATTTACTGTGCCTTTTGTGTGGAAAATTATCCGACTTCAAGGAACATGTTAAAATAATTTATCATTGTAACATGTTCCTTGAAGTTGGAATTATTGTGTGTCTTTCAAGCTGGTATGGATCTAGGATAAATACTGACTGATCTCCAAAATGAGTGCCAAAGGTGCAAGCTTCTAGGGGGTACGGGGCTCCTCCAGGAAAGTTTTTGGATTTTTAACTCCTATAAGACCCCTTTCCTGGGTTTCTGAGTCATTCACATGGGATAATGGCCAGATTTCAACTTGGAAAGTGTTTTTTATTATTAAAAACATATTTATTATGAAAAATCTGACAGATTTCTGTAAAATGGTGGAGGCCAGTGTGGATTTGTGCCTTGCAAGGCGAAAATTTTCCAAGAATAAACACATCAAACTTACGTTTTATTGATGGTATCAAACAGCTTTTGTGCTCCTGGTGTCACATTGATTCCAATTTTGTCTGCTGCCCGTCGTTTTTGCTCCAGAGCAGTATTTATTTTCTTATCAAGTTTTTCCACATCTACGATAGGTAGTGACTGTGCTGGTTTTGTGGACAGTTCAATAACTTCAAGGCTTTTCATAAGACCTATGTTCAGCATCTTAATGTCTGTCACATTTTTCTTGGTATTTTTTGTTGATTCTACAACATATTAAGGATTCATCAAACTAATCAGATGATATTTCCAAATTTCAATGAAGGAGCTACATGTCACAATAATTACCCTCTGTGACTTTCCAAGTCCAAACATTTATGTTTTCAAAAGCGTGAGATTTTTAGTTCAAAGCAATTATTTTTCACCAGCTCTTCTGTGAGTAGCCAGCACTTCTTTTGCTAGTCACCAGAGCTTATGGGGAACCAATAATTAATACAGCTTTCACACCCTAACCCTAATGAAATAAAAAGATTACAGGAAGTTGTCTGAACGTCATGTAACATTTTTAGCTTTTTAACTTGATTTAATTTATTACTTTACATCAACCAATTTACACCAGTGTGTTAACTGTAACATTCTGGCCATCTAAACAAAAATCCATGGTTACAGCTTATACCATCTTGAATGCTGCCAACTTTTGAATCTTTTATGTCACCATGGATATTACTTATAAAAGTAAATACATGAATATAAAAATTAATAAAATTTACTTCCATCGTAAGATGACCAAATAGTTTTAGTTCTTTCTGTTTGCTATTTATTCAAAAGCAAAATGTCAAGATTTTCACTTTTCAAGTCAGTTTAATTGGAAATATTGCCTGGCCGGCAACCTTGAACTTAAATCAGCATTTACATAGTTGAACAGTGCCAGCTTTTTTTTCATTCAACCATGGACATTTTTTTTGCAGACGGATTCCATGTTGCAAAAGGAAGATGATATGTTGCATGTCGAATTTTGTACAGTCAAAATTCATCCACTTTATACCGTCATAAGCACATAAACAAAAACATAACCTATTATGCAATACTTAAAGTATTGCATGGTATAAAATAATTTTATTCTCCTATAAAATGCATTTTCGATACAGGTGTTGTTACCCACTTTTTTCCCCCGACACCAACTTTAAGAATTAATCCTGAAAGCAAGGGCCTCGACTCTCAAAAACTATTCTCAGCTGCATATAAAATGAGAAACTCAAATTAGCAACTGCTTAATTTAATGAGTCTGCTGTTCCGATATTAAAGCTCTCTCTTGAATTCTTCCTTTCCGGATGATCTTACGTAACGTAAAGAAATTTTAGATTTCTTTTCGGCTTGGGTAAGCTTTAATTATAAGCTCAACTACTCAAAGTAATAACAAATTTAAGGTCAACCTTTTAGCTACGTGCTTGCTTATTTGTTATTTTTTTAGTTTCCGAACACATCAGATCATATCGAAGGATCAAAAAATGAAAATCTTTTTTTCATAGGATCTTTTGTTATGGAATAAAATTTCTCAAAAAACCCGTCTCTTGATCTTCAAAGAAGGAAACAAAGTTCTCCTTGTAGTCAAACACGAAGTTAAGTTGAAGTTGTACATGATTAAGCGTAAATTCTGACATTTGCAGAAAGATAAAAAAGTAGTAACATCGATGATAACTTTTCCTACAACTCTCTTGATCACTAAACATGAAAAATTGAATTGTTATGACAAACAAGGAAAAAACTTTTCAAAAGACACATTCATGTGTCTATCGACCAACTACATACGATACTTCACTGCCAAACACAACTCATCGGAATGAAAAAGGATACTTATGATCAAAACTTTGGCTCCGTAGTCAAATGCCACAACTTCTCCTTCAATCTTTTCATCTAAGCAAGTTGTACAAACCACTTTAGTACCCGGTGGAATGTCTCTACTTTCTTTCGCATCTCCGGTAGCCATATTTTCACCGGTGCTTTTTACCCATGCGTGAAAAATGCAGGAGTTCACAAGGCTTCTCAGTTGTTGAGAATTTATATCTCCATCAAAACGCTTATGGAACGTTTCCCCTTAAAAATGATATCTAATCTGATACAAACCTGGAGATAAAAATAAAGCGTCACTATCTTAAGACTTTTAGGCAACGAGTTTGTGCCTTTATGACATTTATCAAGCACATTTTCAAATATTAAGCGCTGGTATTGAAAGGTCCTCTATTTGAATTTCTCCTCGAGGTACTACCAGTAAAACCCGCTGACACATTTCAGTTTCACAAAACGAAAAAAATAAAGATGGCGGACGGAATGGTGGGTTTACGAGTTTCTTTGCATTTTCCTAGCTAGCAGAGCTTTGTATCTACGTTTTTTAGTTTACAAGATAATTTTTTGTTTTATTTTAAATTTCTTTCTCAATCTTGCCCTTGGTACAATGGAGAAATTAGGACTTTAACAGTAGAAAAGAAAAATGAAAGTAGATATTCCTTGAAAATGCGAAGATCTCCTGCCATTGTGTTGCTATTGACGGAGAATTTTTAAATTAAATGAGAGGCGTAACAGTCAAAAGACTGATGAAGTTAAGGTGACTGTGTAAACTTTTACTTATTGCTGAACTTTATTTATCATTTTTTGTCTTTGAATTGATGAAATTGTAGAATAATATTGATGAATTGTTAGTTGGTTTGGCATCCATGGGATTTGAATGGGAAGACTGTCAGTCAGCGATAGAAGCAGGAAATAACACACTGGAATCCGCAGTGGAATGGTAAATATGCTGCGTATCAGACCCTCTAATATTGTAAAGTGCTAAATGCAGAGAAGATAATTAAGGCTAATTTAAACGGTACAACCTTTGCTTATGACTATTGTGTACGACTAGCATATGTCATGAGTTCACGTCAGATTGTGTCGTGTAAATGAGACCCATGACATCCATACAACATGTGTGGATGTCGTAAGTAAAAAACTGTTGGCGTATGTATGGTCGAAAATCATGACACATGCTAGTTGGGCACAATAGTCGTAAGCAAAAATCATACTGTCTAAGTTGTCCTTTAGAGCTACCTACAGTTACCTATGCCTATACAGTTACCTATGCAGTTGCGAAAAGAAAGCCTGAAAAATTTAAGCTTACCCGGATTGGAACCCTAACCTTTGCAATACCAGTGCAGCGCTCTAACCAATTGAGCTAGAATGTGAACTGGGAACTGGTCATTAAATTTTTTTTGTAATATACCCTACCTGGGGAAGATGAAGATGAAATTAATGATGAGGGGTGGGGGGACAGCATCCTTGTGAATGTAATGGTTTTTTTTTCTGAAAAGGGCTATTGTTATACTCAGTTCCACAGACAAAAACTTACCTTGTTGAGCAGCACATAACGGTATAACCCATACATGGGAATACCTCCTCAAGAACCCATTCTGACTGATACTGGGATATGATTCTGAGCGATCAAATTAAATTCTTTAGTTATGCTTGTAAGTAGCCGTATGGTTTGCTTCCTACTAGTTGGGGTTTTTAATCATGGTTAATAAATAACGGGTGGTAGATTTCAGGTCAATTAATATGGACCGATGCCTCATTAAACCCACACCTCTTCCCCCCCCCGCTTCCCATCCCCCACCTCCTTGCCCAGGGTAATAAAAAATGCTGCTTCAATGCCTTTGATTATTGTCTTTGGACATTGGTTGGCTGTGTATTTTATGAAATGTCGCGACAATTATTGAACTAATGTGTGGTCATTGAACTACTTTCTTTTTTTACTCTTTTCCTGTTCTCTCAGAGAGGTTTTATTACATGCCTTATTTACTTATCTGAAATATTACCTCAATAGGGCTACTCTGTAAATTTAAGGTAAAATAAAGTTTATGTTATGTTGATGATGTCTTTAAGCTTGTTTAGGTTTATGAATGAGCTATTGTGTTTTCATTGCATTACACTGAAACAGAAAGAACGACAGGTGATGTAGAAGCAAAGCATTTATTTTTTTGTCTGTTTTCCAGGTTGATGAGGAAACAAGCTGGTCAAAGTGGTGCAACTAGAGAAGAAATCAAGTCTGATCGTGTGAAAGAAAATAAGGTATGCCTTCCTGTTTTATTAACTTTGTTGAGCACATTATATAGTCATCATGCCTCATTATGTCTTAAAAAGACCTTGGATAAATTTCATTTCACCAGTTATTTGGAAGAAACCTTCTGTTGTAGCTATGGTGAATGACCTTTATACAGTTAACTGTAATTTTCTACAACTGCTTATAAAATGGTTGAGACTCCTTTGTCAGATAAGCACTTTTTTGACTTTAATATACCTCAGCAGGAGAAATCTTTTCAATACAAGGGATTTCTTTCCCTCTTCAATATTCAAAGTTATCATTCAATAATTGCAGGGGGTGTGAGGGGTGGGAGATGAAAGGAGTATGAGACAAGTTTACTTTCTTGTTGCTGCATCCTCCCTCAAGTAGATCTGCCAAGAATAGTTGGTCATTGAACAAAGAATGACGGCATATATGCCAAGACTCCCTGGTTATCCTTGAGTCCTGTATATGGCACAAATCTTCCAGTCTCCTGTACAGATCACCAAATCGCCCAGATGAAATTGAATTTTGAGCTTTTCTATGCTTTAGTGTGGAATTTTGTCCATTTTCCTCAAAAATAATATTATTCATAATTTTTTTCGATCATTATATGACTCCTGTGGCAGTTTATGCAATTCTTCAATGGCTCAAAAGGCAAATTTTGATAGTCTGTACTTCATGTAAGACTTGATATAATGTCCTGGGACACATCCATGTTATAATATGGGGACTCGGTCACATTGTGTTTTTGAGGGATGGACCGAGGAAGGGGATTGATGATGGGGGTACTGTAAGGGTCAACGTGATATGTGATATAATTTCCTGGTTTGTCCAATTAAAATGGCGACCTACTTGTAGTCACATATGTTAAAAATTAATATTACTTCCTTTCTGAGAGCTTGTTAGCTTTTTTTGGCTTGCAGTTTTTTTGATCTCTACTTGATTGGTCTATTTTTTCAAACATCTGCATTGATTGATTACAGTCACAAGTTACTTGTATTCCAAGTCAAGAACCAAGCACATCAGCTGGTGGTCCTGTGCAAGTGCCAACTCACTTGTCAAGTCGCTACACAGTCAGTGAAGAGCATCAGAAAGCCAAGCAACAGTTTATGGAAAAAGAAAGAGAAAATGCAAGAATGGAAGCAAAAAGAAGGAAACTGATGGAAAAAAGAGTAAGGACATACCAGATTGTTCATTTTCATTCATTCATTCTATAAGGGGTTCCTTGCAACAATGGCAAACTGATGTTTTTGCGTTAAAGAAGCTCTCTTGAAGATATGTCATTATTTTGATCTATTTTTTGTATCAGCATTTGAGAATGAAAAGTGCTCTATTTTCTTTGCATTACAATATTAATACATGGATGTCCACATTGAGAGCCTCCACCCCAGTATCTTTGTAAACAAGGTTTGACTTAGGGCAACGGAAAGCGCGGCTGGTTAGTGTACAGCCTTCTATACAGGAGGTTAAGAATGCAATTCCCAGGTGTGACCTCAAATCCTTGCTTGGACTTCCTTCCTTTCTGTGTAGCTTGAAGTAGCTTCAACTACCATAAAATGGAGCACTAATGTAGGGATGAATGTACCATTGATCTCAGGTATGTCAGGCTTATGTGTACTGTTCCAAGTTACCGACACAGAGGAAGGACCTTTGACCATATCATCTTGTTTCCTGTAGGCTCGACAGGAGATTCTTCAACAGATAGCAGAGGACAAGGTGAACAGACATGAAAGAAGACTAACAAAACCTGGAACACATCCAGCCACATCTCAACCTGCTATCAGTGCTAGCAGTGGTACACCAAAAGAATGCTTGAAGGATCGGAAACAGTGTCTGCTTCAGGTACCATAATTATTATTTCCTTGAACGAGTACCCCTGCTCTAATAAGCACCCTCCCCTGAATAAGCACCCACCCTCTAGGCTATAATAGGGAGCTTAAGCAACAGCAACAGTGACGGTGACAAAAACTTCACTTAAAAAGTAAATTTGCACTGCCTCAAACTTTATCATGTGTATTCCATCTCGTTTAATTTGTCAAATGTTGGCAAATTTTTTTGGAGTTGAATTCTAAAGGATGTCCAACCGGATGATCATACTCAACCTACTTTTGAAGTGACTCCTGGGTTCAAACCTTTCACAGTATATATTTTCTTCACAAAGTGATGAAGTCTTACTTTGTGAATTATTCTGTAGAGGGGCTCTTGGTAACAGACAGTATTTTGCTCTGATAATGTTCATCTTTGCCAGGTGGCTCTCTAACTTTTTACTAGGTGGATAAAATCAAACAGTGCATCCTGTTCGACAAACAAGATTCCTTTAAGGAGTGCTTTCCAAATAAAACCTATCAAGAAACACAAATAACATCACTTCTTCTGATTGAGTTAAATATGTTTCTTACAAAAACTGTTTCAGATCAGAGGTCCCACTGGACTTCTTAGAAGAGAGACTTTTTCTCCTGATGCTAAACTAGAAGAAGTTATGCTGTTTATCAGAAGCCAGTATCATCTAACCTCTGACATCTATGATCTGTTACAGGTATGAAACACTAAGATTAACTTTTCCTGATATTACAGTACTGAGGTGATATAAAGAGGCCCTGCCAGGGTAAATTCCGACAAGCGACATGGCCCAAAGAGTAGAGACAGCTTGTAAAATGAAATCGCGACAAGAGACAACCTCCCTCGGCCAAATTGCAACGGTGACGCCAAAGCTGACAATAAGCGACAAGCATTTATAAACACCAACACGAGGCATTTTAAAATTCAGATGGGCGACATGGGACCCTCCCCTGGCAGCGCCTCTATAAAGGCAATGGAGAATCCCTTTTTCTTGCTACTTAGGGTTAGCAAATTGAAGGTTATTCAACTGGCTACAGTCGTATCTTAATGAGCCTGCATTTTTTAAAAGCTTGCACTGTCAATTTTTCATGATTTTTTTTTTAATTTGAGCATCAGAATCAGCTTTTGAAAACTAAAACTCAAATGGTCCATCTTGCCTGCTTGGAATTTCCAATGTTTTCAATGCTAGAAAAATGTTCTCTTGGTGGGCCATGTAATTAATCTTTGGAGACCAAGCCCAAGATAAGTACTAAAACGATGATTTAACAGTGAACATATCTAAATTTAGAAAGAATTAAGCTGCTCTTTCAGAGGTCATTTGTTGATTTCTTTTCTGGCACCCTTTCAACATTCAACATCTCTATACTTCCACATCTTATAAGGATGTATGCAGTGAATTATTTTGTATCTTTGGGGATCCTTATGTGTTTGGGTTACAGGATAAATGGTAACAAAATCACTGCGATAAGTGGCCTTGCATCATTATTGAGAACTGGCTTTAAACCATTTTAATATAGCACTAGAAACAAGCAACAAACAACTTTATTTTATTTCAAAATCTTGGTTACAAAAACACAACTGCAAGCAGCAAAGGCTATTTTAGGCAAGGTGTGTAAAAATATTTAGGTAGATTGGTAAAATAAGATGTAAAGAAAAAAAAGTGTTATAAGAAAAAGGAAGAGTAATTAGGTAAGACAGAAACAAAGTCTTCTTCCTTTGTTCTGCTCCCTTTCCCACCCCCACCTCTGCCCTAGAACAAGATAACCTGGAAAAGGTACCCATCCCTTGACACAATGGGCTAGACCTCTCTTCTATGTTGCCTGCAGGGAGACTGTAACAGGTGTCAATAAATAAAAAATGAAGCTTTTTTTGCAGCCATTTCCTCACAGGATATTTACTGCTGCTGATATGTTGTCGACACTAGCTGGTCTTGGACTCAGCCCAAGTGGCTCACTTGTGGTAAAGAAGAAAGATTGTGACCAAGCATCAACAGGAACTGGTGAGTCAGATGTCTCTTAAAGTGTTCTACAGTGGAACCTGGTCAATACAGACACCAAGGGAAAATGTGATGGTGTCTTATTAAGTGGGTGTCCATATTAAGTGAGCTTTCAGTAAAAACATCATGGAAACATGGCTTTATCAATATGAAGGTGAAAGTAGACATTTTCACGTTTTTAATAATCTATTGTAACTGTAACAAGTTCATCATAAAGAAACGCCATGATCAAGCAGTTGTCTGTAGAGCGGGGTTCCACTGTAGCTGATTATCAAACAAAATATTCTTGATGTAAATATATAACAAGATTTGATATTAAAAAGATATAATCTGGAACTAATCATTAACTTTTGCACTGTGTCTTACTCTTAAAGAAAGCAACAAGTCATTTTACATCACCATTCTGGAGCAAAATGGATGTAAAATTTGATGAGGAATAGAGAACATGTGGTTGCAAAGACTTTTTGTTCATTTCTTATCTTCACTCTTCAGCCGTAGTGGTGGTAAAAATTTTTTACTTTAAATACAGTTGAACTTCCATGTGTGCCAACCTCCCATAAATGACCGCTAATCCAAAACAAAGCCTTACAGTTGGAACCTCTTATAAATGACCACCTTCTGTAAGTGACTGTGACCACTTTTTGGGCTTGATGGTTAATGATTTTCCATTGTTTTTAACCTCTTGTAAGCGACCACTTGATGCATTCTCTGATCTCTGTGTTTGCTGTGTGCACTATGCTACTTAGACTATATTATGAACTTTAGAGATAACATGGAACTACATGTGTCATAACTGAGACATTACTTGCAATAAATCATCTTCCAGAAAGTAGATGTGCCTGGACCTCTTCTTGGAAGAGGCCCCCTGGGTTCGATTCTTGTAAACGACCACCTCCCGTAACCGACAACTCAGTCTTTGCATTTTGGGTGGTTGCTTAGAGGAGGTTTGACTGTATAATTATAGGTCATGATTCTGCTGAACTGGATCCCAGTGGTATGCCTACAGCCGTATCTACATGTAGAAGTGAACTGGGCAGTCCTGGGAATAGCAACAATAGTCAACCATTACACAGAAATGATGATAATGATGATGATGATGATAATGATGATGACAATGATAGTATGCACAATTCTGATGAGGAAGAGCAAGAGGGTGTCCCAAACATGTTCAACAGAAGCCCTCCACCAGAGTTGCAAGATTTCCCTGAAATACCTCATCCAAATGTTCTGGGTATTGGGGGATTTAATAATGCTATTGCAAGGGGGCGTGGTCACATGTGGGGAGCAGGTGTCAGACTTGGTGTAGTGGAGCATAACCCGCACAACATTGATCCTGTGTTGATAGCGCAAAGCCCTGGGGAGTCGGCTGTTAGAAGATTGGAGATGAGGCAACATTTGCAGTCTAGGCCTGAGACAGGTAGGTACATTGTAGTTAATGAAGTTAATCTTAAAAAATCGGCCACATCTACCATTTTTGTAGAACAGAAACACCAAAAATTGAAGCTGAAAATATCTCAGTTCATCCTGGTGAAAAAATTCTGGAAAGACAAGATGAAAGTCCATTCTTCCTTTTCTATTCCATCTAGAATCAGGGTTGAAAAAAAAAAACTTGAATTTCAGCTTGTCCTTTGGGCAAGCAGTACTCACAGTTTGCCTGCCTGAGGCCACTTCTTGCTCATCTTAGTTAATGATTTTGTTAGAGGATGATTTGCCTGTGAGCTTTAAAAGTTACTTTAGTTAGTACCCAGCAAGGAAATTTACTTGTCTCAGACTACCCGACAGGACTTTCTTCAAGCCCTGAGATTGTGAGGAGAATTTCTTTGCCCTTTGCTTTTTTTTTGAACCACACTTGCAGGATGGTGTCCCCAATATATTATTACACCCTGACAAGGCTGAGACAGCTCATGAATGAAAAATATTATCAATGGTATTTCTTGAAAGGCTTTTTTTGTCACCTTATTAAAGGCACCAGTCGTGTAATTCAAGAGGATCAGCCAATTCTCCATCGGGATGTTCAACGTCTTGAAGACTTGTGTATCAATCATGTCGGTCACCGTCTTCCTGGACACCAAAATCCCATCAGCAGCCTGGGAACACTTCCTCATGCTGTGTGTGACAAGATCCTGATGCATCTGATGAAGAATAAAAGTCTTTCACCAAAGGCAATGCAGGCATTTATCTCTTGGTAAGTTAGTAGCTCCTACACTTCAATTAGTGGGTGCCTCCCCCCCAAAAAACATAAAAAATTAAATCTCTTAAGAATCTCATAAGAAATAAGTAGTACTATGTTTACAAACATTCTGTGAATGAAGTTTTCTTTAAATGGTAACACCTTAGGACTACATCCACAGATTTAAAAGGTTTAGTGACAAAAAATCTGATGGTCACCATAACATGGTCTAGTAGTGAACAGGTAATACATACGCTTGTGTCATGATACATCTGAAACTAAATGGACAACATAGTGAGTAAATGTTTGAATTATTAGGCCAGTTCAGCCCTCTCTCTGTCACTCAATGGCATCCACCTCTGTCACAGAATCCTAAGGTTGGGTGATAGAAAGAGGAACCTAAAAACAGGACTACAGAAGTTTTCCCATCACAGAGTAAGGATCAAAAGAGTGATGTAGAGTCCTATATTTTGGGGACCAATTTGATACTAGAGAGCAGAACTTTGTTTCCTCTCTTTGGTTATTATGCTTCGGCAGAAGACAATTCAAAGCCTTTGCTTTACACTTCTCCCTTTTATGGAGTATAATTTAATAGCAATAAGTAGCTTCACTAGTGTAAGTTCTTGATATAAATTAGGTTAAAACAGGGACAGGGAAAGTCAACTCCTGACTTGTTTAATATCCTTTTAAATATTAAATCTACTCAGTACCTTAATATTACCCTTTTTAGTGAAAAAAAAAGACACTTGCCCAAGCCAAATAAGCTGGTTCAGTATTAATTATCAGGTTTTTTCTCATAGTTTTTTGATAATTATTTTAAACTTTGCCATTTTTTCAACAGTGGCTTGCACAATGTGAAGTTGGATTGTTATCCATTGGTTACTAATGAACTGCTTATAGCTCTCAGGTCAGATGTTAACGCTAACATAGTCATCTTATTAGTGAACTAATACATTTAGATAGATTTAGCCAGGGCTAAAAGCCAAGCTCTCGATTATATATATAGTTTAATCAAACAAAATATAAAATCATGTTATGCTAAGCGGCGAAGGCAACGGGAATGGTGAAAAAACAACAATAGGTCTAATAAGCAACAAAAAACAATTTTGCACGTGCAGCACGCTTTCTTTTGCACGTTTGTTTGCCGTTGTTTTGTACGACCACAACGTTAAACTTCCAGAAGCTTCCTGGTTACACGTTTTATGTCTTACCTGTTGTTGTTCACTTTTTTTCACTCGCTCATTTTCACCCTGATGGTCATTAGGATTTCTCATTTTCTCGACACCGCTAAAAAATTTTCATGTTGTTCTTCCAACAACTAGCTCCTTATCTTCCACTCTAGCTCTCTGTCGCTCTTTTTCTCGTTGAGCTTCGCTGGCCTGTTGCCCACTTTATTTTTTCTCCATATTCCAAATTTATGGACATGACAATAAATTATTAATGTAAGCTTAATACTTTAGACAACAAGGACACAGAAACAATTTTCGCTTTCCATTTTTGTCTTTATTGGCGCTTTAGTTGTCTCTGATTCGCAAAATGCGGTTGGCTATGCGGTTTCCCGCCAAAATAACCTCGAGTTGCATTTGGGTTGCCATACCTGTTGGTTGAGTTATTTTACATTGGTATGCCTGTGGTGTGGACGGATGGTCAGTTGAGCGTATGGTCACGTGATTACCAAAATTTTCTCAGATGGGTAGATTACCAAATTTTCTTGCCCATAGTGCTTTACTTTGAACGCTTTGGGTGCGTGGAGCTCTGCTACTACACCTGTATATTATTTGCTCTATGTCAAAGTTAGTTCACCAACAGTGTTATTGGCGTTATAAATTTATTATAAATATCTCCATTTTTAACGGCTTAAATGTGTCAGCTAATTCTTCGTAACCAGCAAGTGTTGAACAAACTTAGAAAATATTTTAAGAAGGTTAAAACCCTGTTTAGGAAAAACTTTTGTATTATACCCTGAAGTGTGTCCATGGGAGTCCTGTATTGTGTCTAGACCACGAGTAGTCGTCCTTCTTTCCTCAGAGCCACACGAGGCGAGCAAAAAGTCAAAATTATGCAAATTACTGGCCGTTCACCCCTTGAACGTGCCCTCATTTCTCATGCTCGCATTCTACCTGGTCTCAAAAGAAAAATTAAGAGACTGTTCACAGTCTATAGTGCGTCAAACTTGCTGAATGTTTCAATCTCTACCTTTTCTAATTTTTGTAACATAAATTATTTACTATTTAAAGTCATGGGGAAAGCACTTGTGGCACAATCACTTTACTTTTTTACTTTAATGATACTGGGTTTACTTGAAGAATTTCAATCATTGTGAAGTCAAAGGGGACAAGGCACATGAAAATTTATCTTTTAATAATATGAGGATTTAAACCTTTAATGCCTTTTTAGGACTTAACATTGACATGTTAGGGAGCAAGGGTGGTGCAGTGGGGCGAATCTCGGCGTCGACGCCATATGTGGGTTGAGTTTGTTGTTGGTCCTCTCCTTTGCTCCAAGAGGTTTTTCTCGGGGTACTCTGGTTTTCCCCTCTCCTCAAAAACCAATTCTTCCAAATTCCAATGAGATCTGGAACGCACGGACACGTTTAAACGAGTTCATATGAACTCTTAAGTGCTTCGTGGGTAAAAAAAAGCAATTTGCAGTTTATTTAATTTATTTACACAATTTGAGACATATGCATGGCTACACATGAACTCTAACTTTTTATTTAGGTTACACAGACATCTAACTCATCTTAGTTTGAAGTCATGCCCTCTCATAACTGACAGAGCACTTGAAGCTATCGCAGGTATTTAAAAATTTTTTATCTGCTTAAATTATTCAACATTGGCCATGTATCCTTTACCTCTACAGGGGCGGATCCAGGATTTTTTTTGGGAGGGGGTGCACTCGTCTCTTGCTTTACTTCAACACCAATAAACCATATAGTTTTTTTTTTGCAGAATACCAGTTGTATTAGAAAACCGCAGGTCATCTCAGGGGGGTGGGGTGCACACCCCCTGTACCCTCCCCCTAGATCCGCCCCTGCTCTAGTTTGTTTCTGTGGATATCAAAATCCTCTGATTTTAACACACTTTGGCTTTTCATTTCACATACTTTGCTTTTCAGTATTTTGCAGAAAATAAATTTTGTGAGATTTTTCCTGATTTATTTTTGCTGTAATGACAACTTCTAACTCAATTTTATGACATTACCATGAAAACCATCTATAGTTTAAAAGCAACCATTTCTGTGTAAGGGAATGCTAATTACTGGTAAATATTATGCTATGTTATGTTAGGCTAGCTAAAGTTATGGAGAGGTTCTACTGTTGAAGATGGGGACTTATGATAGTGTGTTCGTACAGTCGGTTACTTTATTCAAACCTGCTGGCTACTTCAATTTTTATTGAAACCCCTGCTACACTACTTGTAAATTACAAGACTAGTGTAATTTAAGTTTTATTGAATTGACCCAAGGATCTTGGCGTTCTTAGGTGGTACCATTGATGACTAGTTCTATTTTTCTTTAGTTCTAAAGAGACTGAAATCACTCAACTTGAGTCAGTGCAGCCAACTCACTGACAAATGTTTCCACCATATTAAAGGTAAGGAGAAAAGACAGATGTGGGGCCCACAGTTTTAGCTTTTGAAAGAGGTTCTTTGTCATTCTGTTATTGTCTGTTCTCTTGTAGAGCTTCCATCTCTAGCGACATTACAAATGGATATGACCAAAGTAAGGGAAATATATAATTTTGTTATCAAAAATGAAAAGAAAATAGTCTTTTCTATGACACGTAACTCTGACACCAATCCTAAGAATCTGTAAGTGATTGAAATGTTATGTATCACCCTAGAAACATCAACATATGATAATCATAATTAGATGAATGATCGCAAAAACAATTTATCCAGGAGCATGAAACATTCTTTTCAGGGACAATGTAAAAGGATGTGGCCATCAAATTCTCTAGAATCTGGAAAATAACTTCTTGGAAAAAGCAGGATGGTGGAGTGCCAATGTACTCACCCTTCTTACAGCAGTGAATAACTATGTATGTGGGTCAACTCTTTCATATGATGAGCCGCATCAATACAACATAACCTGGCTCTCCTATTGCGTAAAAAAAAAAATGAATATTGCAACTCTCCCAACTTTTGGACAAGAGGAGCCAGTCCGTCTTCAAGCCTACATCTGTTATCATGTTGTCAGCGCTCACTGTAATGTCATCAATGATTTAATTTCAGATAACTGATGCTGGAGTTTGCCATTTTATGGAGAATGCTGCATGTTGTCCTAACTTGGTGTACATTAGTTTTAGTGGAACCAACATCACAGATCACAGCCTTCAAGCCATGCGAGGTGGGTTTCGGAATTCTTGATTCCTGAAAATAAAGGAAATATTGAGGGATTGTACTCAGTTCAGATATTCGTTTATAACACTTCGTTTTTCATTCAAAGTATATTTCTCCATTTCTGATTGACTCAAATTTCCTGGCTAATTCTCCATAACCAGCTAGTGTTGACCAAATTTGGAAGAAATTCTATTCAGGACTACGCCAACTTGGATAATCGTAGTTAATCTATGTACATTTGCACATGGTTTATTTATTTATTTATTTGCCACACAAAAGAAGTAAAAATACAGCAGACAATATAGAGCAACTAGAAAGAAAAAAGAATAGACACCAGAAAGCTTATGTGAGACAAGGCCGCCAGTTTGTTAAGCAGCCATTTTGGTATATCATTATCGTTTGTGATATGTTTTCCTTGGAAAAAGCATTTAGAGATTTGGCTACCTTTTTACTATTAAGAGCAGGTTTATGACTTTGTCCTGGGTCCAAAGCTGGATTGACCTCTGTCACTCTTCTGTTCTTTGTGTGAATAGTTAATTTCTGCTTTTTGCTTTGTCAAACCAATGTAGACCTCAAAGCCCTCAAGGTTCTTGTCATTGGCAATACAAAGGTAAACTACAACAATGTACATTTTTGTAGCATTATTGTAATTGTAACAGCACTGTAACATCCTGCCCAATCTTCTCATATGTATAAGAAAGCACTGTTATAACTTAAAGCATTGTGACAGAGCACAGGTGGGCCAAGCTCACCTCATAAGAGCTACAAATGTGACTCTACTATGATTTGGGGCATGTGTGTTGCATTCCAGTGATCTGGACTATAAAGATGAGTATGAAAACAAGAGCGTCCAGTCTTAGAAAATTACTTTTTTCTGCAACGATTTTTAATTTCTTCTATTTAGTGTTGCATTTGCTGTTTTTCATCACTGCCTCTCAGGTTGATCTAACGCATTTATGGTGAGTTTTTCCCATTGTGTTTCCACTGCTAAGAGAAGCACTACACTCACTGTAAATGCTAATAAAGTCACTCTGTAGAGTCACATTGCAATAGTGTCATGACTCAAAATTACTTTATGACACAGACCTGGCCTGTCCCATTTCATTTCTATGAAATATCCATGTTACCATTATCAGATTTTTATGCACCTTATATTTTTGTATCTTTAATACTTACTTTATATTCTGCATGTTTGTAAATACAGTCGACTCCCGATAACTCCAACCTTCGCTAACTCGAACCTCGCGCTAACTCGAATCAAAATCGATTTCCCCTGGATTTCCGTGATACATTCACTGTAATTTTACCCTCCGTAACTCGAACCCTCGATAACACGAACTCCCGCTAACTCGAACTAATTTTCGTTTCCCCTCAGGTCATTTAATAGTTAACTCGATAACTCGATAACTCGAACAATGTTTTGAGCCCTTGAAAAGTCGGGAAAAAAGTCGTCTACTGGCGCCCGAAACATTGAATTTTGGATTTCCTATTGACGTGTTTTAGGAGTATAGTTTACTAGTGAAGGCTGATGTTGATTGTCACAGGCTAACGTGAAACAGCTTTTCTTCTCAAAACAGTAAAACGCATGCTCTATTTAGGCTATGTTTTGTTGCGTTACGTTCTGATTTATAATCTAGAGGTATCTTTTAATTTTCACTTGACATTTCTACAATTAAATGTGATTAAAATGTTCACTGTGCAGTAGTTTACCTTACTCTCGGCTATTTTCTTCGAGCTCCCGATAACTCGAACTTTTTTCGATTTCCCTTGAAGGTTCGAGTTATCAGGAGTCGACTGTACATCCTATCACTGGTTACTCTCCTTTGTTGAGCACCATGCATGTGTCTTAGTTTTCAGTTTGTGGCCCTCCTCCTCCTCCTTTCAACTATGTGTTGATCGATGAATTTGCTTAAGACATTTTAAAAAGACATTTAAGTTTGATCTTGGGTAGCCTGTGTACAGAGCTGCTCTAAGTACTGTCAGTAGTTAGTGGTGGTTTGATGAGAAGTGTGCCTTATGATTTTTCTTAGATCTCTTCTTTAGAAGTTGTCCATCAGTTACCCCAGTTGGAAATGCTAAATGTGTCACACACAGAAATATGTGATGATAGTTTGGTTGCATTGGAGAATCATCCATCCCTTGCGTCATTAAGTCTTCTTTCAACAAACATCACTGATGATGGGCTGTGTCATCTGCAAGGTGAGATCCTGGAACTACTATTCGCCACTTTAGAAGCGAGAAAGAAACTGGATCGAGTTAACTTTGGTAAAGACTTCTGGGACTGTTACGTATACTAGGGACAGGGAAAATAGAGACCTTTCCGCGAACCAACGTCATTTTGGCGGGAAAATGTGGTATCCGTCGTCAGTCTACTACGAGGTTTAGCGAGAATGTGGTAATGGCGAAAACAAGTTAATATCAAATGTTGGAAGTTTTATCATTTAGCGATCGGAAGAGGGCTTAACCTCCTTCAAATGAAAAAAGCCTGCTAACTTTTGTGGTGAAAAAAAGTGCGTTGAAGCTTTCCGGGGTGTCTATTTTAGAGAATAGGCGAGAAAACGTAAAATTAAATGTCGTCCTCGTAACTGTCCTCGTCCTTGATTGGCCAATAACTGACCATCCCATCCCTAGTAACAATGCCCAAAACAATTGCGGGACACATTTCTGCTCCAATTCCCGCCTTGTTTTTAAAGTGGGGAATTTTTTCAAGTATTAAGCTCCAACGTCAAGACACCGACAGATTGTTGACTCCTGTTCGCTGCTGTCAACAATTTTCTCTATGTTCTGACCAACAACAGGGTTTATTGAGAGTTTCCGAGGCCACTTTATGCTATCAACTCAGTTGATGCCATATGATTTTTTTGTACCTCTCTCATAAAACAGTAGATTACACATACTAATTACTGCTGACTTAAAGCCTTAACTCTTTGGGAAGATTGCAACAGTCAAGACAATCAATACCAGCCTACATAGAGATTTCCTTTAGACTGGGGTTCTATCAGTTGTCTGGATAGTCTAGTGTGGCGTCAGAAGTGTTTCCATGTGATTGTCTCACCTAATCTGTGTGGGAGGCGTTCAAAAGGAAAGGAAATAAGGATTTCGGGTGCAGGAGAAGCGCGCTCAAATTCCCTACCCCTTCCCTTTACCAAATGTGTTCAACTGAATTGTAGACTGTGTGGCAGTTATTCGAACAAATCATTTGAACAGTTTTTGATTCGATTTGAGCTCAGGCCTCCTTAGATCTGCGATCAGCTGATATCACCAGTCTTGCAAAGATTGTTCAAGATTATATACAATGTGGTTCATTTCCCAAGGGTCTTCCGTTATCTGCAGTAATACGTTAATATTAACGACATTGAAGTTTGCGATGGACAGTCTTACCAAAATTATTTGTTAAATGCTCACTACTTAAATTCAAAGGTTTAAAGTTGTCGACTGTCAAACTGCCCAACAGACTACATATTACGGACCAAGGAATAAACAATATACAAGGTTAGGAAGATGAACTAGATAAAACCCAAATCCATGTATTTTCTCCATACTTCGTGGATTTATTTGTGACACATTTGCCTTGTTTGTTGAACCTGACGCCTTGGTGGTCACGTTTTCTAGGCCAAGAAAGAGCTTGTCTAACAAAATGTGTTCGGTGGCACGAAAACTCACGAAATTTTCCCAGTACTGTCGAGCGCCCTCTTTATTTCTAAAATGGAACAATAATTGACGGGTATTTTGGCAAAATAAACAAAAATTTGCCTATTGTTAACGCACGTTTAAAGCCAGCCAATTTGTGACTAAGGCAGCTTCATATAGCTTAGTTTCTGCTGGCTTAGCCAGACTTTTCCAGGTCTTACTTTGTTTCTGTGCGGCCAAACTTCAGTAATAACCCACAATCCCTTGCTTTATTTTCAGCATTGAGTAATCCTATGGTAAAATAGTGGCTAAACTTTAATGCAACCCAAAACATTTTGGGAGAAGACAGCATTTAGATGTGCTAAGCTTAAACTTAATTGCAATAACGCATTAGTAGAATGAATTATTTTCTCCATTGCAGGCCCCCTTGGTAGTTAAAACAATCTTGTCATGCATTGCGTATCTTGCAGGCCTCCCCTTTGGTTACTGACACTGTATAGAAATGGTACAGTGATAGCGTGAATGATTTCTCTCTTGCAGGACTCCCCTTGGTAGCTCTTGACCTCTCAGATTATATTCACATCACAGACAATGGCGTTTACTCAATAGCACACATGACAAGGTAAAAACATTTGATATTCCACATTTTGAAGAACCCTGTGAGTAGTGGCCACTCTTTTCAATAGAACTATCGCAAAGAGGTATCCCCTGGTCGAAGGGTAGTATTAAAGAGCACAGGTAAGCCAGGCCCACTGTTTGCGTCACATACGGGTTTCATATGGCTAAATATAGATAACATATGGGGCGAAGTTTAGGTCTGGAAATTTACTTGAAAATGGAAATGAAAATCGATGGAACTTAACATGTGGCGAGTTGTTTCCCTTAATATGTACACGAAGTTTCGGGAAAAATACATGTAGTCTCCTTCACCTTTCCTTCATAGTTTTAGAGACTATACTAAACTTCGCCCCATGTATTCTCTATATTTACCCATATGAAACCCGTACGTGACCCGAACAGTAAGCCTGGGTAACCTGTGCTGAAGAGCGGCGGTGAAGTGTATTTGAGCAGTTTGAAGGAGCTGTGTCTTGAATTTTATCAAAATTCTAACGATAGGAACTGCCTCCAAATTGAGTGAAACAAAAAAATAATCGCTCAAAGTATTAAAAGAAGGTATCAATAATACAGCAAATACAAAAGTAAGTACGGATGGACAAACTGGAAGAAGATTAAAACGGATTAAAATTGCGGGTTTTTGACGACCTCTTAGCCTAACAGTTTTTTTCAAAGTTAATTTTTGTTCTTTGTCACGTTTAATATAATGTTGTATACATGTTTGCCTCTACTTCGTTAAATAATAATTTAAACATTCCATTGTTACCCTAACCCTTTTCTTAGATTAACGCAGTTGTCACTTAGCAATACAAAACTGACAGATGATGGAATGAAAAGTTTAGCAGGTAAGGCTATATTTGATTCCTGAGGCTCATAATGTTCCTGTAAACAATTCCTTTTCAGACACGATTCATGCTCAAACAGTACCTCCACACTTGACACACAAATGAGATTAAATACAATTTAACAGGGTAAACAACCAAGAGCAGCCAATATGCTTATGGCGGTCAGCGGCAGATGAGTTCGGCGCATGCTCCGAGCACTCTTAGTCGTAGCCTCAAAGCACATTTCAGTGTATTAAAGCTGACAAAGCTGGTGGCGGCTTTTTTCGGTGAAGTGCGTTCTTCATTTTCAATTTTGCCAAAGCCAGAGGAACCCGGTGTGGTGTGCGGGCTAATCGCTGAGGGTTTACGGTCATCTCGCCGCCAACCAAATCGCCCCAAAGAACCAAGGAATAACTTTTAAATTTTGGACACAGTTTAATACGTAGGATTACTCACCTAGGGTTTATACTTTTTTGAGAAACTTATTCGAATTTGTAGTCGACCCAAATACAAATCTGTCGATCCTTGCGTCGAAATTTTTGTGCTCTTAATTCTTCAAATGCTTCGGTGAAATTAGTAAACTTTGACATTTTAGAGGTAAAAAAAAACTGACAGAAAGTTTCACAACCACCAGCAGTCATTTCTTTGAAATATGATAAAACAGTTGCCTAGTCCCTAGGCCTCATTATTCCGCGCGGCAAAAGCGTTTCGTGTCACGTGGTCCATGCGAAAGTAAAGGTTAAGAGAAAATAGTTCTTTTCATATTAATTTATGGTGACGATCTCGTTGGTGGCGAGGTGACCGGATAAATGGCTGGGTTGCAGGGATTGCCAGTCATGGGAGCGGTTTTTCTGTCCAGGGGCTGGCTGGACACAATAGAGGCCCCTGTAGGCATTCCAGGCACCCATCTTCCTTACAATGCGATGCAGTTGGTAATAGGATTTTATCCAGAGCCTCAAAAGTTAGTCCTCTCCAGATTTGTCTTTGGGATCAAAATAGTCACATATTTCTTTTTCTGGTTTCTTTCAACAGCACTGACTGAGCTTGAGGAGCTGAATGTGGACAGAACGCTGATAAAGGACGATGGGTGTACTGTGCTCTCATGTGAGTACTACCTGCTGTCTGGGTTAATTGTCTCCTCAAAAAATTCACCCCAAAGCAATTCTCTGTCGCAGACTATTTGTTCCCAGACAATTCGTCCCAACTTAACTCCAGACTCGTCCCTACAAATCTGCGGACATGTCAGATTCATTTCCCAAGATCTCTTCCAACTAAGATTGTACGTCGAACGCACCCCCCAAACAATTCTTTCTCGCATAGACTAGTTGCTCCCAGACCCAACTTAACTCCAGTTCGCTGCTGTGAATCTGTGGGGATGCCAAAATCGTGTCTCAATATCCGTTCAGTCAATCAACGAAGGTTACCCAGTACAATCATGCTCCATTCTGTAATAAGAGTGCATTGTAAGTCGAACACACGTGTCCCCTAAGGAAAATCGCCGCTAAAACAGTACCTTATCACATGGAGTGTTTGCTCCTAAAAAATTCTCTCCAACTTAACCCCAGACTCGTCCCTGCAAAACTGTCCTCTGAGCAAATTTGCCCCCCCCTTCCCCTCCCCCCAAACACTTCTCTTTTGCAAAGACTATTTGCTCCCAAACATTTCGCCCCTACTTAACTCCAGTTTGCCCCTGTAAATCTGCAGCAATGCAAGGTATGCCAGAATCGTGTCCCAGTATCCGTTCAGTCAAACAACGAAGGTTGTTCAATTTGTCTAGTCCCTAGGCCTCAGGGGCGGATCTAGGGGGAGGGTGCAGGGGGTGCGCACCCCCCCCCCCCGAGATAACCTGCGGTTTTCTAATACAACTGGTATTCTGCCAAAACAAAAACTATGTGGTTTATTGGTGTTGCAGTAGAGCAAGAGACGAGTGCACCACCTCCTAAAAAAAATCCTGGATCCGCCCCTGGGCCTCATTATTCCTCGCGGCCAATTCGTTTCCGCCCGTTCGCCTCGGATATGTCACCGAAGTGAACTGACCGAGAATAATTGAGAAAACGCAGTACAGGGACTGGGTAAGAATACAATTAAGCTCCATTCTGTATAAGGAGTGTGTTGTACGTCAAACGCAATGATCAGTCTGTAAAGTAAAGCCGTTTGGATCAGTTTGATTTCAAGACAAATCTTTACGCATGAAGACTTTCACTTTCAACTCTTTCATTTAGATTTGTTTTCTGGCCCACACAGGTTTTAGACACCTGCGTATTCTTGGTTTATCATCCACAAGAATAAGTAACAAGCTTCTACTGAATGGCACTTTAAATCAGTGCAAAACCCTAACGCAGCTGAACTTAAGCAGAACTAGGATATCAGACAAGAGATTAGATCAGCTGGTATTGCCAGTGCTGAGTCAGTTGAATCTTGATTGGACAAGAGTCACACCTAGCGGCTGTCTTACACTTCTTACAGGTATTGATTCTCTTTGAACCTTTGGGTCATGAAGGCGACGGGCGCGCAAACAAGCTAAGCAAGCGGCGGGCGAGAGGGGTGAAGCCGCGATAAGATTGGGGCGGGAACAAGATTTTTATTCCTCTCGCGGCTAACTCGCCGCTTCACCGCTAGTTTACGCACACTATCCTGCTTTGCCGCTCACTAACCTTAGCGCTTGCTTGCGTGCGCACCGAACAAAATTGCCAGCTATGCTGACTATTGTATAGAACGTGGTTGGTTGGATTTGATATGGCAGGTTGTTTTAAGCTTTGTCACTCTGTCATGGCCTTGTTTGTTCGGTTGTTTTTTGAACAAAGGGAAATGGCCATTGTTGTTTTTCTTGAGTTATTTTACTGTAGACACCAAACTAAGGGTTGCTCATTAAAATGGAGTTAAACCGCATTCTGGGCCTTTTTTGCTGGCAGCGGCTAGGAGGCTTAAAGCCGCATTAGAATTAACCTGAGTATCAGGCTTTTTCTTTCTTTTTTTTTTTTTTTTTGATACTCAGGTTACATTGTAGACATTAGAGTACCATTTAGTTAGAGCTTGATGTTACGCCCAAATATATGCCAGTATAATGTGTCTAACCCTGCTAGAGCGTAATAACCATCGAACCAATCATTATTCAAACTAAGCGTATCTAACCTCGCGCCCCGCGCTAAGGGCGGGAAAAGCGAAAGAACAACCCGATTAGGAGACAATCACGTGGTACGGGGTACCGAAACCGAGACGAGAATCGCTCCATTTCAAGTATTTTTTGTTACTCCCTTTAAATTTTTTTCGACCGTTTTTATTATGTTTAGGTTGTCCTTCGCTTAAAGCCTTGAGAACAAATAATTGCACGCCGCCATCTCAGGATTCCGAAGATTCAGACGAAGAACAACAGCAACAATGAGGAATCGCCTTCAAAAGCAGATATGATGTTTACTGACAAATTTTGCTGTCTTCAACCCTCTTTCACAGATACGCAACATTTTATAAGATAAGAATAACATGGTGCATTATGTCTCACAATTCTTAGTTTGCAACCACGTGACAAGGCGGCCATGTTGGGGGTCAAACCAACAGAATTTTTTCTCGATCAATTTACATGAAAATAGAGTTTAGTTCCCAGAGGAGATAAATCCTTTTGTTCTTGACCACCAGCATCGCCGCCGTGACGTCACGTGCAAGCCAGCAGTACTTTAGATCTATGGCGATACAAGCTGTAGTCAGATTGGCAATTGTTTTTGTTCAGGTTACTGCTTAATCATTTGAAGAATACCACTGCTGACTGAAGTTGTTTTTTTAGGTAAACACTTAGGCAGTAGACCCTTCCAAGAGTTTCAACGTTTGAACAGGGCTCTTTAGCAAACATTTATCTACACTGCTGGAAAGACACCTTAAAACGCAAAACTTTTTCGTGGTTTGTCAAAAAAGAGCAAGGATATGGCTTCGTAAAGCCGCAAAATTGTACAGACATTTCTGTGGTGGGACTCATAAACTTGAATTATAACTGCGTGACTTTACAATGTGGTATCTTCGTTAATTTTCAGCAAATCATTCTTAAACTTGGCAACTTTATAGGCTGAATTTCAGCCATCTCCTCGAAACTCTCCCAGGAGTTTGCGATTCGAGGAGATGGCTGAAATTCAGGCTAGACAACTTTAGTGATTTTACGGCTCTCATTACAGCGGTGTCGAATTAAGAAATGGTTGAAGTGTTTATTTTACAGGTAGAGATTCCCATTCATAAACAGAGTTTTCAAGTACGAGTTTAGCCAAAAAAATGTGTGGTTTACTCTGCTCACAGTGGATTTTTTTCGGCACGGTTTTTAGTTTTGACGAAGTTATCCGCTTGGGTTGCTTGTTAAACAAGCCAGCTACGCGAACTTCAGCGACGCCAGCGACTTCGTAAATGATAAAAACCATGCTGGAATGAAACCTATGCTTGCAGGGTGGTTGTGGTTTAAAAGTATTTTTAAAAAAAACCATCCAAACCCAGCAAGTGAAGTCAAAGTGATTTCTCCTTCTGTATTTAGTGGCGTCGTTACACACTGAAAAACTGAACGTTGTGTTTTTTCATCAGCTTTTCAACATGATTTAAATGTATTTGAACTTGAAGAGAACTAAAACGTTGTTGTGGTTTATGTAAATGGTCCACGAAGGACCTTTCTTTTTTCCTGCCAGAGTGAACGTTGTCACTATTCAGGGGCACCCAACGACGATTTTCGGAAAAATATCTGTTCGGAAGACGATTTGAGATCTAGAATTTTCGGAACATTTGTTGTAAAATTTCTTGCTTGCCTGCCTCTCCTAGGATTTTCGAACATCTAAAAAATGGTATAATTGCCTATTTTTAACGGATTTTTACCCTAAAAAGGTCACCTAGAATTTTCGGGAGCCTTTTTCTGGCTGAAATTTTCGAAAAGGCGAGTTTTGATCCCTATAATTTTCGGATCACTAGACTTTCAGCTAGGAAATCCGAACAGATGAAAAATTTTTAGGGGATAAACATATGCCTTTATCTACCGTTTAAATACTAAAATACGTTTAACAATGCTATGTTTAAGTGGTTTTGAACTATATCCTCGTTGGGTGCCCCTGACTATTTCACTGGAGCTCTGAAAATTCAAAAGACAAACACTTTTATCGAAGGGTAATTTAAGTATCTCTTTAGAACTAAAGGAGACATGTAACCGATTTAAGTGGAAAAGAAATGGATAAATAAACTATGTTTTTCGAAATAGGGTATAATGTTGGCTTAGTTTTGACCAATAGAGCGAAAAAATCCCAAATATTCTCTTTGTGACCTTTGTGTTTTCTCAGAAACATACATGTATTTGGTTGTACGTTTCTGGTTTTCTACGTTCCAGAATCAAGTGATCCTAAGTACTGTGCAAGAATCGCCTGTTTTAGGCGTTTAGATGGCGGGGACGGTACAAAGAGAGGTCCACGCTCCTCTAGCTATCATAAACGTGCAACAGTTTTGTGAAAGAAAAACCGTTCTTTTCTGCCGAGAGTGATCGAGCCGAGAGGCAAACTGGAGAGAGGCTCGCTCGAGTCAGTCCGCAATACTTTTTCTTTTTTTTTGTGAGCATTGAAAGAAAAACTGGTCGTGGTACTTAAAAAGAAATATTTCAAGAACTTCACGAATGACACGAAGTATGACATCATGTTGAGCCCGCGAATGCAGTCCTGCGGATTCGGCCAGTCAAATCACGTGAGTAGAATAAACCGCGTGATTTGATTGGTTGCTGTCGTGTGTTTGAAAGAAAAAGAGGGAAAAAACGAACAACATGGTTGCATGACAGTCTTGTGAAGGCGGTTTCTTCTTCGTTCAAAATTGGTTTTTACAGTGTGTTTTTGAGGCGTTCAAGCTTATGAAGGAATCCGTTATGTCTGTCTCCTCGCTTGTTGGAGCTTTTGATGACATCGTTCGCTCCACTTCAGTCCTCGCCGAAGGAATTGAAGGAGGTTTGTGATCCGATTCTTCGCTTGTTGTTCAATCATTGCTGGATCGTATTGTCCATAGTGTTGCTTGATTTGTCAGCAGATAAATGCTTTTTGAAATTATGAACGTTACTTTGACTTTTTTCTTCTGTTAATCATTTCAAAGTTGTGAAATCTAACGAGCTTTATTCAGGAATAAGTTAAAAGCAATTCAATCAAAGCAACTTGCAAAGCTTTCAGTTCTTGAGTTCAGTTCTTGAGAATACATTGTCTTAAAAGAACATTTGAATCATTTTACCCTTTCCTAGAATTCATTAAGTTCGTTACACAACAAGAAGAATGTCGGAAGAAGTGGCTTTCTGCCGAGAATGAAGCTATCCGACTAAAGCAAGAGATCGCAAAACTCCAGGTAACATGTTGGACGTTTTGTAATTATTAATAAACGAATAATCCTTTGGTGGGCTCTTTCATTTAACTTTCTGTTCCGGGACGTGAGCTCAAGTTTTAACAATTTAACAATATTTTTCAGGCTGAAAATGAAGCGCTTGAAGTTAAGTTGAAGCACGCAAGGTTGGTAGATAAATGTCATAACAAAATAACAAAACTTTGACTTAAGAAGTTGAAAGAAAAACGCATGTTTTGAGCTGACGTTTAGAAAAAATTCTCACTTCAGAAACCAGAAAACCCGTCAAACATTTATAATGCTGTAGTGGTCATACAGCATGACAGAGATTGATATCAGAAGATGCAATACCGTATGTTGTTTTTTTAGGGTTGGTTTTACACAGTTTATCTTTGCTTTCCAGAAGCCAAGTTGAAATAGAAATCAAGAAGAGGATGAAAGCTGAAGCAACTCAAGACCATTTGGTAGGGATTTACAAAAGTTAATGTCATAAAATTTACAGGCCCTAATTGTTAAAAAGTTGGATATAACTTTATCAATTGGATGAAATCTATATCCAGTCAAAATGCATATTGGTAATACTTATCTGCTGTATAGTGATTTATCCTGTGGATAGTGCTATCTAATGTTTGAACAAAGGGTGCCATAAAATAGTTACTGTATTCTTTTCTGAAAGGACATGTATCTGGCTAAGTCACCATTTTGGTCGGACAAAATAAAAATGTGCTTGAGATCAATCAATAATCAATGCATTTCGTTTCCTAAAGATAGAAAAATTACATCATGTATGACAGGTACAGGATGTGTAGGTTGACTGATTACTGCCTTACCTTCACACAGTGTGCAAAGGAAGTTGTGTCCAATAGCCCAGGGCTAGTGGATTTTGCTATTGGGTTAGCGAATTCTCTTCTTAACTTCAGTGCCCAACTGGCAAGTGAAGTATTTTTGGGAATTCAAATTACAGAACAACTGTTATCAAAATCGTTTTTTGGTTTAGTACATGCTAATTACAGCATGCCCGAATGGCAGACAAGCTCTAAAACCGACTTTCTTTGCACCCTCAGCCTCACAGCAGCAATATTATTTTGTTTTTGTACTTCAATTTACATTTGCTCAAGGTAGATTTTATTTATCTGCAAAATGATAGTCTGGTATTAACTTTTTCTGGACATCATAAATAATCCAACCACAGTTAAGATTTTGTTAGAAATTGACCAATTTTAGTCTGACCCCTAGCCTAGTCCCATCCGTTCATCCAGAACAAGCAGAATTTTGTGCTGGACAAGGACCTTTTCGAGCTCACAAGCAAAATGTGATGGAATTCAAGGTTCATAGTCGTGCTGTGAGCTGCACACCACATCAAACATGGAGTTAGTCCCTGCCTCTCTAAGATGGAAACACCTGTCTTGTAGAGAGTGACTGTTGTATTTGTTAGTGTCACGTGACTATTAAAATATTTGTTGTTTCATGTCATGTTACAGGAGAGACAAGTAGCATTGATCCGCGAACTGTTAAGTGACAAGGACACCATGAGCAGGTTAAATGACAACGAAAGACAGACGCTAATGCAACTGAGCCAGTGTCACCATGATGATATGACCAGTCCAAGGAAAAGGTATGAAAGCCTTAAGTCAAATACTTACGAAATGCAACAGCTCAGTCAAAATGTTTTTTTACGGTAAGCAGGATAATGGGTACAAAAAGTCAGTTACTTGCAAATATTTTAAGTGTTTTGACTGGGCTGTGTAACATTGCCTCCCTCACATTTGTTGATGAGTAAGACAAGTTTCCCAAGAAGTTTGTTTAGAGACTTTTGGTGTTGTATCATGGACAGATTTGTTCCCCTGTTTCTGCCAGTAACTGGTGCCTCAACATATTATCATTGTTACAATCCTTTCATGAATGCAGTCATGGGTCATAGATTTTCACAGTGATACGGTACGAACCTGCAATCAGTTAAACACCTCTTGCAGAGCTGTCAATAAGGATCGTCACCTGTAGCATTTGTTATGGCTGAGATCACTTTATATTACTGGTGATCAAAGAGGAAAGTTATAAAGTAAAACTATAAACTTTGGTGAAATGTAAAGGTGAATATTCATTTACTAAGGCTCCTTCTAAATTTAATGACAGTCCTGTCTTGGGTAATTTATTGGCCAAGTAAGGGCAGTATTACTGTCTAAATTTATAAGGACCACTAATTACCAGAGAGCCATTTCAAAGGGTTGCTGAAAATTAGTGGTTTGTATTAAATGTATTGTTTGTATGTTTGTATTAATTAAGTGGTTTGTGTATTGAAAATGTGATGAATATTTGTCATATTGTCATCAGGCGCTTAAGTGTTCAGGATGAATCCACTGGTTCTATCTTATCTCCATCGGATATCAGTTACGACAACACAGAGGATGACTTGGTAGGATTTAGTAATAGAAGTAGTATACAGTCAATTCTTGTCTTGCAGATACTTTGCTATAACGGACACCCCAATAATAAACTAGACATTAATCCCCTGCAGAAAATAAATAATAAGAAGAAAACAGATGTTTGATATAAATAAATCCCCTCTATTATGGACCTTTGCTGTATGATATGAACTCATGGTCTTGATGGTGTCCAAAATACGCAGATTTAGCAAAGACAACATAATGATAGTGACGATTGCACACGCAGATCTAAAAACCGATTTTAACCAATGGTTGAACAGCAGATTGAGAACTGGAAAATACCCTCGATTTTCCAGTGTTTTGAATTTTCATTTTACATTGCATTGAACCCATATATTTTTGTTAACTAACACTTTTGCCTTTTATTAGCTACCTGTGATAGGCCCAATACATGAACACCAAACTAAAAAAATATTGACATGCTTTTATTTTACTAGGATGTCTCTCAACCCAAGAGAGTTTCAATACACAGAAAGGTATGGAAAACATTAGAATTCAGCCTTTTGTAAATGAAAAATAATTATTTTGTTTTATTTATTACATTGTGTGTGTTATAAAAGTACCAGGAGAGTCATGGGGTCCTGATTCAGCTGTTGAAAAATAATATCTGCTGTTTGACATGGCAGTGAATTAGGGGTATGTAGTTAACAGATACCATATGTTGATGAAAAGACAGTTTACTTAGGCTGTAATCATAGTTAAGACCAAACAGGGTATTGAGTTGAAAGCAATTTTCATTTTTAACTTAAGGAAATTACATGGTTAACTACTTACTGTAGTAGCACTCTAACTAAATATTGTATAATTTTTATTCCCTAATTTGCAGCCTCCTCCCACAGCTCCAGAGCTTGATGTAAGTTAAACACAGTGAAGTTATAATTGATGTTACATGTAATTTGATAGGCAGTAATCTAACATTTTAAACGTACTGTGTTCTTGCCCAGTAATTTTGTAATTATGACATTCAAAAAAATTTCATCTGGCTTCGCAGACTTAATCTAACCCCAGTTTGTAATGTCTGCAAGCTGCCCTGATATCGCTGTTCTGATCCCCCAACCGAACAGTCTCAACGAATTACCAGAAATGCATTTAGAAATTTCCCGTAAACCTGATTGCCAAATCAACAATGGCTTTTTAAGAGGCCAATCATGGTGCGCACTCAAATCCTAGTACACAGACCTGTGGGGGCCTAGAATACAAGGACTTTGAACTGTTTCACAGATGAACTTAACCTTCTGGGCCCAGATGTTCGAAGGCTGATTAGCACTTAACCGGGATGAAATTTAACCCGGGTTTTGTTTTTCTTGTGTGCAGAAGCATTTTCTCGGATAATTTTCTCTGTTATTTTTAAAACTTTCAATAATCAACTTGTAGACAAAAAGAATTAAAACTGAAAGGATTTTTAAGCTTTCATATGTGAATTCAAATCTTGCACTAACCCTGGGTTATCTTAACCCAGCTTTGAACAACTCAGCCCTGTTGGGTAGGCTATCTTGAAATATGCAGTGTATATGATATTTTCTCAAATCAGCGAGTGCTTGTGCTGCCAAAAAAGTGGGTACTCCATCATGAGCAAATCCTAATGTAATTGGAATTATTTGCATACATTTTATTCAGCGGAGAAAATTAATCCAAGTTTTTTCTGTTGTTCTTATTTATTATATTTATTTATTTTTCACTTTATTTCTCTCAGGTTACTCCTCCTAAAAGGCCAAGAAAGGATGAGGTAGTTCTTTATTCTAAGAAAATGATATTAAAATAAGAAATTGTTGCGATTTGCAAAGTACAAACTTCTGTACATTCTATGGCCTAAGTGCACAAAGAAGAAAAAACCTATTACAAAACGCACGTAACTGAACATACACTTAGGTACATTTCCTTATGATAAAAGCCAAAATTTCATTAGAAAACACCCACTTAGTTGAATTAGTGGTAAATGTATGTAAAAATTGTGACCTGCTTTTCTCCCTCATGACCCCCTTTAGCAGGTCCTGTGGATCCCAGGGTAGGAAATTCTGTTAAGAACACCGTTGACTGGTGCATGTTTCTCATTGGTGATTGTTTTGCTTATTTACCATTAATCCTTTTTGTTAGTTTGTGTTTATGACATAGATAGGTTTAGTTGAGGGATGATTTTGTCTATGACTTACATGACTTAATAAGTTTTAAATTACTCAGTGGATATATTCTTTATTTTGATTTTTCAATTTGTGAAATACAGCATGATGCTCCAGTGATTGTACAACCACTTATTCCAAGCAGTCCAGTCCATGTTCCAGCTTATCCAAGTCAACAGACCTATGTGCAACCATCCGCTCCAGGTAACCTTTTTAATCCTTGAATTGAAATTTTATTCTCCACACAACTGCTGTTTAAATTAAAAAAAAATTCTGCAAGAATTTCAAGCCCTGATTCTTACAGTTCTAATGCCATTAACTCAAAACTGCACCAAGTGCTAAGACTGTTAAAATAGTTCCTATCTTTCTACACACTTGTCCGGATTTATATTCAAGTACAGGGCTCAAAATAACGGCCGGTCAATGGAGAATGTCCGGCCTGATCGTGGACTTGACCGGTCAAACTTTCGTCTTGCCGTTCATTTTGACCAGTCATTTTTGGATGCGAACATTTTATAATATTTTCCATATAGTTGTCGCTTAATGCATTTAAATGCAATTTAAAGGAGTTAACAACTAAGAGCGCCTGGGTGCCTAGGTCAGCGGTCTTTGGCATGCGCATGCCCGGTGGCTGGCTACATCGATCATGTGATTCTTTGGCGCGTTCAGTTTTACCTTCGTGCTGGGTTCTGGCGGCCATTTTCTTCCCCTCCCGCCCTCCCCCTAGGCTTGTTGGGTTTTTTCTCCTCTGATGTCTCTTTTTTCAGTGTGACGGGTGCCTGTTCCTTTCTGTTGGTGTGGGGGCTGATGGCTGGGTTGCGCTGTTGTGCCAGTCATGGGGGCATTATTTCAATCTAGGGGCTGGCTGCCAATAGTGGAAGCCCCTGGATACTTCAGGCACCCAACCTCCATTTTAGTGATGCAGTTGTTAAATGCATTTTGCTCTATAACATTGTTTGTCCAGGCTAAAAAGTATTTGGCCCGTCATCATGACTGGCGACCTGCTGTCCATTATTTTGAGCCCTGAAGTAAGTTCAAAATTGCTAGCCTGCGTGCAGTTGTCTCCTATTTCCTTTGAAAAGGTGACGTCGTAATTTGAGGAGCTTGTCAAATGTCTGTGGTATTAAGAAGAGAGGCTGCCAGTGTGTTTCGTTGTTTGCCGTCGACTCACCTCCTCATCATAACAAATCATGTTATCTTAACAGCTGATATAAATTACCGAGACCCATACAGGCATGCCATAAGAGAGCTTGAGAGGTACACCAGCCCAAAGAAGGAAACTCCACAAATGCAGAGGTAACTTGTTACTTTTTGTATTCTAGTAATTATGATACATCTCTGTCCTACTTACTCAGCTCTGCTTACCAGAGTCCTTTCTGAAAATACCATATTTACTTGATTAAATGGAAGCAAAATAACCAATAAACACGAGGTCCAATCAGAAGGATTCCGATTGGATCTCGTGTTTCGAAGATTAAAAAAAAAAAACAATCCAACTTGGTAAATGTAATCACACTTCCTGTTTTACAAAATTCAAATGATTTACCGTTAATGTTGTCAGTGATTTAAGAAATGTGATTTTGAAATACAAGGCGCCCTCGAATAAATACCGCATCAGAAACGTTGGAAATTAAATAAGCGCCGCGGTGTTTAATCGAATAAATAAGGTGCGGAATCAATAGAAATGAACCGCATCTATGGCTTTTTTCATGGCTCTGAAGCTCACCCTTGCGCCTTCCCTCCACAATTTTCACTGGCCAGTTTGCATCTGGCAGTTTTATTGCAGCTCAGTGAAGAAAGCATTTGTGGTGAAGCCGCTGGAGGGGTTGGTGGGGCAAGGCCAAAGGAGAAACTTCCCCTGTCCCCCTCCTCTCTCCTGACCCTTTTCTCTTATTAGAGAGTTTAAGCATCACGTTCACGACAAACGGAAAAGGCAGATTCATGTTGAGAATTTCTCAAAATAGAAAATGAGCAGATAAAAACAGCTCAAAAGAATTCTTATAGCCTACCTGTAGCCGCACCCTCCCCCCGACAAAGGAAGAGAGCTCCCTCTCTCCGTTTTTCCTTTGTCGGGGGGAGGGTGCGGCTACACATAGGCTACAATTCTTATGGATTAAAAATTGCGTGAAATTACTAATTTATGTGTCGAAATAATAAACCGTAAAAAACGACAAGTAAAGGGAAAACTGGTACACATTGGCGTTTGCGGCTTGACGTAAACGTGATGCTTAGCCTCCGTATTACGGCTCATTTTCACAGCGAATTCTTCACAACAACCCAGTGAAACTGCTTCCTAGATTTATTTGTGACACTCAAGTTGGCAGTTGGCTATGCCTGCACATAAAGTTATTAGAGTGGTACTGTTGGGCTGATGATTAATAAATAAACTATTATGTTTTTTCAGAATTATTTCACAAACTGGCATAGGACTAGCTAAAAAAGACAAAGTAAGTACCTTAATAAAAATTTGAAAATCATCGTTTCACATTCCATTTCAAAATAATGTAAACCCAGAGCTCAAAATAAATTGGGGACTGTTGCCTAACGTGATGACCGGCCAAGAAAACTTTAGCTCGGTCACTACTAGCCTAATAAGCAAGCAAAAACATGAAGTGAAAAAAGATACTTGTTCTCTCGAAACGTAATAATGTGAATTTTTTTTCTGGTCGGTTATTTACGTATCCGGTCAAAATGTACCCTGGGTGCCAGAGGCTTTTCATGCGCGGTTTCCGCCTTCGGTCAAGTCTTAAAAAGTGAGTGGCTTCGCAGCTCGTATCTTCGGCCTTTGGCCGAACACGTGTCGTCCTGCGGCCGACGAAACGAAGCTCCCCGTCGCACGCGAGAAAAAACCTCTGGTACCCAGGGTAGTCAAAATGACGGGCAAACCGAAACTTTGTCGGGACCAATGGTAATCTTGATCGGACATTATCCGTTGACCGGTTGTTATTTTGAGCCCTGAAACCCACACTGAGACTGATGTATTTGTCCTCTTTTACTGAAACCGATGCACGCATGTCCAATATCTTAACGGACACCTCTGTAAAACGGACACCTAGAGTTGGTCCCTGCCTTTGTTTATTCCCTTTATTTGACTCTTTATAAGACGGACATCTCTCTAAGGCGGACACTTAGTGCCGGTCCCAAAGGTGTCCGTCTTGGAGAGAGTTGACTGTATACATAAACATACAAATTGTCAAAACGCCAACACTAATCGTACCGTTAATAAAGGATAACGACTCGTCAAAGAAGCTTCGCGATTAGCGCCATTGGTACGATTGGTATGCCATTGGTAACTGCAAGCTGATAGCGACACGGGCATCATTCCGAACAAACACGCAATGAATGAATGATTGATCGATTGCGATTGGTCTCATTGGTTCTACGAAGTCAGGGTCGGTTTACACAAGAAGATATTTTTTGCGGATTCGTGACGAATCTGGCGCTTGGAACTGTAATTACGTAATTGACCAATCAGATCAATAACCAGAGTATAATACCATCAACTGACGTGATACAACTCACTTTGACTCTGAAGATGACTACCGCACAGGTTTTCGAAACGTCAGTCACTGTCAAACAACAACAGTCCTATTCAGGACTACGTTCACCCGGACGATTAAACTCAACCTGTACTTTTGAAATGACTCCTGGGTTCAAACCTTTCACAGTCGCTAAACTTTGTTGTTCCTCCCCCTATAGCTTCTGTTATGCCGTCATCATACACCTCTCATCATCATCATACAAATACCACACAAAATTGAAGTATAAACGTTGTTGATCATTATCTTTTTTTAGAAACATGCATTCGTCTCCAAAACTGTAATCAAGCCCGAGAGCTGCCAGCCGGTAAGAATTAAACACCCCCCCCCCCCCACCCCCATTTTAAACTTGTCATAAGAGTTTTTTTGCTTGATTTTTGAAGTTTAACTTGCTTCGCTGCGTTTACTTTGTTTACTGTATTGTCTCTACAGTGTAACAAGAGGATAAAGTTTGGAAAACTAGCCTTGAAGTGCAAAGGTAATTACAGTAGTCAATTTATTGTTGAATTGGCGTAGAGAAGGAGGCAAATTATTAAATGTTAGAAGTTTTATCATTTTGTGATTGGCAGCGGGCTTAACCTCCGTAAAAAAAACAAAATCGTGTTGTTGACTTTCCTGGTGAAAAAAGAATAATGACAGGCTTTTCGGGGTGCATTGTTTTGAGAATGCGGGAAAAAAACCTATGTCAAATCTTGTCCCCGTCCTCGAATCTAAAGGACGCTGTTGTTAATGGCCTTAAAGCTTCCTGTTTTCTTTGCAGATTGTCGTGCTGTGTGCCACCCTGACTGTAAAGATCAACTTCCGCTTCCTTGTGTGCCCTCTAATGACACTCCAGGATCTGGCAGACGTCGCCCAGTAAGCCCGAGACATCTTTACACGCACCTTACATTCAGTTACATGTCCATGTCGGTTTTGTTGTTCTGACGACTGTGTCTTTGTTTTGTTAGGATGAAAACATCGAGTTCTATGCTCCCACTACGAGTCCTATGGTGCCAGAGATTGTTGTACGTATTTTATCATTAGAGAGCTTTAGATTCGAGGACGACTTCGAATACGAGATTTTCTCAATACTGAGTATTGCGCGCGCGGGAACCAGTGTCATTTTGGCGGGAAAACTCGATAGCCGTAGTCATTCTACAACGGGATTTAGCGAGAATGTTGTAGTGGCGGGAACAAATTATCAAATGTTAGAAGTTTTATAATTCTGCTATCGAGAGAGGGCGTAACCTCCTTCAGTATAGATAACCGTACTAACATTTTTGGTGGAAAAGAATTTAAAATGAAGCTTTCCGGGGTGTCTTTTTTTTTAAAACACGGGCAAAACCTTTAAGTTTAATCTCGTACTCGTTCTCGCCCTCAAATCTACAGCTCTCTATTAAAACGTTTCAAAACCGACGTTATAGCCAATCTCTATTTTCAATATCATTAAAGTAGTCAGAGAAAACAGCCGACATTTTGCGACGCCACCTCTGGTTTCCCCGCGAAATGACGTTTGAGAAACGACCGCAGAAATTTCATACTGATGACGCGTCACTGCCCTGATCTGGTAGTGCTTTTGATTGGTTGAAGCAATTTTCCCTCGCGGTACGACCAATCAGAAGCACTATCCAGATCTGGGTAGTGACGCGTCATCAGTTTGGAATTTCTGCGCTCGTTTCTCAGACGTCATTTCGCGGGAAAACTACTGGTAGTGTCGCGAATGGCGGCTGTTTACTCAGACAACCATTAAAGTCGCGTAAGTATTGACCGTTAAAGACACTCGTGCAGCTTTACTCTCTCTTTTGTGTAATAAAATTCTGATAAACCTGAACATCTGGGGTGAATTTGATAAAACTTTTATAAGTGTAGCCACTGTTTTAGTCTGAAAACAATAGCTACACTTGTAAATTACGCTTTTAAAAGTTTTATTAAATTCACCCCAGCATTAGACCAACGCGGAAATATAGCAGCCTATGTTAATTTAGAAGTAGAGGACGTAGAAGAAAGAAGTTTATTGAACAGACACGTTAGAGCACATCTCAACTGTTTCACTTTGCCTCCATAAAAATAAGAGAAATGACTTTCCTAACTGCTTTCAAAGCAGAGAAAAAATGTAACTTTTAGCCAACCTTTATATGTGTTTTCTGCTTAGGTCAGATGCGTTGAACAAGTTGAACGTCGCGGACTTGCCGAAGTTGGAATCTACAGAGTGCCAGGGTGAGTTCAGAGTCTAAAGCTAAGGGAAGAAGTGAGTTTATTGTCAAGAAGTGTCGTTACCGGAAAGAATAAGGAAAATGATAACTCGCGCCACCAGACGAATTTTTGACCGTTGTTGCGTTCACACGGAGCCAACATTACCGTACGAAAATTTAAACGCCAAGCGGTTCAAAAATTTTGAACACCGATATCAAGGTCAAACTTTTTAGCCGGTACGGTCGAAAATTTGACCGGCGCAGAGTTAGCCACGATGACCGTCTTAATGTTTTCTACGGCCAAGGCATGCTTGCATTGATGAGTGGTAACTCAGCAGCGAGACGCCATTTTGGATTTGTTCAAGTTGCGCACTGCGCATGGACAAAGACAAAGCTAAAGTTCACCGTTTGAAAAAAGTCAAAATTCAACTTGGTTGGCCAGTTTCGTGTGAACAGAGCGAAAATATTGAACAGTTCCATGTGAACTAAATTCGTCTGGTACCATGTGAGCGTAGCCGTAAAGCCTAAACGTTCATCAGAGCATTAGTTAACAGACAGGATAAAAGGATCGACAACGACTTCATTTTTCGGCAAAATATAGAATCAAGAATTAATCTGCAACTCGTCGTGGTGATTTTTGCTGTCTGATTGTTTGCATTGTAATTTCAGAGCTGAACGAAGTGTAAAGGAATTGAAGGAAAAGTTTCTACAAGGAAAGACCACTGACTTGGTAAAGTGAAATAAATGCGATTTTCCAAATGGTAGTCAGGATTTAAAATAGATCACGATCGATATATTTTTATTCGAAATACTTGTTTCGATGTGTCTCATATCTTCGTCAGTGATGATTTTGAAATTGAAAAAACTGCAAATTTTTAACAACCTAAAGAGGCATGCACATTGAGTTATGATCACAGAAGAGTGTGTATATGGCACGATAACACATAATTTTTGCAAATATTCTGAAAATCCCTGCAAAGAGTCACTTTTCATGACAGTATGATAGTGTAGAGGATTACTGACTGAACAGTATTTTCCTTAGTCTGGTGTGGTACCGTAGGTGATTGAAAGGAAAGTTAGGGATGAGGCCCGCAAGAGCGCTATGTTCTTTAGACTTCCAACAGTCCCTCGGCCTCAGGATTGCCCCTTGGGCGAATCCGTTACATCTTCTCCCTCGCCGGTTTCCTCGCTCGCTCGCTTGATCGCTCGCAGGTAACATGTTCGCCCGCGCGACAATCTTGAAGGCCTGCTAGCAATCTAAAGCAGTCTAGACGTTCTCGCGCGTGTCTTTCCCTCGAAACGCCTGCCACGCAAGCTATACTTTCAGAGTGGTCTACTTCCGAAGAAAACTATTTAGCATTTTTTTTTTTTTGTGGTAGTATTCATTATTTCAATTAACGGTTTTGTAAGACACTCGGACAAAGAAACTGAGTTTCAGAAGTTCTTATAATTATTCTTTTTTTGTCCACAGAGCAAAGTTGAAGACATTCACGTTGTGTGCGGATTGCTCAAAGATTTCTTCAGGAAACTGGCCGAACCACTGGTTACGTACAAACTTTGGTCGGCATTCGTGGATGCTGCAAGTAAGACCGTTAATTAAATACCATTTTCATCTCCCGGAAAGTTCAACTGCATTTGACTGAGCGAGTTGGAATAAGTTTCATTAAATAGGTCATTCCTGAGTTCCCCCGAACCTCTGTATCAAAACGAGGTTGAGTGCTCAGCCTTTGATATGGAAAGGATTTTCATTGTCATTCGAATAGAACTCATTTTCACAAGAAAGGTTGTACACTTGGCCTCATTTTGAAAGTGAGGGTTTTCGAACTCGGAAGTGACCTATTAGTAGGAACGCGAACTCCCTTTTTTTGTTTTGGCTTTTATTTCACAGTGCGCTGCAAAACTGAGGCAATCAGAGCTCAACGCAAACACGTGTAACCGACAGAAAGCGCGGTAAAACTCATAGAAACGATTCACGATTGCTTTTGTTGTTTGTTATTGGCTAAAAAGTGGCGGGAAAGAGGCTGAGCGCGTGTTTCTTTCTTTTTTTCTCCAGACAAGACAGATGAAGATGATAGTGCGAGTGCTACATATCAAGCGGTCAGCGAACTGCCTCAAGCGAACAGAGATACCCTGGCCTTTTTGATGGTTCATTTACAAAAGTAAGGCTCTTTGTATGAGCATTTTCCTTTTGCTTGTCATGTAATTTCCTTCAGTTTCTCAGCGCAAGAAGATGGTCAAGTTGAAACGCACTTCTTTAACCTGTATCATAAACAAAACCATATCGGATAATGGGTCATTGTTTTCTTTTAAATAATAACAATAATAACTTTATTTGTATAGCGGTATATGCAAAAGCTCTATATCGCTTTACAATCAAAAAAAGAAAATAACTAACAATAGCACCAAAACAAAAAGTCAACTGAAAGCGAGTCTAAAAAGATAAGTTTTCAATCTAGATTTAGATTTAGTCGTGTTTCGTAGTATCGAGATGCTATCCGGCAGGATTGTATTTCTTTCAATCTCTTTGGTTTTATTTTACAGTCACACCCCTTCTATCGGCATTTTTTTTCGCAACAATTGGCGAACATCCTTTTATTTTGCAGTTGGTGGAGTCCTTGAAAAATGAAAAATATGTCCTTGAAAAGTCCTTGAAAAGTCCTTGAATTTTTAGTCCAAAAAAGGGTACGAACCCTGAATTGCATTTAAGGTGGATTTCTACTATCGCGTAATTTTTACGTGCGCTCGAGCTTAAGTTTACGTGCGTAAATAAAATAGAGTCAATGTATGTTGTATGTCAATGTTTCATGGGGAACCTTCAACTCTTTCGAGCATTTTCTCACATCCACTTTTGTTTTGGCGTAATATGCCATTTCTTAGTTAAAAACCCTCATTTTCAAACCGAAGTTAAGTGTAAAACCTTTCTTGTGATATTGAGTTTCATTTGCATCAGAAAAAAAAAACGGTTTCACTCATAGCCTCGCTTTGAAACAGAGGCTTTGGGCAACTGGAATATGGCCTATTAATTTCGCCATTCCTTTTTAGGGTGGCTCACTGCACCGAATGCAGAATGTCGTCCAGTAACTTGGCCAAAGTTTTTGGCCCTACTCTTGTCGGAAACTCTTCAACGGACATTGAACCAATGCAGATGTTACAGGAGGCGAAATGGCAACCCAAGGTAATGTGAGAGTTCCTTTCTTTAGCCTGCGTAGCAGGCGCTTGTACGTAATGAGCACAAGGGGCGCTCGAGAAATCTCTGTTGCGCGCCCCGATCCCTCTCACTTGTTACTTTCTGACGCCTGCTACAAATGCTATCTTTCCTTAGCCTCTTTCTGGGTTATTTAAACCTTATTTTGAGATTTCAAGATAGCTATTCCCGGAACTCAGACTTTTAGAAGTAAGAAAGAAGGAAAGCCTGTATGCAACCTGAAAAACGACAAAGAAGCACCGATCTTATTAGTAAGGAGCTTAAGCAACGATGGCGGCCGCTGCGATCGTGAACATCCCACGACGAACTTTTCATTGTATTTTTCAACTCAGATAACGTTCGTTAAGAATTCACTTTCCAAAAGAATTCGCCTTCATCGGACTAATTTAACGGGGTGTAGTTATCCGATGTCGCTATGAGGCTTGAAGGAAAACGTGAATTCACTTTTGAGGTGACGTTTTTGCTGCTGTACCCCGTTGCACTGCCGTTGCTCAAGCTCTTTAATCTCTCTTTAGTCCTCGCCCCCTCAGTTCTTTGTCCTTCTGCACCTGCTCTCAGTTCTGTACGACCATGGTTAGAAAAAAAAAAGAGTTTATAGGAAACAAGGAGATGGGCTCCTGAGGAAGCTAACTCGCGCTAACTTCGGGCAAAATTGTAGCCTTAGAGAAGTATTGATGCTCCAAGGCCTAAAACACTAACCGTGCCTTAACAAAATGCCAGCCTCATTACGTGACTAGTAAAACGCTTATTAACCTGTTCAATTAAAGTAGAAAATTCAGTCCCACATTGTAAGCTGGAGTAACAATTTATTTTTCGTGACAACTGAACGTATGTAATTGTGGTTTATAGGTTGTTGAGCGACTCCTGTCGATGCCCGTTGACTACTGGAACCAATTCATCAACACAGATGATGAGAACATACGATCTCCCCCATATAACCCTTCCACACACCGGGCGGACGGAACTCCTATCACCCCTGAGTGTAGACCGGGTAAGATTCTCCTGAATCCGCAAATCCTACCTAACGTAATTATTTAACCTCTACGGCAGCCTGTTCCAGGCGTTCAGATAGTAGAGTGCGGCGATCAGATGGTGAGGGGCGAGTTAAATTGTACGCCGAGAAAACGGGGAAAATTTGTTTTTTCTTCGTGAATTTTTCTCCCGCGCTCTACTATCTGAACGCCTGGGACAGACTACCAATACGGAAGAATCAAGGTTGGAAAAGTCAGCTAAAAAGAAAAAAAAAAAGAAGATCAAGCAATCGCTCTGACGAAGGATTAGCGCAAGAAACTTCAGCTTGTGTATCTCCCTTCCATGGCCAATCTACCTTATGAACTCAGTTGATAGACTGCGAGCAGCCTCTCTTTTCTTCTTCCGTCGTGCGAGACAAGAAAACGACCACGCGCGTGACGAAAGGCGAACGCAGGAGATGTTGCCGCCCTCGTTTGCCACGTCTCGTGTTTCTCTCATTGCCCTGACTAAATCTGAAGAAAAAGAGACTGCTCGCAGTCCACTCAGTTGACAACATAAACACTTTGGAGAGTAAATCGTGAAAACTGACGTGAAAGACGCGCTGGGAGTCACTCGGCCAGGGCTCGAAATTGCGACTAATACGGTCGCCAATGCGACTAAAAATTCTCCAGTCTGACGACCAGATTTCTCTATGATTTAGATTTAAATTACTTAAAAGAGTCAAGTTCAAATAAAAATTTAATCTTATCTTGCTTTGCTTTCGTCATAAAAAAATTGTGCCAAATCGCATAAACAAAGCCCGTTTACCTCCAAAGTTATACCGACTTCTGTCAGCGATATTTTCAAACAATCAAATCTGATGGATCGCGCGATAGTATGAGCTGCGTCATTAACGTTATGCAAACTGGCGACTATGTTTCGCCAGTTGGTCGCCGAAAGGCGACTAGAGGAGTTCTAATTTTGATCCCTGGAGTCGGTGGTGATAGCCGAAATCTAGACTTGACGAAAGGAGGGGGAAGGTAGCCTGCGAGAGCATCCGGTTTTTTCGGCTCTAAGCGACGACGGGAAATACGTCTGCGGCTGGCAAGCGAGGTGGAAGGGGATAGTTGAAGATTTAAGCATCCGGTTTTTGATATAAACGGCTCTAAGCGACGACCAGAAATACGTCTGCGGCTCGCAGGCTAGGTGGAAAAAACGGGTCGTTTAAAAGAAGATATTTTGTCCACGAACAGGTTCTTCTTTCTTTGCAAAAAGATGCTTTTTTTCTCGCTTAAAATGCCATTTGGGCGAAAAAAAAATTGACACCTTCCCCAGTCTACGCGAAGGAATGGGTAAAAAGAAATAAACTTGTCGAGTTTTGAACTTTTTTTCAAATTCGCATTAGGCTTTGTCAACCATGTTTACGTACCGAGCAAACCTGGCACCAGCTTTTTAGGTATTTTATATGAACAGGTTTTTTCTTCTTTTCCCGCCATCGCCCCTTCCCCAGTCTACGCGCGTCTTATTTTCGCTTGGCTTGTCACTATCTGAGAGCCTGGCACCAGCTTTTTGGGTGTCAGATGACGTTTTTTAAAACTGGCGTAAAGTTAGCTTCAAGTCTCTCACCTTACAGGGGCTGTGTCACGGCTATCTTGTTCATTGGGTTGTTAATATTGTCAATAGCGCGTCTTAATTGGTGAAGGAACTTAACGTCAGCAGGAATTTACTATTGAATAACAAAATCACAGCTGCCTTTATGCTCTGATGACTCCATACAAATCCTTCTAAAATTGGCTTGGATCGAAACGTTAACGATCCAGGCTTATTTTAGAACGATTCATATGGAGTCATCAGAGCATAACAATGCCGTATCTCCCCGCCAATTTGCCCCAACAGGCTGATCTTTGAAAAGCTAAAATATTTTGGTTCATTATACGTTTCCGGCACACTGCCCATTTGCCCCCAACATCAACCAGGGCTGATTCAGACCTTCAAAAGGGGCTAAAATATTTTGGGTCAAAAATAATTATAATCCGCCACTATCAACAAACTTCACACTTGGGGCAAAATGTTGGGTTAAGGGAGTAATTTCTGAAATTTAGTGTTTTTGACGTCTCGCCTCTTTTCTCTTTATGTCTTTTTTTCTTCTAATTCTATTTTTAGTGCCCGAAAGCATGCTTGGACCAGTAACATCGGGCAAGTCTGTGAAGAAGAAAGGCAGCATCCTGTCCAGGACTCCTCTGACACCAAGGTAATAATAAAAGAATACGAGCAATTGAACCTAGACTGCAAAACAGTCGGTTTTTTCTCAAAACCAGTTTAGCAGGGTGACATTTTCGCGAGAAGCGCCTGGGGCTCACACGCCCCAGTCTCACTCTCTACCTCGTTTCCAGGTTCTCTCTCCTACACGGGAAGGAGAGAACCCTTGGAACGAGGTTGTCTCATCCTCGTTACTCCGCATCTTGACCACTCGCGCGGGCGAATCTTAACTTTGACAAAAATAGGCCGGGGTTGTTTCGCAAGTTGTGATTAGTCAATTCGATTTTTAGATCTGGTGCGCGATCGTCGGGTCGCGTATGGTAGGGGGTTGGGGATTTTGGAACATGCACTGAATTTTTTTGGTACTCGTAAGATGGAAATTTTGTTCCCCTGGGAAAGTTTTTGGTTTCGGCGAAAATCAATCTAAATGTGTAATACTTAATAGTTTACTCAATGTTTTTTTTTTTTCTCATTTAAGTTTTATTTGGGACCAACCAGCGAAAATCCGTCAACACAGCTGGAAAGAACGCCTTAGAATAACGTTAAGTTTCCAAGTTTAAAAGTGATTTGTTGAAAACTATTAAAACTAAGATAGAACTCCGCAAAGTCAAGGAATTTTACAGACATTTGTATTGTGGGGTTGTAGGGGGCAAGTTCGTGCCCCTCACCATACAAACGTCTGTAAGGTTTTGCGACTTTGTGGAGCAATTTCTTCGCTCTCCTTGGACGTATCACCTTTAAACTTGGTAAGTTACCTTGTTTTTAAGGCCCTCCTCCAGCAGTGTCGATGGATATTCGCATACTGCTCTTTATCAAAACTTGTAAGGATCTATTATGTTGCTTCGGTGAGCGAAAAAAATGACAGAAGAACTTGTTCTCAGCAGAAACTCGTTTATTGACGAGTAATATACTCGCAGAATAGTAAAGAAATGTTTGAGGAAAGCATTGATAGTGTTACAAAAGACTTGTTGCGATTGAAGAAAAAAAAAAATCCCGGCCAACCAGCGAATAATACAGCCGCTTTTCATCACTTCCCGACGCTTCGTTTCTCTCGCGAAACGTTCCTCCTCCAGCGGGAAGCGATGAGCGTGCGATATTTCAGCTTGCTGGAACCGCTGTGTCGAGTGTCTTCTCGTACTTTGAGTGTCTAAAGTTCTTTGAAATAGACATCGAAAGAATACGATTTTTTTTGGTTGTAATACTTCTACTATTGAATCGCCTCTCTTAGTTTTAATATTTTCTTTCTTGCGATGAAGAAAGAGGAAAAAGTTTTGTTCGAATTTCCCTAAAACATGTTGCTTGGGTGGACTTAAGTTTCCCGAAAGACTTTCGCGGTCAAAAGCGATGTCCTAGGGTCTACAATTTCTCTTTAACGTGGTTTTTGGAGCTGAAAAAGAAAATGAGATTGGGAGGGTTCGAAAATTACATATATGTTTAAGAAAATTTTGAAAAACAAAGAAGAAAGGTCAGTAGACGAAGGTTAACGACTCTAAAACGGGAGCATCAATATCTAGCGAAGTCTTATTTATAGCATTGTGTCTGTACGTCATATAGTAACCATTATTCTGTCTTACTTTGTGTTAGGTTCGGAAGCAAGAGCAAGCATCCTAACAAACGGCCGACGCACTTCTTTGCTTCTCCGATGTTAAAATAGATACCAAGATGATATAATTAATTTTAGTGATAGTAATGGGTCTTTGTATAATAGTTATACAACCTTTATAGTTGATACACGCCTCATGGTCACTTGTGTGACCCACTGTGCCATACGACATTTTATACCAAGGCCGATACGGATGTAAGTGTCTCTTATTGAGACACTGGGATGTCAAAACCCGATTCGTATCGCGAGAAGGAATTTAAGGGGTATGTTATCAAGAAAAGAGTATTTCTCCGTTTGCGAAGGAGTTGATTTGTTATTTTGCGGCATCAGCGGATAGTTTTTGACAGTATTTGTTTTTTAGGATGAGTTGCTACATGTCTGTCTTTCAAACAAGTGTTAGGGCAGCTAATTTCATTTACTGCTTTGTTCCTCATAGTTTAAATATCTTCGTCCAGCTAGGAGCAAAATTAATGTGCCTTGTAACTTCGTGCACTAGACTATGAGCAGTAGCATCGCTCTGTTGTTTTTCTGATGCTTTTGAAGCCTCAGTTCTTGCAAACTATACTCTCATTAAAAGGCAAGAGTTTGCACCATCCAACAGTTAAAAGCGTCTAAAACATGAGTAAATTGTTCACTCAGTTTTATTGGGTTATTTGCTAGGCTTGTATTCCTTTGTACATCAAATAAAAGCCGGGGACCTTGTTAACAGATTTCATCAGTATGCTAGACTTGCAGAAAGTGCCAATATTACCAGCACTCATTTACCACGACGAACAACTGGGAAACAAATTATGTACATTTATGTAGAAGTACTCTTGTAGTAACTTTAATTTATCTTCCTTTATCAAGATCGTTGACTGCCTCCTTTGTAATATTATTTACATAGATTAAACCAACAGTCGCATAATTTGCAGACTGGGTTGCGACAAACATTTGTGTCTGATGTCTTTTGTACACAACCAAATATATTTCAGATGTTTTAACGTTAAAACGTTATTGAAGCCTGTTTCTTTCTTTGAAGCCCTTCTTCATTGGCGTTAGTTGAGATCGGGTCTAGTTCACTGCACTTCTCTTAAACTTTCATTTACTAAACTATCCCATCACCTTATGTGTATTTTAACTAACTGTCTGATCCTTGTCTGTTTAAATAGCCCCAAGTTATTTTCAAAAACTACTGCTCATTGACAGAACCGGAAGAAAAACATAGCTTGTGATTTGAACGTTCTAATGTTGAATCTCTAGATTGTACCGCATAAGTTTACCTCGTGACATAGTAAACGACGTTCAGAATGGCTAGATCTTGTAAGTCTGCCTTCAGCTTCTTAAAACCAGACGATCGCTTTAAAGCCGTATCCAAGGGGCATCAATTTCTCTGAAAACATTCTCGTCGTGTGAAAAGCTTCCGGAACACGATATGCAAATGCCATCTGTTATTCACTTTGCTAAATCACCGAGCTTTTGTAAAGAAATGGTTTGTGACGTCGCTATGTGTAAAGGAATTCTTGACTTAGCTTAAACCGTCCTGAAAATTCTCGCGAGAAAAGAGTTAAAAAAGATTCTATTTATGGTAATTTGTGAAATACTGAAAGAGGTAGAGCCATAACAATCCTAACCTTTCAGAAACCTTACACAAAATTCACTTCAGCTTCGATCAATTATGTAGGTGTGCGACACACAAACGTCGAAGGCCCGATATTTTGATGCTCTCTATACCATGCTTTCTTTTTAGAATGCTGAAGGATTTATGACTTTAGTTGTCCTTACTTAAAGCATTGATAATACCAGTCATTATCTGCTAACCTTTCGAGGTTGTTCCGACGATCGAGAACGTCGAACTCTGTGCCGTCACCAGATGTCATGTCCCTAACAGTCCGTTTGGCTTGAATACTCACACTGATAGCTTGAATTTATATCTGTTACTACATTTCCAGAAACATGTTTTGACAAATCGCCTTATAATTTCTGCTTTCTTTGCTGCCAAAACACAAAATATCAATTACCGACTCTCTAACGATGATAGTGTAATTCGTAAAGGAATCTGAAGTCACGAGAAAAGTGAAAACCTCAATACTAGAAAAACCTGACCCAAATCCAGTTTAGAACCTCACTGTACACTGCACAAAGCAATCTAATGGACGACACGTTCAATGCAAGGTGTTGTTTCGTCTATCCTAATTGATTCTTCAATGGAAGGAAAGACCAGTGATCAAAGATAGTTGAAATGTTTTGTACATTGCACAACGCTTCAAAATTTGAGAGTTACTCCTTTGTCTTAGTATAAATTGTATCTCAGGTGTATTAAATATAGCGATCGATCAAACCTTTATAGCAAGTGTACCAGTCATGTGCATTTATCAGTGCATTATAACGAGGTTAATAACAACAAAATTAGGGATTTTGGTGAACTGTTGGGAAAAATTAGCAGAGATTCATGAAGTGGGTGCTTAATAAATTTTATCTAACGAGCAACAGCCTTCTTTTCAAAGCAGCCTATTTAAACTGGTAAGTATCTGTTTATCAACGTTTCTTAAAGCAGAGGTTATCCTAAACTAATGTGAAACCCTGCATTTCAATTAAAAATGTCTAGTGTAATTGCCTTATCGCGCAGTGTACGGCCTGCGATCAAGTGGCAAGTACTCAGAGGGGATCACGAATATACTGTCCTTTCATTAGCCTCTATGCTACAGTTATATCTTACATACATGAGAAATACGTTTAAAAAAAAGTCATGCAAAACCTTATCGCTGCATTTGACGGAATATTCTGCAGATGATTCTAATCCAACACGTCACAAGCTCCTAAGCAAGCACTAACTTCAGCCACGGCGGGGAACTTGAAGCGCAATCTGCAATGGCAAAGATTCCTACATAGGCCAATTCAGAGGCCAAATTTGCAGCCCATCTAGTCGAGACCTCCAAATCTTGCAGTGAATAATGACCCGATTTTCATAACCTCGACGGCGAAGTAGGAAATCTATGATGTATTTCAATAACAAGGCAGTAGATTTCACCAACCAATCAGGTGGCGTTACGCTCATATTGACCAATCAGAGCGTGTTCCTGGGGTTATTGAGCTTAGTGGCAAAGAGGTGTGCATTTGAGATGGGGTTAGCTGGCCATAACGTGAGTTTGAAGCATAGAGTGACTTTAGCCTTACATATACAGAGCAAATCCGCGCATTTTGGACAACGTTAAGGTGAAAATAAGGAGATATGTACTGAGTCCTAAATATGGGCTGCAAGTTGTCGCGGTCTGGAAGTTTGCTTTGACCTCAAAGCGGCTAATTTTCAAGCAATCAGTCGCCTAGGTTTAGCACTAACGTCTTGCCCACTGGAAGCTAGCGGATAGTGTTCTCAATAAACTGAAACATAATTTGAAGTCAAGATGAGCATAGAACCTGCAGCAGAAGTACAGAAAGAGCTACCTAAGTGTGGAAGGCTCGTGTTTCGTGGGGTTGAACTGGCATATTTGAACATTGATGGCGAATACATGTTACCTTTGGCGGAGTTACTTGCTTTAGTCCTGCCAACAACTCCGAGGGCTACAGTATTTACAAGAATGGAAAAGATGAAAGTTCGCAGGCATTTCTGCAAACCAGATGAAATCAAACTGCTCAAAACAGTCAATGGCATAAATGGTTTGTCGGCAAACTGCACATTGATTTCAAAGACAGAAGTTGATAAATATTGCTCGATGTATATCGACGATTTGAATGAAAGGAGTGAAAGAAAGTGTTCGGACGATTTTACGAACGAATCGGAAATCGCTGGTAAAGAACATAGTGTTGAAAACTACGCAAGCAAAGGTATTGAATCGACTGAATCAGCCTACCACGACAACACTAAAATCCAGAACAAATTAACAGTTCTTCATAAACAAAAAAGATCCTCGCCGCTGAAAGCTAAGTTAAAGTTGACCAAAATCTGTAACAGCGTGAAACTGAAATCGGCGCTTTCACCCGATAGCCAGTGTACACGAACGTCAACGGATAATGCAGGGGCACCCAACGGGAATATAGTTCAAAACCACTTAAACATAGCATTTTTAAACGTATTTTAGTATTTAAACGGTAGATAAAGGCATATTTTTATTCCCTAAAAATTTTTCATCTGTTCGGATTTCCTAGCTGAAAGTTTAGTGATCCGAAAATTATAGGGATCAAAACTTACCTTTTCGAAAATTTCATCCAGAAAATAGGCTCCCGAAAATTCTAGGTGACCTTTTTAAGGTAAAATCCGTTAAAAATAGGCAATTATACCATTTTTTAGACGTTCGAAAATCCTAGGAGAGGCAGGCAAGCAAGAAGTTTTACAACATATGTTTCGAAAATTCTAGATCTCAAATCGTCTTCCGAACAGATATTTTTCCGAAAATTGTCGTTGGGTGCCCCTGATAATGCCAGACTCGCGGCCATTGACTCACATCTTTGTTCCTCTCTTGCTGCCGTTTCGTCAGAACTGCTGTCGTCGTTTCAGGCGAAAAGTCCTTCACATTCACCAACGGACAAAAAGAAGAAATTGCGTCGGGTTAAGAAAAGGCCGTCAAGTGATGCGCAAGGCAAGAACGAATTTGGTGAATTTGAATCGCCGTTAAAAATTCCCAAGAGGAGTGAGTTGAATACGCGTGAACAAGACACTGACAAAATAAACGAACAGTGTCTGTCCCGCTCTTCTCGTATTTCGCTTACTTCGCAACCCTCACAGAGGCAAGAATTCGATTGTTTTATTTCTGCTTGCTCGTCCAACGACAGCAGTTTTGCCTCGACGGTACTTTCAAATGCAAGTTCGCCGACGAAGAGGGATTTTATAGCTGAAGACTTAAGCGAGCTACGTAAAAAGGATAACGAAGCTACAAAAAATCGCGAGCATTCATCGCCACGCACAAAGCTCCCGAAACTTAAAACGCCAACAAACAGTACATATATGTTTAAGAAAATTTTGAAAATCAAACAAGAAAGGTCAGGAGACGAAGGTTAATGACGCCTGTGCGTCATATAGTAACCATTATTCTGTCTTACTTTGTGTTAGGTTCGGAAGAAAGAGCAAGCATCCTAACAAACGGCCGACGCACTTCTTTGTTTCTCCGATGTTAAAATAGATACCAAGATGATATAATTAATTTTAGTGATAGTAATGGGTCTTTGTATAATAGTTATACAACCTTTATAGTTGATACACACCTCATGGTCACTTGTGTGACCCACCGTGCCATACGACATTTTATACCAAGGCCGATACGGATGTAAGTGTCTCTTATTGAGACACTGGGATATCAAAACCCGATTCGTATCACGAGAAGGAATTTAAGGGTATGTTATCAAGGAAAGAGTATTTCTCCTCTTGCGAACAAGTTGATTTGTTATTTTGCGGCATCAGCTGATAGTTTTTGACAGTACGGTATTTGTTTTATAGGATGGGTTGCTACATGTCTGCCTTGCAAACAAGTGTTAGGGCAGCTAATTTTATTTACTGTTTTGTGCCTCATAGTTTAAATAAATTTGTCCAGCTAGGAGGAAAATTAATGTGCCTTGTAACTTCGTGCACTAGACTATGAGCAGAAGAGTCGCTCTGTATTTCCGTGTTGTGTTTCTGGTGCTTTTAAAGCCGGAATTCTTACAAACTTTGCTGTCATTACAAGGCAAGAGTTTGTACCATACAACAGTTACCAGCACCTAAAACATGAGAACATTGTTCACTCAGTTTTATTTGGTTATTTCCTAGGCTTGTATTACTTCGTACATCAAATAAAAGTAACAGAGTTCATCAGTATACTAGACTTACTGAAAGTGCCAATATTACCAGCACTCATTTACCACGACGAACAACTGAGAAACAAATTATGTACATTTATGTAGAAGCACACTTGTAGTAACTTTACTTTAATTTATGAACGTTGACTGCCTCCTTTGTAATATTATTTACATAGATTAAACTGTGCAGACTGGGTTGCAACGAACATTTGTGTCTAATGTCTTTTGTACACGACCAATAACGTTAAAAAGTTATTGAAGCCTGTTTCTTTCTTTGAAGCCCTTCTTCGTTGGCGTTAGTTGAGATCAGGTCTACTTCACTGCACTTCTCTTAAACTTTCATTTACTAAACTACATCCCATCACCTTATGTGTCTTTTAACTAACTATCTGATCCTTGTCTGTTTAAATAGCCTCAAGTTATTTTCAAAAACTACCGCTCTTTGACAGAACCGGAAGAAAAACATAGCTTGTGACTTGAACGTTCTAATGTTGAATCTCCAGATTATACTCCGTAAGTGTGAAAGAACTTCGTGAAATGGTAAACGACGTTCAGAATGGCTAGATAACCAGACGATCGCTTTAAAGCCGTATCCAAGGGGCATCAATTTGCCTGAAAACATTCTCGTCGTGTGAAAAGCTTCCGCAACACGATATGCAAATGCAATCTGTTATTGACTTTGCTAAATCATCGAGCTTTTGTAAAGAAATGGTTTGTGACGTCGCTATTTGAAAAGGAATTCTTGACTTAGCTTAAACCGTCCTGAAAATTCTCGCGAGAAAAGAGTTCAAAGATTCTATTTATGGTAATTTGTGAAATACTGAAAGAGTTAGAGCCATGACAATCCTAACCTTTCAGAAACCTTACACAAAATTCTCCTCAGCTTCGATCAATTTTGTAAGCGTGCGACACACGAACGTCGGAGGCCCGATATTTTGATGCTCTCAATTTTCAAGTTTATACCATGCTTTCTTTTTAGAATGCCGAAGGATTTATGAATTTAGTCGTCCTTACTTAAAGCATTGATAATACCAGTCATTATCTGCTAACCTTTCGAGGTTGTTCAGACGGTCGAGAACGTCGAACTCTGTGCCGTCACGAGATGTCATGTCCATAACAGTCCGTTTGGCTTAAATACTCACACTGATAGCTTGAACGTATATCTGTTACTACATTTCCAGAAACATGTTTCGACAAATCGCCTTATAATTTCTGCTTTCTTTGCTGCCAAAACACAAAATATCAGTTACCGACTCTTTAACGATGATAGTGTGATTCTTAGAGGAATCTGAAGTCACGAGAAAAGTGAAAACCTCAATACTAGAAAAACCTGACCCAAACCCAGTTTAGAACCTCACTGTATACTGCACAAAGCAATCTAACGGACGGCACGTTCAATGCAAGGTGTTGTTTCGTGGAAAGACCAGTGATCAAAGATAGTTGAAATGTTTTGTACATTGCACAACGCTTCAAAATTTGAGAGTTACTCCTTTGTTTTAATATAAATTGTACAGCTCAGGTGTATCAAATATAGCGATCGATCAAACCTTAATAGCAAGTTTACCAGTCATGTACATTTATCAGTGCATTATAACAAGGTTAATAACAACAAAATCAGGAATTTTGGTGAACTGTTGGGAAAAATTAGCAGAGATTCATGAAGTGGGTACATAATAAATTTTATCAAAAGAGCAACAACCTACTTTTCAAAGCAGCCTGTTTAAACTGGCAAGTATCTGTTTATCAACGTTTCTTAAAACAGAGGTTATCCTAAACTAATGTGAAACCCTGCATTTCAATTAAAAATGTCTAATGTAATTGCCTTATGGCGCACTTTACGGCATGCGATCAAGTGGCAAGTCCCGGGTGGCAAGTACTCAAAGGGGATCACGAATATACTGTACTTTCATTAGCCTCTATGCTACAGTTATATCCTACATACATGGGAAATACGTTTAAAAAAAGTCATGCAAAACCTTATCGCATTTGACGGAATATTCTTCAGATGACTCTAATCCAACATGTCACAAGCTCCTAGGCAAGCACTACCTTCAACCACGGCGGGGAACTTGAAGCGCAATCTGCGGTGGCGAAGGTTCCTTCATAAGCAAATTCAGAGGCCAAATTTGCAGCCCATCTGGTCGAGACCTCCAAATCTTGCAGTGAATTTTCTCCTCGTAAAATGACCCGATTTTCATAACCTCGACGGCGAAGTAGGAAATCTATGATGTATTTCAATAACAAGGCAGTAGATTTCACCAGCCAATCAGGTGGCGTTACTCTCATATTGACCAATCAGAGCGTGTTCCTGGGGCTATTGAGCTTAGCGGCAAAGAGGCGTGCATTTGAGATGGGGTTAGCTGGCCATAACGTGAGCTTGAAGCATAGAGTGACTTTAGCCTTACATATACAGAGCAAATCCGCGCATTTTGGACAACGTTAAGGTGAAAATAAGGAGATATGTACTGAGGCCTAAATATGGGCTGCAATTCGTCGCGGTCTGGAAGTTTGCTTTGACCTCAAAGCGGCTGATTTTCAAGCAATCCGTCGCCCAGGTTTAGCACTAACGTCTTGCTACTGGAAGCTAGCGGATAGTGTTCTCAATAAATTGAAACATCATTTGAAGTCAAGATGAGCATAGAACCTGCAGCAGAAGTACAGAAAGAGCTACCTAAGTGTGGAAGGCTCGTGTTTCGTGGGGTTGAACTGGCATATTTGAACATTGATGGCGAATACATGTTACCTTTGGCGGAGTTACTTGCTTTAGTCCTGCCAACAACTCCGAGGACTACACTATTTACAAGAATGGAAAAGATGAAAGTTCGCAGGCATTTCTGCCAACCTGAAGAAATCAAACTGCTCAAAACAGTCAATGGCATACATGGTTCGTCGGCAAACTGCACATTGATTTCAAAGACAGAAGTTGATAAATATTGCTCGATGTATATCGACGATTTGAATGAAAGGAGTGAAAGAAAGTGTTCGGACGATTTTACGAACGAATCGGAAATCACTGGTAAAGAACATAGTGTTGAAAACTACGGTGGCAAAGATATGGAATCGGCCTACCACGACAACACTAAAATCCAGAACAAATTAACAGTTCTTCATAAACAAAAAAGATCCTCGCCGCTGAAAGCCAAGTTAAAGTTGACCAAAATCTGTAACAGCGTGAAACTGAAATCGGCGCTTTCACCCGATAGCCAGTGTACACAAACGTCAACGGATAATGCCAGACTCGCGGCCATTGACTCACATCTTTGTTCTACAAACAGAGAAGGTTTTGCTGCCGTTTCGTCAGAACTGCTGTCGTCGTTTCAGGCGAAAAGTCCTTCATTGCTCAAATGCGATAAACTTAATACTAAGAAGCGTGACAGGAATTCACAAACAGACAAAAAGAAGAAATTGCGTCGGCTAAAGAAAAGGCCGTCCAGTGATGTGCAAGGCAAGCAGGAATTTGGTGAATTTGAATCGCCATTAAAAATTCCCAAGAGGAGTGAGTTGAATACGCGTGAAGAAGACACTGACAAAATAAACGAACAGTGTCCGTCCCGCTCTTCACGTTGTTCGCTTACTTCGCAACCCTCACAGAAGCAAGATTTAGATTGTTTTATTTCTGATTCCTCGTCCAACGACAGCGGCTTTGCATCGACGGTACTTTCAAATGCAAGTTCGCCGACGAAGAGGGATTTTATAGCTGAAGACTTAAGCGAGCTACGTAAAAAGGATAAAGAAGCTACAAAGAATCGCGAGCATTCATCGCCGCGCACAAAGCTCCCGAAACTTAAAACGCCAACGAAAAATGAAATCAAAAGAGATGACGGCAATAGTTTAACTCTATCGCCTCCAGCCCTGTTACTAAAACGGTACGAGAATTCGTGGCAAGTGGAACAAAAAAGCCCCGTTAAAGAGGCAACGGACTGCTCGCATAAAAGCATTTTGAAAACTGAAGACAAGGGCGGATCAACTGCTCTTGTTGAGGAAGCTTGCGGTCAAACGAAACAAGTGCGAAAAAGGAGAAAAAGAAGGAAACCGCTAATTTCTCAAGAGGTTTCACTGAACGTCAATGATTCACTCAACAGAGTAAAGCCAGACAGTGTACACAGGAAGAAGATACCAAAGAGAGAGCAGAAAGCTAAGCTTATCATTCCAGGCGGAGAGCGAACTTGTTCTAATGGGGAAGTTATCGGCGCCGCAAAAAAGTGTAACTTTTTGACCGCAAAAGTGAAGAAATCAGGGAAACAAGCGCAAGAAAGGTTAGCTTCAGATGACCAATTAAATACAGACAAACAGAGTAAAGATGACCTGTTGAAGAAAAACGCTGTTCTTGATAGAATTGTCGGAGACGCGTTGGCCAAATTTTTCGGCCCCAAACCAAGCTCTGTTTCTCCTGAATCCTCGGAGAGCCAGGAACCAGCAAAACCCAAGCCCATAAAAACAAAGGTTGCTGGACCTGCAAAACCGTTTCTACAGACCAACAGCAAATTTAAGCTTTTAAATTTATTTCCTGCGACTTCGCAACTGGGCCTTGAGAATGGCAGCTTATGCCCTGTTTTTACAATGTCTTGCCCAAGAGGCTTTCAACCACCGTCTTCACATCCTGTATGGAACTGGCGACTTGGCGGGCCAGTTTTTCGTGAGTCGACGCATAAATTTCTTAAACCAAAACCAGTCTCGAATCCTAAACAGAAGTTTGTGTGCGACAAGGTGCGAAAAATAAAACGAAGGCGCCGGAGGAAGAAAAAGGTAGCAGTGTCACTGTCGGCGTTAACGAACAACTTGACCGCAGTGATCCCCGTTCCAAATGTTCTGGCAAATCACTCTAATTCTGCCTCAAAAGCGACCGAGAAGATCGCTTGTGGTAACAGTGACTTAAAACCAACCATTTGCGTTGCAGCTTCGAACACGGTTTCTTCCGAGTCTGAAATAGCAGTAAGTTAGCTTCTCGCTAGGAAAATAAAGCTAGAATCATTAAATTTCATTAAAGGCATTCGGCTAAAATCAGCTTGTGGCTCTCTTTCAAGCGGTCAAATCAAAAGTTTTTCAACCGAAGTTAATAACTAAGCATTATCTAGCACGATTTTTTGTCTCAGTTTAGTCATAGATTTCTCGACTCAGTAAAAATTTCATTCAGTTTGTAATTTATTATTATCATGGCGAGAACTTCCTCTTTTATACAGACACTGCGTACAGTTTGGTGCTTTTTTCGGCCAATAAAACTTTGAATTTGCTTTTAGATACATTCGCTTCCGTCCGTAACAGTTTCGCTTTGTAGGGCCGATTCATTCAAGGCACTTTAACATCGTTGTGCTTTACTATTAGTATCTGCTTTGGGTTCAGTAATATCACAATTCCGAAACGTCATCCCTACACACACCATATAACCATGATGGTTACAACTGTTCACTACATGTTTGCGAAAAAGCTGCACATGAAAATATTCTAATATTTATTCTAAAATATGCAGGATCACGCTTTAAAGCTTATCCACAGCTGGTAACAGTAACTTCAAGTTTATTGCACCTGGTGGAGTTTTATTGGCACTTAAAGAAACTATATCGTTCACTACCTTTAAGAAGTGAGAACTATTTTTGCAAGATGTACTATGTTAAATATTTTGCCAGTTTCTTTTTGTATTTCCAGTTCTTGTTTGTACTTTCTCCATTCGTTGGATTTCTTTGCATTTTCACTTAGTTTCATCCACGCTATTTTTATTTTCCTTTGCTTTAAACATGGAAGTTGAATTTTCTTTTGAAATGCTACTCCAGCAATATGCCTTAATGATCATAGCATAAACATTTCCTTTGAAATCATTTAAAGTTTAGTGATACATCAGTGTAGATCCCTACAGTAGATTTTTGTTTCTCTCCTTTGGAATACATATATCCTATAATGGTAAATAAAATATTATTATTGATGCCTGATACTTTTTAAGGTCACTTAACATATTAAGTGATAATGTAGTTGTAAAATTTGTTGCAGTCATCATAAACTGATTTAAATCTGGATTTCTCTCGTATCCAGACTGCTTTAGTCGGTAATGTGCATTTGTTAGTTTTTTAAATCACCACACATTCCCTCAAAGAATTTGAAACCAGATTTTAATTTTTTTCAATTGGAGGTGGGTATGCCGAAAGGCTAGAAATTAGGTGAAATTTTGACTGATGTATGTCCCATATTTTTGGAGTTTGTGCAAGGGAATAATGCAAAGTTCTCCTTTTGGGGTAGTTTTGTTGGTGTTGCAGATGAGTGTATCACCAAATGATGTAATACAAAAGATTGAAAACACTGAACAATATCCACACCACAACATAGAAGCGAACCAACAATGGTTTCCACAATACCAACACAAACCCCCTTATGACATAAGCCTTTCCTCCCTCTCATTCCTTGGCTTTTTAAGGCCTCGTTTCCTTAAAATATAATGAATATCCAGCTGAACAATGCTCACCCCACCGGCTCGTATTATATGGGTAACATCCTTATTTGAGTCTATTATGTTTTGCAGTCAGTCAGCTGTTCTAGTCCAGCCATTGTATCTGGGAAAAAATCTGTTACTGCTAAAATTCGTCGATATTTAAGTTAATTTCAGGTACATTTTGATAATGCTTTTGTGTTATTTTAACTTTTGAACCTATCAAAAAAGTTCCATTGCATCACCATGGCAAATGAAACTTCTTCAGCAGTGCTATTGTTTATATTATTATTATTATTATTATTATTTGGTTTTAATTCTTTATGAAATGCAAGTTGGGACTTCTCATAAATCTAAAGATATTAGGAATTTGAGGGTTAAAATTAAAAGCAGAATATTATTGGTGCTGTTACAAGAGAATCTCTTCTCATAGCTGAATTAGATCAGGTCTTGTTTGTTTGACAGACGTTTTACTCCCCCCTTTTGTAAACAAAAAGAATTCTAAGATTGAAAAGTTTGCAGTGTTACAATTCCTTTACAGAAGAATAACGAATTATCATCATCATTATCATAATTATTATCATCATCACCTTTATTATTATTAGTATTATTATTATTATTATTGTTGTTGTTGTTGTTATCGTTATTATTATTTTATTTATTCTACTTTTTGTGTGCCTGAAATGAAATTAAACCATGGGACATTGTCTGGGTATCTCACTATTCATGACGATTTTGCTTTGTTGACTCACTCCCTATCCTGTCTCCCGCCTCAATCCCTAACTATCCTCGCCTCCTTATATTGTCTCTGGACTTTGATCTCATTTATAAGACGTGAGTTATGGCACTACTAGTCTTCATAGTTCACTTGATAAAAAAAAACCCAACAAATATGTATTATGTTTGATGTGACCACTTAATACTGGTCGTCAAACGTTGTAATAGCCGACGATTCTTTCAAAAAAATCTATCACCAAAAGGTTAACTGTTCTTGAAATGTCAGAAAAGTGTTTTTGTTGTCAGTTAACAGCGGTGATTACATAACAGAAGAATAACATGGTAATTGACTTCAAATGATCCCTACATGCAGAAGCCCATGACCCTGTTTTCTGGTTGAATAGCCACGCGTAGCAGTGGGACTGAAGAGGTTTCGCGGACGCGAGTGCCCAGGGAGGAGTATACAGGGGAGCCTTCCTCCCCTTTAACGTGTTTCCCTCGAGCGCTCTATGAAAGAGTCTATAAAAGCTAACGGAAAAACTAACAAATGAGATCTTTTCACTAAAAAAAGGGTAACTCGGCCACTAACTAATGAGATCTTCTCACTAAAAAAGGGAACAAGGCCAATCAGTAGCCCGTTGCAAGCAACACATGTACTGCCGAGTGCCACCCGCCATTAATACATTCTGTTCGCGAAAACGTTTATGCGGCTCGCAGAGATGTTTCAAAATGTTTTTTTCGGCGGCTGGTTGAATGAAAAATCCTGTAGTACCCAGTGTAGGTAACCGTTCGAGAAGAGAAAACCCAGGACCTTCAGAAAAATAAAACTGAAAAGTGACAGACTATACACGCACGATTGAAGATGATGTGAATTGCCGAAATACAAATATGATCGTCGCAGTGGTAACTGCAGTTGTAAATAAACCCGAAAAAAATTTCGGGTTTATTTGCAATTGCTTAAATTGCAATTACGACGATCATATCTTCATATAAAATTTGTATTTCCACAGTTCACATCACCTTTTCACCGGTTAAGATGAACTCAATAAATTGGCCTGGTCCCAATGTATGTGCCGTCATAGCTCAAATGGTTTTAAATATCTAACTAGCAAAAGTTCATTTACAGTAGGATGCCTAAAATGAGTACAATTCTACAGTTTCGGCTAAAACAATTTCCACTGAAACAATAACGAGTCTGTTAAAAGATTTCCAAAACGGAAGAAGAAAAAACAGGAAGTTTCTGAAATACACGATTGTTTGTCACAATTGATGTTACGATTATAATGGTTCTGTGTGTGTCAAAAATATAAATATATTGTTCTAGGCCTGTACGTATGGTCATGACGTAGGCTAAAACTGTGTTAAGGTCTTTGGTTATATTATTACTAAGGATCAGTATCGTATGTAACGATCATTATATTAAATGGATTAAAAGGATATTTTTGTCAACGGCCTTCAGATTGCATAAGTACGTATAAAACGACATATATCAGGCAAAATCGTTCTTTTTTGCGTTGTCCTGTGTGGACTGTCGCGAAAACCGTGAACTCGCGGCAGATTTGTGACGTCACGAGCGAACGGAGCCAAAATCATGGTTTTCCTCGCAGGCAGTTCAATACGCGTTGTAGAGTGCGTGGGAGTATTTTTAAACGAAATGAACGCGTCATTCTTTACGATTGCTTCTCTTTCATTAAAAATGGCTGAAATTGCCACCTCTGGTTGAAGCACGCTGGCAGATATCGAAAACAGCTATTTTAAAGGAGGATATAAAAAGAGTTATTGGGGTACATTGTTTGATCATCGCCAAATGCTATTCAAAAATTCAATAAATAAGACAGAAAGATTATACCCTTTCAAGATTAAAATATTAAAATCCTCCCTTTTTGTATAATTGCCATGGATGTCATGTCCTTTTTCTTTTCCATTTTTCCTTTGGTTTGATTTTGCTGCGTTAGTTTTTTGGAGTGAGTGTGCGAAAAAAATTTTCACAATTTCTTGAGGAAAAATTAGTCTTGGTCTCTTTGACGAATACGGAAGTATTGAGTAGGCGTTTATGTATATATTCATTCAAAAGTGTACAGATGGTCGCGGGATCGGGAATACATGATTTATTGCGTTCTGATTGGTCAGAAGAACAATGGTTGAGCGACAATTTCCGACAATACCTAAACATCCGGGGATTCGAGTTCACTTTTGTTGATGGCTGATAGAAAGACAGTCATGGCGAGTGGTGGTAGTTTGTCATACATTTTAACCATGGAACTTTTTCTCCTTTATTAAAATCAAATGGAATTCTATGGATTCGAAAAACCTAAAGTTTATCTTTCTTATCGTGGTTCTAATTCTGGACTATGGACATCTTAGGGATTCGCCGGTGGCCGGTAAGTTTCTGTTCAACTTCAGACCAGTTGCACCCCTCTTGCGATCAAAGATTCGAGAACTCTTGATTTTCAAGGATAAAAAGTACACTCATTTATATTTGTCCTTTGTAACTTTAGGTTGCCTCACTTCGAGTGACTGTGGCTATGGCCAATACTGCGATGAATGTGAGTAAATGTTCAGTTATTGAGACGTTTTATTCGCGTCCTTGTTTTAATATTCTTGGTCTTTGATCGCCAACCTTGATCCATGTACCAAACTGTTTGAGTATTCTGCGGTCACCTGGTAGATCTATAAAAATCAAGAACATTTTATTCTCAATCTCCTATGCTTCTATGTTATTAAAAATTGCCCTCTAAGAATGTGAAGCAGGTTCTAGTGACTTTCATGAAGCTGTTTTTGACGCGCTTATTGATCGGCGTCGAATTGGTTCCAACATTTTGATTAATTTCGTTCTGGCTGGTTTGATTTGAGTGTGCTTCCCGCCTGAACGGAATACATTTTCTTTTTCCTTAAATTTTAACAACATATCACCATTATTTTAGTGACAAATGTCTCTCGTATTTTCACTTACGAGGTCCTATTTTTAAACGCTGTAAGATATTTAACTTTAGCCTGAATACCAAATAGTTGAATACCTCACGGGTTCAAAGCGATCGTTCCCGAAAATTATAAATTTGCATATGTTTTAACCGTAAACGGTAGTTTAGTAAATAACTATAATATCAGGGCTTTTTGCTTTATTTCATATTCTTTGTTCGTCATTTTGCATGTCTAATTCCTTGATCTGCAAACATAACATGTCGCACAAAAATGTATCTGAAAATTCGACGTTCTTTGCTCGACAGAAGTTGAGCATAATCGTTGAAGCAGAACTTGGTTTGCATTCAAACAGTCTTCGGGCGTTATCAGAGCAATCTTTGTCTCGTTGTTTACTTGAAAGTACATGTTCGTGTAATATCTCGATTAAACGATTTCTTCCTTTATTGTCTGAAAAGTAGCACTCGTAACATTTTATGATAATTTACACACCAGCTTACTAAACCCAGTTATTCGCAACATGTCTTCCCTAGAAACCATTTTTGAGTTTTAAGAATTTGTCGTTCTTTGTAGACTCAGTAAAAAAAACTAAATAACGATTAACCAAAAAAACTATATTTGATAATTACCTTAGCGGCTTATTGATTATGTGATATTGCTCGCCTTCTTTATGATGTTCTCGTTTCTTACAACATGGTCGTCTGGCAGGTTCACACGGCGGCTTACACCTTTTTTTTCTTTTTTCCACACTACTGAACCATGGAAACACAAATAGCAAAATTTAATTCAGCATTTTAGATCACTGAATGTAAGGAAATCCTTTTTTACCTTATACAAAAACTAGACAAATCTAAAAACGGTATTAATTCAGCCAGAAACCGTGCGAAAAAAAAAAAAATAAAATTTGTGAACAATTGTACATAAACAGTACATATAAATTAGCATAATATACTGAACTTATAGAGACCTTAGGGTACCTGTTTTTTGGTGGTAAGTGACAACAAGATCTTCCAAACACTCAAGACAGTGAAATCTGTGAAATCACTGTGTTTCCTCTTGTGTAATTTTAGATTATGACCATCCCCCTTTTTTTTTCCGTTTAGCGTCGAATGCGTTTCCTGATATTGGGTCGGTCAGTCAGATTGAAAAAAAAACCTTAAAAAAAATCACAAGAAGTCTCGGAATAGGAGGCCCTAGTACCCCAGCATATATGAAACATATATGAAACATATATATATTTTTCGCAGGGTTTCTTTTTCATATATATACATATTTGGATTAACGAAGTGCACACTAGCTATACTGTTAAAAAAATGTTCCTGTTTTTGTTCCTGTTTTTCTCTACACTATCCTATGCTCATTTTTCAGATTAAAAGAATTATTTCAAGTGAAAAATGGTTTAACTACATCGTTACTTTTTTTTGTTTTTTGAAAATGCCCTAAATTTGGGTCGGTCAGTCGGACGACGCTAAACAGAGGGAAAAAAAGAGGATGGCCTATGGAAATTGCAATGTGAATAAGAAACAAGAGAAAAGAAAAATGAAATGAAAGAATATTCATTGCAGCCTATTGTGGCATATGTTGCTTTCATTCTCAGACATCTTGAAAGTGGCATTCATTCGAGGATTTGCAGAGAAACTGATAAAACTGAATGGTTTTTCTCATTTTTACTTTCCCTGTATGTTGCAGATTTGTGTAAGAGAGAAGTAGCTGGCCAACAAGGTAAGATCTTTCCTAGTTTTGTGAAATTAAAAAAAAAGAAACATTAGTTTGCTTGCAAATAAAATTTTATTCAACAATTGAACCACTTAATTTAATTTTCCCATCATGTGACGGTGCTCCAAGCTCAATTTTTTTCAGTCACCTTTTTGCGACCTAAACTTATAAAATGGTTGCCAGACATAATATATTGGTCACCATAAAAAAAAGCACATTAGGGTGAAAAGAGGAAAATTGTCTTGAATACAAAGCATAAGTAATATTTCTTGCAAATGCTTACACGGTTGTCACTAAGATTTCAAGTTGCTTGGTAAATACAACAAGTAGGCGGGGAATCAAACAGCTAGGGGTTTTCTTTTGGTTCTATTTTCCTTTGAAAGTTGCAGTGGGCCACATTCATAGTAGCCAGGGGAAATCCTCGGCCCCCGCCCCTTAACGACAGCCCTGTGCTTATCAAGAAACTTTGTACACCTTCGCTCATGACTGTCGAACTCAGGTCACCAAATTGGCGACTTTAGTTGAAAGTTTAGTCGCCATATTTTTTTACTCGCCATGTTGACCAAAATGGTTGCAGCTTGGAGTGCTGTGTGAGGAGAGTTTGGGAGCATGGAACTGAGGATAATGTTTTGAAATTTGAATCTAAATGATGCCCTGTTTTTGTAATTCTGTTAATGAAAATGAAGCATTTAAAAAAAACATTTTCTTGTTGGTTTTCAGCTGACAGTTTTGATCCAGGGCTGTGCTCTAGCAGAGCCCAGTGGCCCCTGGCGCCTAACTTTTGTTCTTGGGTGACTAGAAAATCTTAGTTTTTTCATACAAATCATATGCTGGGCACCCTAGATTTTACAGTTTTAGAGCACCGGGTTCCCTTCTATTTTCCTTATAGCACAGCCTTGTGATTGATTGACAGTTAAGAGCAAACCATGAAAGAGAATTTAATGGTGTTGCTAAAATTTGGCCTGATCACAGGTTAAATTACCTTGAGACTTGAACTCATGATCTATGTATTACATTCCCTATGTACAATATTATGAATCACTCGATCATATCTTTGTGTCACTGACTTTTTCATTGTAGATTATCCATCTTATGGCAGAGGAGAGATACCAAGAAGAATAAGTTCCAATGAGTACTATAATTCCAACTATCGGGAAGAGTTTGATAACAGGGATGACATCAGACTGGATCAACCTGATAGTTCAGAATGGTATGCAGTTGAGAGTGACTATGATCGCAGAAAGGAGGGACAGAATTTAGGACCATTTTTCCCAGTTGAAGATTTACCTTCTGACAGGAGAGTTCTTGACGCTGAGTCGTTGCCCCCTATTGAGGTTGAAAACTGGGACAAAATTGGTATTGGTGCAAAGCATGGTACTAACAAACAATCCAACCGAGATGAATACAAAAGTCTTCCTTATGATTACAATAGTTTGAAAGCTCCGAAACATTTACGACAAAAAGAGGATTCTGGTTCTAAATCTGCACAAAGTGTTGGTCACAGAAGGGATTCCTCTAAAAATAAGAATGAATTTGTTGACAAGAGTCTTAAAGATTCTTTAGGTGACAATGTAGACTTGGCTTCCAAAAAAAGTGAAATAATGCAGTCAGAAGACAATGTCAGAAGCTTCCCTGTAGATAGCGAAAAGAAAATTCCACCAGTCCCATTAACGAGCGAAATAGCACCGGACCATGATAATTCTGGTCTCCAAGACAATCGCATGCAAACTGAAAAGCAGGCTTCTTCCGAAGGAAGGAGAGAAGAAGGAAAAGTCATGGTCAAGGGCAAAGTAAAAAAGGTGAAGGCGGACGTAGTCATCGATCAAGGGCCTAATCCAGAGAAGACTTATAAACGTGTTGAGGATTTTTTTCAAAGCCAGAGGGAGAGCTCCATTGTTGAAGTTCCTAATTCAGTAAAGAAGGAAGAGGCGTCAAAGCTGTACAAGGATAATTTCGTTCCCGTGAAGGATGATGCCAGTGATCATGTTAGCAAGGAACAAGGTGAGAAATTTCCTGATTAATGGATATGTCATTGAGGTTGAACTATCTTTAAGGTGGGCTCAATATGGTCTTAACTCTGGAAAAATGTCACATGAACCTAGGTTAGTGGCCTTATAGCCTGGTGGGGGGGGGAGTACTCCAGATTTCAAGTGACAAGGATGATCGAATGGCGGCAAAAATCAAAACCCCCCCCAAAAAAATTTCCTGGACCAAAATTTAACCCCCCAAAAATCCTGAGCCGAATTTTGGAGCCATAAAAATTTAATCACAGATTCACGCCACTGGGATATGTAGGAACTATCATGAATCTTCAGACTGTTTTGAATACCCAAAAAATCTCTACTTAAATCAAGCTACCCAAAAAAATACTTGCGAAAATTTTTTCAACCCCAAAAAATACAGAAATTGAAAATCTCAAACCCCCCAAAATTCCTTCAATCATCTGTGTCACTTGAAATGCGGAGTACCCCACTGGGCCATATAGCTCTCCTGAGTCTCCTGCTCCGTAGGTTAGTGGTAGAGCATCTGGCCTAGTAACCCTGAAGGTGATAGGTTTGAATACTATCAGCTGTAATCCAGGGGTGTAGCCAGCCCACAGACCTGTAGGCCTGAGCTTACAAATTTTTGGTTTGATTACTCTGCCACTTGTAATAAATTATGGATTGTTGGGGAGAACTGAAAAGATTAAGAGCTCAAAGTGTTGGTGAGGTCAGTGCGTACTAGTCATGCGTTCAATTTTCAGGATATGTGGAAATGAAAGTCAGCCAGGCCTACAGCTAGTCAAAAAACCGGGCTACTCCCCCCCCTTGTACTGAATCCTATTGGGAGTCCAGTGGAACCTTCATAATTATAACGAATGGCCAAGGGACTGGCAAAATTTTTCTCGCTGTAACGAGGTTTCATTATAAAGAGGGTTTTTTCATATATTTTGCTATCACTGGGGTAAAGAAAATAGTTCGTCATACCAAGGATTTGGTTATATTGAAGTACTTCATATTGAGGTTACACTTTAATCACTTAATGAGAGCGGTGGATTTCCCTCCAGCTTACATCAACATGACCCTTAGCTTAACTCTTATACATTGTAGAAAACCAATGGAAAATAACGCCAAAAGATGCCCCTGCCCAAGCTGTTCAATACTTGAAATCTTACTAACTGCCGAGCTAAAAGTGAAAATGAATTCTGCAGCTTCATTGGGAAAGCTGTTGTTTGCATTTTTAAAGTTTAATTCTATGTATAGAGTGTTATAACTGTTGTCGTAACAGATTTCATCTTCGTTTGCAGCTGATTCTGATAAATTAAAAGAAGGCAACATCAAATTGTCAATGAATCAGAAGTAAGTTTCTCTTCCCCTTACACGTCTATTTTCTGATGATACAGGTTATGTAAGTTTACATAACCATCCAAGCTTTGAAAAGGAGTAAACAGCCATGAGAGATCCTACGATCAGGAACAAAATTAGTTGAGACACGTCTCCATTTCTGATGTTTTGCTGAAAAGGGGAAAATGATGCTTTCTCTCCCCCACCCCTTCCATGCAATGTTGTGCTGCTGTTTGCTACCTGTAGGAAACAACCAACACTCCGTCCTTAAATGGATGGGAAGGGGAGGGGTGTGGATTGTTTTGTTCTCTGAAGTTACCCAATTTGAGGACAGTGTCTCAATAATTTATTCGTCGATTGTAACATGTTAGATCTGATCGTTCAGTGAGACAGACAAATACAGTCAAACCTAGCTTTGCAAACACCTGCTTAATACGAACACCTCATTATTACGGACAGTTTGCTTTGTCCCTGGGGAAAGAAATCCCTTACATTTTCTCTAAATCCAACCTGCTTAATATGGATACCCCATTAATACGGACTCTTTCTATGCCCCCTCAATGTCCTACGGTTGTATTTAATAGAGTACTAAAGTGATGATGTCATAAAAATGAAATTTCTGGAATTATGGGATTTGTCAGGATATTCTGAAATAACAATGTCAAAGCCTTGAGGCCTACTTACCCAAAATGAGCATTTTGGAGCAAATTGTCTCTGAGATGTTAGGCAGTTATACTCAGAAAACTCCATACAAACCCTTCTAATTTTTTGGGGGGTTGACCCAAAAAAATTTAGAAGGGTTTGTATGGAGTTTTCTCAGCATAATTGGGCTACAATCTCAGAGACAATTTGCCCCGAAATGCTCATTTTTGGCAAGTAGGCCTCTTGGACATTGTTCTTTCGGAATATCCTGACAAATCGCATAATTCCAGAATTTCATTTTTATGACGTCATCACTTTAGTACTCTATGGGGTTTGACTGTAGAATGGAAAAAGAAATATAAAAGAAATTCAGTCTCGTTTGACTATTAAAAAGCTAAAGGATGGCCCGAAGTTGGAACACCCATTAGTGCCCAGTAGGTCCTGCAGTCCATTATTCTTGTCTCCATATCACTGCTGGTGATTGTTTCAGCATGTTACACTATACAGCTTACAATACTTTCTCATGCCTGCTTCCTCACAACCTCTGTACACTCTAAATCTATACAGTGTAACTGCAGCCCAGGCCAAAATAGTCGCAGCCGCACTTCAGAATGCCCTTTGGAACAATGCGCCATCCCCTATGTTTACTGTGACAAAGTAAGCTAATGATCATGATATAAAGATAATCTGTCCATATTTTGAACACTGATTTTTCCATCACCTCAGTAACTTTCTTACGTAGCACAGCTGAAGATTCAAGATCCTCGTGGCCCCTAAAATAATGTTTCATAGGGGTGGCCAGTTCCTCATTGTTAGTTACCAGGTTGTTGCACCCTTCTGAACTATTAGTTTTTGTTGTAACTGACGCTAATGGATAGCATGCGTTACAAACATCCGGATAATTTATGTCCTAAAGTAAACTAAGGGGACGATAGGTGAGACCATAATAAAATTAAAGAATCGACCAAAAAGACTGTACAATATTTCATATTGCAATGTGAGTTTAAACAAATAAGATCTATAATTGGATGCCCACTGCTGTGACGGATTACTCTTAACATATTTGTTTTCAAAAATTTATGTCTTCAGAGAAATCTACATGTAGTTGACAACTTGGTTACTAATTTTCAGGATTTGATCATCAATGCAACACAGAATTATTCTACGATGCTCGTGTGTGTATTAACAGAATGTTTGCATGTGTTTTCAACAGGGTCAACAATGCAGAAGTGAAGCTTAAGATGGCACAAACACAGTACACCCTTGAAGAGCCCAGGTCTGTTGCCGAAAGGATCACAAAAGGTAATAGTTCAAATAGACTTTAGTTTTTAAATGCCACACCCTAAAGGACCATATAGTGACCCGTTAAATCTTTTTTAAAATTATTTTTGAAACTTTGTTTGTGGTAATATCTTTTCAGAACCTAGTGTGAAAGATGAAGTTGCACGGAATAGTGGCCTGGAGATCAAGGCAGCTGATTATGAAGATACTCCAGTAAGTATTTAGTACCCTGTACATGTACAACCACTTATGTCAGCTTGTTCTTTCAATTGCCCCTCCCTTCCTTCCCCCCTCCTCTTCAACCTCCCTTGCAATTGGACATAGTTCAAGAAAGTTAGAGGGGGGAGAAGGGGTGGGGTTGTGTTGTTAGGGCATTGACCCAATGGCATTTTTTTTTGGTCTCTAGACTGTTCTCCATAAATTTCTTATGACATTAATGTGGAATAAGTCCTTCCTTTAGTTGTCAATTTCTTTTATTTTTGGGAGCTTTGAGCTCGATGTACCATATTCATACACTCAGGAGAAATAATATACATTGTTAAGTTAGACACTGCTAGGTTTTAAGGTGAATTGAACTCCTAAGGGAGTTTTTTTAAAAAAACAGTGAAACCTTGACTTGAGTTTGAGTTGATGGTTGAATTTACTACAAATTGAGCCAATGGGAAAGTGAACTTAGTTGGAGTTATTAGGGGGTTTAAGTGATGAAGTTTCTATGGTAACCTTAGAGTCTGTTTTATTGTTTTACTCTTTTACCAACATTTTTTGGTTCATAGTATTATGTTAAGTCCTAAAAGTTATTCTTTTTAGCTCTAAAACCTACACTAAATCTTAACAAAGATTGATTTGAAGAACTTTTAAATATTTTCAAACCTTTCTGCTTGGATATTTTTCAAGAACTACAGGTTGAGCATGAATCTATTGTGTGATTTTGTGTAGCTCAATAAAACTTAAATTTTATTTCAAAGAACAAGCTATTTAAAGTATTCATCAATCAGTTACCATATATGGGAATAGCTCATAAACTATTCAAGTGCTGTCATATGAATTAATTATGAATTTAGCAGAAAGCTTTCATTTCTTATTGTGAATAATACATCACAAAGAAGCCTGTCATTGACCGAAACACTATTACTGCCTAGTCTTGGTGAAGAATAAGACTTATGTGCTAAATTTATGTGAGTATTTTTGTGTAGTTCAATTGAATATTTTCTTCCTTATTGAACTTCAACAAGGTGTAAGATGTGTTTTTTCTAATCTTGATTTCTTTTGACATCAAATAGAGAAATCCTCCTCACAATAATTATTGTAATTTTCCCAATCCTGGGTATTATTTTTTATACCATGCTTTTTCCTCATTTTAAACAAGTGTTTCCTTCCTAGGCAATTGTGAAACAGGTTTTTAATTTCAGTTTTAACTTGTTTTTAGATGTGTAAGCAAAGAGACGTTTGTTGGAAATTTTGTTTCTATTCAAAGATGAATTTAGAGATCATGATGTAAATCAGAGAAATTTAGTTTTATTCAATACTTTTATAATAATTTTAATTATTTAATTTTTAAGTTTAAAGTGTTTTTTGAACAACACTATAATTTTTCTTTATTAAAATAGAAGATTATATATTATGTAATTTCAAACTGATTTACAAGATTTTTTCTCACTATGTAGTTTAGATTAATCTCTTGTAGTTTTGGTCTGCTAGATTTTTAATTTTCTAGATATTTTCTTGTTGGTATATTTTTCTGAACATTGGAACAAAGTATTCATTTATTCCCTCACTCAAAGAATCAAACCTTCTTTTCACTTTTCAAAAAATTCCAGATAATCAGGGATTTCTCCATTTTCAACTGCCTCTTTTTTTCCCTCTCTATCAAAAAAACTCTGGGTCATACGTACACTGTTTACAAGCAGCCATTATGACACCTAAAGGAGAATCATGAGGTTGCCCCTATATGAAGATCTCTCCTTACAGATAGGCCACCCAGCCAAGGAAAGGTTGCCCACACCACTGGGGTCTACGGCCCCTACCTATTTTAATTTGAACCGTGGTGTGGGTTCTTTTACTTCTCACAAGAACCAGATAGGTCAAAGTGCTGTGAGACAGGCCCCTTTTCGGTCAGAAAGACTCTCTGTCCAAATTCTAACAGAAAGTGTTTGTTTATTACTTGCAGAGCAAAAATGTAAAAAGTGGACGGCCTAAGACATCAGTGGAAACACAGCAGCCAAAGTACTTCCTTATCACTATCATTGTTGTTGGTTGTGTGACTGGAGTCGTGTTGACAGCAGTTGCAATTTACCTGATGATGAGAAGGTATGACAGCCTCATCCTTCTGGAGAGCAAAGAGTATTTGGAAGCTTAAGAAACCACAGAAATGAAAACATCAAAAAACCATTGGTTTTATGAGCAAAACAAGAGCTCTGCACATGCATCACTTTTTAGTACATTTCTTTGACTTCCACTACATGATTACGCCCTGAAATCTCCTGATGCGACATTTTGTAGAGCAAGTGAAAATATGACAGACACTTTTCCTTCTCTTGTTTTGAACCTGGATAAAGTCCTTCAGAATTCAACTCTAGGAAAAATCACCTTCATTTGACAAATCGAAGGGGTTTAAATAGACACAATTAAGTTTCAAAGGGCACATTTTGTTTTCACTGCTGTCATCGTTGTCATTGCTTAAGCTCCCTGCTTCTAAAAGTACAACCCCTTGCATTTTTTTCTAAAAGTGTTTGTTATGTCTATCTGAACAGGGTTTTCAGTGTCCTAAATGTCTCTCAAAGTGGACAAGAGACAACATCAACTATCCATCAATCTGCCATGTTTAATCCCCCAGGATTCTTACAGTGCACATGTCTTAATGTAAATCTATGAACATATTGCACTTGAAGGGTCAAAGTTTAATAACAACAAAGCTCGGAGGCCTACAGCATCTAAATCATTTTCCCTTTGTTAGTGCAAATAAGATTAACTGCTACTGCTCAAAACATCAGCTTTTGAATCTGTTTTTCCATCAACAGTTCACCTTAATAATTTCTATTTATAAGCCTATTATTGTGTTTGTTTTTTCTGTTTTTACAGTACCATCCACTCTTTGTTTATATTGGGTAACCCTCAGTGTTTTTCAAATTTTTTGTCAGGCACAAAGAAACAAAGGGTTTCAAGCCAGTCACTCTTCCTGGTCAGGAAGCCGCTGCAGACTACCAGGTAAAATGATTTGAACCATTAATTTACCCATCCAACAGAAGACAAAGATGTATTGGAGAATGCATTTAATGCATTAGTACTGCAATATTATTATAAGGACTCTAGCAGCTGTCCATGAACCCTGGTACCATACTTTTGCTCTTGGGTGACTAGGAGAATGAAAATCTGATGCAGAGCACCCTGGATTATACGGTTTCAGATCATTCAGGGTGCCAGTTAACCCTTGAAGTCCCAATAGTGACCTTCATCAATTTTCTTTTAACAATATCCATACATTGTCACGAGAATTAATCAAATGATCGCCAAAGAGAAAACGCTTTCATCTTTTATTAAACTCTCTCAACTATGTATGAATATCAGTGTGGAGAATTTGGTTGTGGACATTGGGGCTTAGAGGGTTTAATATTTTTTTTTTCAGGACGGCCATGCTCAAATCAAGGCTGTTCAGGGGCGAATGGGTTTTAAAAAGTAGCTGTAGTGGTACTGTTGTGGCCCACTAAAACAGCCTTGAAATCGAATCTATTTAAAGGGACCATTTGACAGCACTTTAGTCCACTTTGTTTTGTTTTGCTAATTACTGCTATGAAACTTGATGTTTGTGAAGAAATTTCTAAATTCCAAAATTGCGGTGTTATCACTAGATGTCTCCTAAGGGTAATATTCAAAGGTACCAACAACAGAGATGAACTTTGAAGAAATGTTAAGCTGAACTCAGCTTTTTCAATTCATTTCAATATTCATTAATTTATCCATCCATACCTTCATTTGTACTTGCTGTTTTATTTGAGTTGTTTGTTTTTTTTCACTTACTAGAGTTCTAAAGTGATGACATCATAAAAATTAAATTTGTGAAATCATGGGATTTGTCAAGATATTCTAAAAGAATGACTTCCATGACACCTACTTGCCAAAAATTAGCATTTTTGGGCAATTTGTCTCAGAAATATTAGCCCAGTTTTGCTCTGATGACTCCATACAAATCCTTCTAAATTTGATGTGGGTCTAAACGTTCAAACCCCAAGTCACAACTTTAATTTTTTATGATGCCACACATTAGAACTTGATTTGGTTGCCAGTTCCTGATAGCTGAAATTGGTGAAATTATGTGCCATTTATACAAGATGTAAGGGTTACAAGTTATCCTAAATCAGTCATTTATGGCTTTAAGGGTGAAAAATTATGGCTGCATGGCTGTTTTTTTAACCAGCTTTGTCACTTTTTGTAGGAACTTTGTCGTCAACTGCGTGCCACTCAAGGTTGGGACAGCGCACCTGTAAAGACTACACCCACACAGCATGGTGTTGAAAAAGAAAAGGGACTGGGAAGTGGACGTGCTCCCAAATACTCCTGGTATGTAAAACTGATAAAAAATTACAGCAGTACCTAAGGGAGGGGTCAAATTGCATGTCAGTGGCTCGTTGGACTGAGGTCAGGCCAGGTCGTTCTTGTCATGGTTCGTTCTTGCAAAATGTTTTTCTACTCTCTACCATTCCCCCCTACAGTAAGTATGCAGTAAGTTAAGTTTCACTGGTTAGCAGTGTGAGGGTGCTGGGATGGATGCCACTCTCAGGGTTGTCAAGGTTACGTATTGCACTTGGCTACATTTCGGGGCTCCAGCAACCTCTCAGGTACCTCCCCCCATGCTCATCTTCCCACCTACCCCTCCCCAAAGACAACGTTTTACCCCAAGTGAGAAGTAAGCGTTAATGTTGGCTTAGGAGAGGGGTAGGTGGGCAATTTTCCAGAAATGTACAATGATCCAAGTAACTTAGTTTTTTCCCATTCTTACGGTTGTATCATTGGGCTGATAATTAAAAATACGTTATTAATTATTCTTTTTCAGGAGTGAAGAGCCAGTTGTCCCAAATATGGACATTTCCACTGGTCATGTGGTTTTGGTAAGTATACTCATCAGTTGTTGGTAACAAAGATGATGATGAGTAGGATGACTGGTGGTTGCCTGTTTTCCATGTTACAGGTAACTAACCTGGACATGAATATAAGGACTAACCTTAAAATTATGTCATTACACAAGTGCAAATTTTGGAATATGAGCATTGCCTATGCACCATACTAAGGAAAAACTAACATAATCTTGCCTTTCTCTCTCATTAGGCCTACATGGAAGACCATCTTAACAATAAGGACCGGCTAAACAAAGAATGGGAGGCAAGTGTTTTTTTCAAATACAGTATAACCTCTGGTCCATGATGAAACATTTGTTTGGGTGACTGCCTTGATGTTGAGTTGTGGGAACCAAGATTTCTTTTCAAGGAGGCTTAAAACAGTCTATTAGGTCAACGTAAACAAAGTTCAACCACAATCATTACATGTATGTTCCGATGCCCATATTATTGTTACTAGTATTCTTTGGGCGTAATTTTGCATTTTAAGTTTGTTTTCAATTGACAGCTTTCTGGAATACAAGAAATGCAATAAACTTGATCTAGGGATCACTTGTTTTGGCATACATTGCATTGCAATATCTAGATGTCTGTTTAAACTAACATATTCTGATATCTGTAGTTTGTTCATGGTTCAAAGGTCACAGTAGAACTGAGGGAGCCTCTGGCTCGGAAGATTGTGCAAACACTTCCCATGCCTTCGACAGCAAATAAATTATTCAATTCCATTCTAAAAACTTTGCATGTTCTTATTTCAAAATATGGTCCTCATCTTGATGCCACAATCCTTCCTCAATACTAGCTGTACTGTCAGGTCAAAGCAGGGATTGATAACTTGTTATTTTACTTTTGTATTTATTTAGGACTTAGAGGCATAATGTTACTTTAATTTCTTCTGTAGGCTTTAAAAACATATGAGGCTGAACCTAATAGCAGAGAAGTTGGGAAAATGGAGAAGAATCTTCGCAAGAATCGCTACGGCGATGTTCTGCCATGTAAGTATTATCCTGTTGCACGACTGCTGTTATTGACTAGATTTGTTTGAAACTTGGAAAATGTTTTAGAATGTGAATCAAAGTGGTTGCCTGACGATGACAGTCGCCAACTACTTTGATATCTTTTTTTTTTTCCCAAAGCTCATCAACCAAACACTCATGAGTCTAGGTCTCAAGCCCCTCTCTACGAGAAGGTCTTTTCATCACTGCATTGTAATCCACAAGTGTCTAATCTGAGAAACTGATTTTAACTTAAATTTTATCAAAAATGAAGTGGTTCTTTCATGTAACACAAGATACTCCAACTGTCTTTGATTGCCCCTACCCCAAACTAACTGGGGAAACAAATATTTATCTAGCATTCTGACAGACTGAAACAGTCTTCCACCCGATATGAAAGAAACAAGCTTTATATCCATTTTTAAATCCAAACTAGAAACCTTTTTAGAAAACCTGAACTAGTTTTAACTAGTTGTTAACTTTGTTACTTCAATTTTAAGATTTTTACCCTTTAATTTTATGAGTCAATTTTACTTTTTTGCAATTAAATAATTTATGAATTTTGTTAATTGATGAGGGCCCCACTAAAAATAACCATGGTGAGTTGCGCTCCCTCTTAAAATATCATTATTACTTTTTATTTTTTCAGATGACCATAATAGGGTTCTTCTGAAGGAGACTGCAAGTGCTACTGGTTCTGATTACATCAATGCCAGCTATATTGTAAGTGATCAAACCCCAAATTTTCCTTTGAGTTTCATCCATTTGTTACACAGTTATAACAAAGTAATATAGAATATTGAAACTTGCAAAAATTTCTGGATTCACGCATCCAACCTTGTTTGTGGCGAGGGGGGAGAGGTTAGCCATTTTTGATTCAAGAGAAAGTCCACAAATACAAATAGTCCAGAGACAGTTTTCCATGATTGAAGGCTATCCCTTCCCTGCTTCAAGATTATCGCCACAAGAAGCTTCATTTGAGTCAGAGAGCAACCCTTGCTCTTATGTCAAACACTAGATCCTCCACGTCGTGTTATAAGAATTTATCATGGTGTGATACACCATTCCATGTTTGAAATATTCCTGTTTCATCAAGACTTTGGCAATGGATGGGTTGCTTTGTTTTATTGTGTTGTATACTCACATTGGATGTGACTCTCCACAGATGGACCATGATCCCAAGAATCCTTCGTACATTGCAACACAGGGACCCCTAGCTCAAACGGTGTCAGATTTCTGGCAGGTAGGGTGTTATGCTATGAGTATTTTAAATTTTAAATTGTAAATATCTTATTATCCACTCCCCCAGAGCTTTTCAGGGCTAATTTACAATGCTGGTTGGGGGGACTTTCGCCAGACTGCTTATGGTGCAGTTTACAAGTAATGAAGGAATGACTTTGAATTTGAGATAGATCACCACACCCGGGACTATGTCCCTACTCTTTACAAACAGTGTTTGGGTTCTTCAATGTTCCACAGAATTTATTATATGCACAAGGATTGTGAGACGGGGCTTACAGTTCCATGTCCTTTTCCAGGAAGACTAGAAAGTCTAACTATTTGCAAATGTCATCACAAAAGCAGTGCTTTCTCCTCAGTTATTTTTAAGATCTGGATTGTTGGTCTGGCCGGGGTTTGAACCGACATACAGCCTCCTCCTCACAGACCTTGTGCTTTTCCAATTGAGCTAACCGGCCTTCAATTATTGTGATTCAGTTTTATAACCTGTTTCATTTTGTTGCCCTTTCAGATGGTGTGGGAACAAGGCGTGGTAGTTATTGTTAACTTGACTAAGCTTTCAGATCTTGGATTGGTAAGTGCTGTCCTCTGTCACTTTTAATGGCCAGTTTCAAATTGTTATTGATATTAATTATTTTTATAACTTCTAAAATTTCAAATTCTGTGTCGAGTGCAATTAAAGGATTAGAAATGAAACCATTCAAATTTTTCTCTTACAGCCCCAATGCCATCGATACTGGCCCGAGGAGCAGCAACCAATTGTCACATATCGTATTTATGAGGTACGTTGCCATAAGTTAAAATAAATCTTATGATTTGCCATGCTTTCTTGTGCAAATGTTGATATTGTTTAATCTGCATCAACCCCAAATGTCTTGTGTTCACAATTCAGGTTCACCTTGTCTCGGAGCATATATGGTGTGAAGATTACTTAGTGAGAAGTTTTTACTTGAAAAACCTACAGGTATACATGTGGTCATACTAATGAGCATTATAATTTTTTTCTAATGAAATAATGACTACCACAGTACTTAATGGGGAATGGTGATTTAAAAATACACATGCTATGCCAGCATGCAAAGAAAGTCATGTCCAATAGCCTGGGGCTAGTGGATTTTGCTATCGGGTTAGGGAATTCTGTTCTTAACTTCAGTGCCCATCTGGCAAGTGAAGTATTTTTGGGAAATTCAAATTACTGAAGAACTGTAATCAATGCTGCTCATCAAAAATTTTGGGGGGCTACTTAAAAGACTCTTGGGCTAGTACATACTAGCAACAATTTGCCCGATTGGCAAACTGTAAAACCAACTTTTCTTTGCACCCTGCTTCGTTAAAGTAGTTTTAAGTGGTTAACCTTTATTTCAATGTATCTTTTTTGTTCTTCCATCTTACAGACTAGTGAAACAAGAACTGTTACTCAATTCCACTTTCTCACTTGGCCGGATCTTAATGTTCCTGCTACTCCTAAGCCACTTCTGGAATTCAGACGGTAAGAGTTGTGAGCAAGTGATGTGTTCACAGAGCAGTGTTCTTCTTCCATTAACACTGGTTAAATGACCATCACATCTCCCTTGATGCCATTGATTATTAAGTAGACATTTTTCCTTGGCTGCTTCCGTGTGCTTTTCTTCCACCTGCTAAGCTAGCACCCTCACTGTTACTTATCAAAATTAATGAAACTTAGACACCACAATTTAAAAGCACCTAATGACAACTTATCCAGGGTTCTCAATAGATTTTTAAGTAGGAGGTGATCACTGATAAAGTAGGAGGCTCTTCAAATGACAACTTCAATCGCGGGTGCCGCCTTCTATTGAGAACCCTGTTATCGTGGCGTTACAGCCATCTCTCTTTGCTCCTTGTGGCGAAGAGCAAACGGAGATGACTGTATTCACAGGCTAACGACGTCTTTTTTTAAATTTGTCATTTATCCTCTTGTACACAGCCAGTTGCTTGACACTTGGGCTTATCTCCATAATTTTGCTGTATGTACCTTATACGTTATACTTAGAACTTTTACTGACAACACAGAACTACATGTTACCTAACGAAGAAATTGTATGCAATAAATTCTTTTCCAAAAGTAGATAAGTCCTAATGTCTCCCTTTAGATTTGACTTTCAATTTGTAAGCAGCCATTGACTCTATTCAGTTTGAGTGGACACTTGGAGGGGTTCACCCTGGTCGCAGAAGTTTTTCTTGAAATTTTTTCGTCACAAAAGAGAGAGCGAACCGCAAATCAACTTGTTGTTGCCACTTCTCAGCTCGCTCTCTCTTTCACAAAGAAAAATTTCAAGAAAAACCTCTGGGACCCGGGTAATAGGAGTTCAACTGTGTTATAATCAAAGTATATGTTATTCTTTAGAAAAGTGAACAAGTGCTTCAGAGGCCGAGCCTCTCCAGTTGTCGTTCACTGCAGTGGTGGAGTAGGGAGGACTGGAACTTACATACTGATTGACATGGTGCTGAACAAGATGATGCGAGGTCAGTGCCGTGGATTGTTGATAAAAAAATGTTTAATAAATTTAATTATTAAATTAAAGGAGTTTTAACCAGAATTTTTGTGATTGCTAGAAACACACTCTAGAAACACATATGAAATCAAAGAAACCCAAAAATGTTGGTTTAGTCTTGCTTCAAATAATTCTTAATTCGACAAGGGCAAGTGTTGAACATAAAAACGTTGGCTCAATTTTTTTTCAAGTTGCTTTTCATGTGACAGTCTATTGTTTATTGAACCTTGAAACTGTTGGTGTTGCAAACCAATCCTGTGGGAATTGAACTCTTTTCTTATGTAAAATTTTTTTGTTCAATAAATTAGCATAGATGCTGGCCACTATAGTAACTTAACTGTAAACTGCACCTTAAGCAGTCTGCATGTCCAGTTAAGTTTTAATAAGATTAAACTTATGTTCACAGAGAGTTGTTTTGATTAAACTTGTGTTCACAGACAGTTGCAAAGAATAGTTTTAGCAAGCGTTTTACCATGTTATTATGACATTTAAAAGCTCATGAGGAACAGTTGATCTGCTTTGATTGAGTACTTTCAGAAACTAAACTCATAAGGGGTCTGGTACCTAAGAGAGACAATACTATTCTACTTACTTGAATGAGCACTGCATTTGGGAGCCAAAAAACTACTAAGTACAACACCCTCCAAGAAACAATGCAAAGAAGAATTCCAAATAGGAATTTTAACCGCCATCAAGTAAACACGTCCATCAAGTAATTGTCACAGAAGTCTTTAGATTTTAACTAAGGCACATCACCTAGTGAAACTGGCAAACAGTGTTCAATGAGTATTATTACAATAATATTGTATTCTTTCGGTATGTGCATCAATCTCTAGTCATTAGATTACATATGAAGGGTTATTAAGCAAACAACAGCTACAAATTGCATGACATTGGTGAGACTGTCCTTGACTTAATTCACAGGTGCTAAAGAAATTGATATTGCTGCTACAGTTGAGCATTTACGCGACCAGAGACCATCAATGGTTAAAACTAAGGTAAGGAACGTTAGGCCGATTACTTCTGCATTCTTGAACAGTTTGAAGTGGTTATTCTGAGATATTAGCAACGGCTTTAATCAGTTATTTAGTGCTGGTGTTGCCCGGAATCCTTTTGCCTGGATTGTTTTGATTATTCGTTGTGGAAACACCTCACTTGTGATGCAGGACAAGTGGCAAGATTGCAGGTAGTGGACAAAACACTGACTCCCAGTCCATGGACTACCCATATGGACTACTCTAAAATGGACTATGCCCCAGGCCCCGGTTGTTCAAACGTTGGACATCGCTATCCATCGGATGAATCACTATCCAGTGGATAAGACAGGGGCACCCAACGTCAATTTTCGGAAAATATCTGTTCGGAAGACGATTTGAGATCTAGAATTTTCGGAACATTTGTTGTAAAATTTCTTACTTGCCTGCCTTTCCTAGGATTTTCGAACATCTAAAAAACGGTATAATTGCCCATTTTTAACGGATTTTTACCCTAAAAAGGTCACCTAGAATTTTCGTAAGCCTTTTTTCTGGCTGAAATTTTCGAAAAGGTAAGTTTTGATCCCTAGAATTTTCGGATCAGTAGACTTTCAGCTAGGAAATCCGAACAGATGGAAAATTTTTAGGGCATAAAAATATGCCTATATCTACCGTTTAAATACTAAAATACGTTTAACATTGCTATGTTTTAGTGGTTTCGAACTATATTCTCGTTGGGTGCCCCTGATAAGTATTAGGAAAACCGATTGCACTATCCACTGGATAGTGTTATTCACCTTTTGAACAACTGGGCCCCGAAGTTTAGTGATAAAGGTTAGAAAACTGAGTGAATCAAGTTTGAGGTCAGATTTCTAAGTATGATGAACCTAAATGGAACCTGATTCACTCAGTTTCCTAACCCTAATCACTAGACTTAGGCGGCATAGTCCATTTTAGGGTATAGTCCATATGTAGGGAAATGTATGGGGACAAGTTTGGAGAATCTGTATGTTGATATTGGGGCTTAAATGGTTAAGATATTGTTATTTTGTTCTTTTTAGGCTCAGTTTGAGTTTGCACTGACAGCGGTTGCTGAAGAAGTGAATGCCATCCTCCAAGCTCTCGCCAAGTAACCTCTACTGTCAACACTGTGTCCTATTTCAGTTTTATTTGCTGGACATTTTAATTTGGCCATTTAAAATGGTTTGGTTCTTTAAGGTGTTGGTTTACAATAATACTGTTGATAATGCAATAATACTTGAATGAATCCAATTCTTGTTATAAGTTGTAGCGAAATCTACAGAGTAGGTGAGGACTTAATTTTGATGAGAAATTCATTTATTTATATATAATTTTTATAAAATGGTAAACGTTTTATTTTGATAAGGTTATGTTCGTATCACAAAAATATATCATGGTGGCTTATAAAATTTTGAAACACTGACCAAATTTGGAGCCCTCGACACGATTCGAGGATTGTTTCTCATTCACATAGTTCACGAGTCACGCAAATGTTGTCACGCGTTTGTCACACTCGATGAAGAACATCTTTCCCTCTCTATAACATTTGTCCCGGTGTTTTCATTTTAGGTTTTGTTCGTAATGAGGGAAAGACATCTAGTGTATAGATAGTATTTATTGTGTCAAAGTTCTTTACCATAAATGTTGTATGTTAATGGAAAATTATGGAGGCGTGCGTGGCAGCCTCGTGATAGTTTTAGTTTGTTTGCAACTTTTGTTGCGTTCAACCGATAATACAGGCAACAAATTCCCGCGCGCAATTTTTCTAGCAACATTGTTGCATAACATGTCGGAGAGAGACCTTGTTTTTTTTGCAACCCGCGCGGGCAACAAGTAGACTGGAGCTTTTCACTGTGCGCGATCTGCAACAGTAAATAATTTGTTACTCAACAAGTTACTCACGCGTGTGGTAAACCGAGCAGCATCGCTCTTCAATGTTGCTCGAGAAAAGTTGCACGAATATGTTGCATCTTAAGTTGTAAATTTCATTTTGTTCGTCTTCAATGGAAGAATGTTTTATCTCGAATCTAGTTAAAATTTTAAATGTGTTACAATTGTATGATATTAGCGTCGTCATACTTGCTAATCATATTAATTTTCGGTGTATATGTTTTTAAGTAGTTGTTTATAGGCTTGCAAATGTTATTTTTGATCCATCTCGTAATGGAATCACGTAAAACAACCACTTCCTTAATGTATGAGCAGCTACAAATAGTCTGACAACAAATTGTTTCCATCACACAACAACATTATGTCGTCTTTTAGTTGAAGAATTTTTATCTAACCTTCAGTCGTCACACTGCATAAAAATTTAACAAACCTTGTCAATACGGTTTGTAGTTGCTTACGTGATTTATTGGGAACAAGGAGCTTGAGTACTCCATGAAAGTTTTTCAGTTTTCGTGATATTTCAGTTGTTTCTCAAAAACGTTTGACAGCTGCTGAGTCAAAGCCAGCCATAGAGACAACTGAAGCCGTATATCATTATACAATTGTTGTTCAGGGCCCAGTAGTTGTTCGAAGGCCGATTAGCGCTTAACCCAGGGTTAAATTTAACCGTGGTTTCTCTTTCTTTTTCTCAAAAACATTTTCTCGGATAATTTTCCCTCCTATTTTTAAGAGCATCCAATCATCAACTTGCTGACAAAAAGAATTCAAATTTCGCACAAACCCTGGGTTATCTTAACCCAGCTTTGAACAACTCGGACCAGGCGTCCTTCTGTAAAAAAGTGGACACTGCTTTCATCCCACAATCAGAGCCCTCCTTTTGTGAGTAAGTAAAAGAAGGACTCTGTTAGCAGGATGCCGTTCGGAATACTGGTCCCAGGATCGTCGCATATTCTCAGAAAAGTGCATTGATGCCTTTAATGTCGTCCACCGTCTCGAACCGTCACTGGTTATTACCCAAAAAGTATTAGCAAAATTATATAATATTATATGAATTCAGTGGCATGTCACAAATAACAATTATTTTTATTTATATTTTTCTTGAAACAGTTTAGTTTGACTTGAACAGAGAGCGCTTGCGTCTCGTTCGATCTTTAACTACCATGCAAAGTCGTCGTCAAAGGGACAGCTCTTTCTGTTTGCCGAGAACTGAAAGGTTGAACGAAAATGACCACATTTAACGGGATATGTAAAAATCTATTTTAGCTTTATGACAGAACGGTATTTTTAACTGAATTTTAAGCCCTTATCTGTCCGAATGCAGCTCGTCGTAAACATTCAATGATACCAACCAATAGACGTGTAGTTAGGTTGTAAGTTTGACTTCTGCGATGTTCTTGTGACTTGCAAAACCCGCAACTCGTAACTTCGCGGGGAAAAGCACATGGCTTACTCGGAAAAGTACTCCAAACAACTGTATAGGGAAAAAACAACAGCTTGTTCGTTATAATATTGTATTTACTGCATAGGATTACCTATTAATCGCCTTAGGATTTATAGTGCTCAGTTAAAAAACCGTTCCCATGACGTAGGTAAGGATTTTCGTTTTCAGCAACTTTAAAATTGTATGAAGAGTTGAAGGAAGTCTTGACGAGGGAGAAGAAGACTAGGAATAATTTAGGCTCGTTTATCTATCGGGCCAATCAAATCAATGGGGTTAAACTTACTATACTATTCTACTTACTGAATATACTATTACATTCTTCCTAGACTGCAAGCAGTCTCTCTTTTGCTCTAAAATTTGTGTGCGAGCACGATACGTGAGTATACCGCGAGTATCGAGTTGTGTGCGGGAGTGAATACGAGCCTGCACTCGCTCACAGATTCGAGCAAAAGAGAGACTGCACGTAGTCTGCATTCTTCCAATGATAATACTAACTCCTTGACTGTCTCTAATAGCAAATACTCAGATGAGTACTTTTTAGAGAAATTTGCCATGGTCTTGCGCTAATTTCTAAAGAAATGTCTGTTGTCTTACGCTAAACTGGTAGTATTTGCTAGCACAGTAATGCAAAATTGTATGTGTAATGAGGCGTTGAAGACTCGCGCGGTTTGGAAGGTAACGTTCGTGAACGCAACAGCTTATTGCATGCAAAAAGGCGTAAACGTCTTAAAATGCGAATATAAAAGTTAACGTTGAGACCACGGCTAATTCCTTTTTTAAAAAAAGTCAAGCCCCGGCTATAAAATCAAACATTTTTGTCCAGCGACATGCTTAAAGAATTTTGAATAGCTGAGCACGTTTGGTCGTTTTCGTAATCTCTGCTGAGAACCTTGCACTGAAATGGCTTTTGATCTAGATCAAACATTTGTATCCAACATTCTGTTACGAGCAAACGTTTGATTTGAGCGGTAATCTGCTCAAAGCGGCGTGTGGACCCTCCTTGTTCCGTGTTTGGTCAAACTGAGGTTATTCTGTGTGACCAAGATGTCTAAAGTGTTTGATAGTTTAGGTGGGGCTTTTGACATGATCATTCTGTTTCTCCTCTTATCACTAACTTGAAATCTGTTGAATTTAAACTGTTATCGCATCACCTGTTCTTTTTTGGTTTGACTTTTAAAATGGAGAGAATAAAATTATGTTTAACCGAAAGAGATCTTTGGTGTTCGTGTGGCTTCCTCATGTTTGCCTAGATCGTCAAACCTACGAAATCACAATTCTAGCTTTCTTGCAATGTCACTTAGTAAGAAATTGGCCACAACAGTGACAGTCAGTCTGGACGACCTGTGGGTTCCGTTATATTACCTCAGTTTAGGCGCAATGTGCAAAAAAAATTACTTGAGGCGTGACATTTTATCTGTACCCTTTACAGTAGGTCATCTGTGCGCTAAAGGCGCGTTTTCTCTGCTCCCCACCCCATCCCCCTGGCTCCATCAATGTATAACAGTCAATGATGCCATTGTGCGCCAAACCCTAACCAAACTGAGAGTTTTGCTGGACAATGCCCTGTCTGATTGCCCTTTTTAATTGACACTCTGAAAGCAACGGAAATCAAGTCATGGCTGCCCTTGTTTCAACCGTTCACATCAACGATCTCTCCACTTTGCATTTGGCAACCCGCGCAAATTTGGCGGGAAAATAAAGATGACGTCAGTATCATCGCGCTCAGCAAACTTCCAGGTTTCTGAAGACACAAAACTTTTTTCCCACAAAACGGTAAGGTTGCACCGCTTACCTTCGTTTTTACGTTGTTTTTCGGCCATTTTTTGCAAAAGCATATCCTGTTAACGATGTTAAACTCATTGCTGTCGTATTTGACCTCACCAGATAATTTTTGGCATAAAGTTTATCTTCTAAGTTGTCAGGTCCCTTTTCATATTCTGGCTGTAGGCTTGGTCGCTACCTGAACTGCTTTTAGTGTTAAATGGCCTTGAAACCTGAAGATGCTTGAAACCAGAAGATGCCACTGCAGCAGCAGCGAGTTTCAGATAAAGACTTCCACGAAATGGCGAGGCATTTATTCAGCCGGGTCCACAAATATGAATGCCTTCAACAATGTAAGCCGATTCAAAATGGGAATTTCAACACCTTTTGTTTCGCCGGAGCCACAAAAACAGGACAACATTTTCAATAAACGATAAAGGATCATCCAAGTATTCACATTGAAAAACCATGGCGAGGTTTCATTTATTCAAAGATAACCGTACCATGAAGGTCCACCTTAACAAAAAATGGAGTACAAGGAATAACTGAGAAACTGAATTTGAATTCAAAATCAAATTCATTATCATTTTGTCTACGATTTGATGACCGATTCAAAAATGCTTACCTGGATTAAAACTTAATCTAGATTAGTTAATTTTTGAACAACAGGGCCCTTTTGTTTCTTGAGCCTAAGTGATGATCATTGATCTATCAAGCTTCCCGCTTCCCAAAAGAGGTAAACTTGATTTTTTTTACGTTGCAGCCCTTTTCAGAAATAAAGTACGCGGTGGCTGAGAGTTAGAGTGTATGGTAACTCAACAACTTTAACTGACAATTTTTTGGCGTTGGAAGACGATTTATGTTGAAGACCTCTTTGTTTTATGAATTTGCTCGTCTCTCTTCTTTAAAATAATCTTATAGAAAAACACCAATGAAATACCATGAGGGTGAGCTTTCGCGGGAAAACATGATATCTTCACACGTGAAAATAGCATGTTATTTTCACGTGTGAAAAGATCACCGCTGCTACGGCTACATGATAAATCGCCCCTTTCGTAGCAAAAAAATATGTAAGTGAAATGATTTGGCATTTCATTGGTGTTTATATAATAAATAGAACATTAAATGGCCGCTTGGAGATACGAAATTTTTCCTCTCGTGCTAAAAAATATTTGCCAGTGAACGTGTTGAAAAATATTTCACTCGTTCGCTGCGCTCACTCGAACACAACCCTCGAAGGGAAATTTCGTATCTCCGCGTGGCCATGTAATATCCTCTATTTAAGTTATGTATTTACTTTATTTGATGTTATTTTATTCCAGTCCATCTGCTAAAATCATGTGATGTAAATTATGTAATTATTTATTACTTGAGTTTCGATAAAAATAATTGTTGTTGTTGTTGTTGTTTTTGTTGTTGTTGTTTTTGTTGTTGTTGATGATGATGATGATGATGACGTATTAGTGTGCGAATTTGTTTTACTTCTTTTCTTTTCTTAAGTTACCAGGACAAGAACGCAATCAACATAATACGATGAGTCCTTCCGCTCAAACTGGATCGCATACAGAGCAAGGAGGTAAGGAAAACCCTGTCTGTGGACTAAATATAATATACAGTCATACCTCTCTACATGAAACCTGACGTCTAGCGAGAGTGTCTGGAAGGTAATCTCGGGATCCGGGATTTCACCCGAAATAAAACACGGGATTCGAGAAAATGCAAAATTCATTTACGGAATATGGGATTGGACCACTTCTCGGGAGGCGGGATTCGTCGAAATCTTAGCATGGGATGCTGTATTGGGAGAAAACGATATTCGGGATAGGGACGGGATGGCAGAAGTCCGGGATGTTGGATTGCCGGGATCAGGATCACCCCTTTCAGACCCTGTTACCTAGCAGCTAGCCTCTCCACAATGGTCACAGCCGTTGTGGACAGATGTCTAAGCGACCGTTGTTGATGCTGTTTATTTTGAATACGGGGAAGAAGCGATGTGACGAGACATTAATCTTGGGGTATGAAAAGATGAAACATTTCTGTTTTAACCTAAATTGTTCACAGCATAAGTGAGTCTGATATTACTTTGTACAGCCTGACCTGTATACATGTGTGATAAATGGCCGTTGTTGGGATGCTGGCAGTTGGTTGATAAGATTGAATTTATGGGCTATTCACTTTTACATCTCTTCCGCGCTTAAACGACAACAAGACCGTCCCGGCCTTGAATAATCTCCCCAGAAAGATAAAATCGAGTAAGAGAAGCTTTGGGTCCTCTTTTACATGATACAGGCTTTAATATCGTAACTTATTTTTTAAAATCCATTTCACTTCTGTCTACTAAAACAGGGTCTTTCATGCACCAGGATAACATTCATTTAGGAGGTAGCGATGACAAAGCGAGGCTTGAATCAGTATTACGAGGTGATTTCAGCGTACTTTGTTCTTAAAGCTGTCCACGTCACAACACAACAGCAACAAGAAAATATCTCAGTTTTCGCCGCAAGGTTGTTACTACGTGGGCTAAGCGACAACAAAAACCCAAACTAAGCAATACGAGAAACAAAAACAGGTTACCAGGACTGATCATGTTAGCCCCCTTGCAAAAAACTCGCTATACAATGTCTAAAAATCTATGAATAAAACAATGGTACAGTCAAACTCCATTGATACGGACATTGGGGGGGGGGGGGGGGGGCATAGAACTGAAGTGCTCGTATTAACACTGCGGGTTGAATTTAAAGAAAATGTAAGGTCTCAAACACAATTGAGAGATTTAGAGTCACGTTTAAGGGAAACGGCAAAAGTCAATCCGTGCCAACCTGACCAAGTTTTCTTCTTCCTTTTCGTTTACTGTTCATTAATGTTCCAAAAATATCAGTAGTTCCTCGTTAGTTTGTCCATAAGAATCGTTTTGGACTGTTTTTATCTGCTTATTTTCCATTTTGAGAAAGCCTCAAGTTTATCGTTTTCCGTAAACGTAACTCTAAACCTCTCCAATTTTTATCAGCCCAGCGGGCTTCACTTAGGCCTGGCCTAAATGTAAAACCGAGGACCGGGAGCCAGGGGGGGCGGGAGCCCGGAGCCCTGGCCCCTCAAGCCCCTCCCCTAGATCCGCCAGGGCAGTCGGTTAAATCTTAATGCTGGACAAAACGGCTAACGCCTGGCGTTTGACCTTAAAGTCAGCCCAGTTAAATTCTTCAAGTCTAAATTGTTAGAAGCTAATAGTTACGTAAGACATCCGGTTTCACTATGCCAGTAACTAGCCGCTAGATTACCCATGGAATTGGCCTAAAGAAATGTTGACTCCTTTGTTATGTGTTTTTGTGGACTTTCGTGGTGCAGTGCACAAAGTTCAATAGCATTCCTATCATTTTGATCCTACTGACCAATATAAACGCCGCATTAATTTATTCAGTCACATTTGTGAACAAAAAACAAAGAATTGCATGTGCACCAACAGGGAGCCTCCCAACATGTACTGTAGCACTGTTATTTTTATCTCTGATGTTTGCCTACTTTCATAACCCGTCTCCTTCACTAACTTAGTTTGAAGGAAGGAAAAAAGTGGTTAAGGACAAAAACATCAACGGAAACATCCTGCTGTGTCCTATAAAACCCAAGTCACGGACACACGATTCTCGGAATCGCTCCCTTTTATATGAAATTGGCCGGGCCGCTTCTAACATAAGCTAACACGGATGTAAACGAAACTTCTAAATCGACATTAACGTTATTTTTTTTTAATGCCACAGACCTTGGACAAGATATGAAAATGATTTATTTAAAATGGGCACAGCCTTTTGCGTAAGTACTCCTTGCAGTAATTTATGTAAAATGACAGCAGCCAATTCAGTAGGAAAACTCAGAGAACCGTCATGGTACTGAAGGTATGAGAAAAATTATAAGCGTTGAAAAAGGTAGATTAATACATGGGTCTCGTTTTGTTTTTTTTTTTCCTCATATTTTCAGAGAGGGCGAGGCTTTTGAAGGGTTTTGTCCCGCAAGACTTGACGAGCTATTGAAAGAGGCGTTGAGGTTGGAACAGCACCTCAAGAATCAAAAAGAACGTTTGAGGGACAGGTTAACCCTAATTACACGAACTTTACAGGCACCAGTGTTGTAACATCATTTCTTACTTGCCAAAGATAATTTAAAAATTTTTGGTTGCAAATGCCTCTCCACTTCGAAGAACGTTTTCCTCATGAATTTCAGTGATAAATAGATTCAAAATTCTTTCATCTCTCTCTCTCTTTGTACATTTTTAACTTTCATTTTTAGTGTCAAATACCACGATGTAGCATAAACAACGTCTATTTTTTAAGGACATCTCTCGTATCTTGAACTAAGTAACTTTCCCTGCTTAATTGAGTTCCTTTTACCAAATAAAAATGGTCAATATAAAGCCCTTTTCTGGTTTTAATATTTTCCAGTGCTTTTCCCATCCTCTATCCGTTAAGTCCACTTGAGTAGCAGCGCTCAATATCTCATAATTAACTCATTCAAGATGTAATAAACGTGGTAATGTTTTTAGTTCTTTATTACTATCTACACAACTATTCGTCATTATCATCGCTGCTGCCTTCTTCAGACGAGGACCACAAAAGGACTTTCTTGACAGAAAACAATGTCAACCTTTTCCCAAATTGTCTGAAACTGAAGCTTTTTTCAGGGGGAGTCTGGATGTCTACATGTTGGTGGCTTGCCGAGCACAGATCCCGCCGATGGAGCTTTTGTTAATATTGTGCCTTTCATATTTATAACCTTCTCTTTCTATTTTTATCCACTACGTATTTAGTATCGCAAATTGATACAGGTTGCCAAGTAAAGGCGTTAGGAAAGGAAGTAAATATAAAGCACGCTGGACTGAGTGAAAAACCGGATGGAGATTAAATGGTTTGGTTAAAATCAAATCCGTACCTTGTAAATGAGCAAACAATTCTCAATCTAGATCTAATTAAATACGTTTATTGATTAATACAACATCATTTAATACATGTTAGTCAAATAGACCTTCATTGAAAGCAGCATAAACTGAGTTGAACCTTAAAATAAATAAATAGATAGATGGGTTTTCGGTGTCATACCCCTTACCCTTGTGGCAGATTAGGATTCCATCCCGAAGGGGATTTTGAGTTAAGTATCATTCATCGTTAAACTTTTCCTGCCTAATGATCTGCCACAGGTCTTTTTTTTATTAGGCAGTCTAGACCGTCTTTAAAGACCTTTGTATAGTGTCAGTTTAAGATGGAGATTAGTCAGTAAAAAACTGTTTACCAGTCTTATAAGTAGATCTAAGTTTAGTTGTTAATCAACTAAACAGTCTCTTCTGATGGTGTATGAAGTATCATAGTGAAATGGCAAGTACAGTAAAAGCCCGCGCCTAAGAACCTGTTAGGCTAAAATTTGCCAGTCGAGCCTTCTCTATATAAGAACCTGTTCAGCCTAAAATTTGAAACAAGTGCTTCTTTTCTAAAATCTATGAAAAAAGATCTGTACACTTGGGCAAATAAGATAAATCAACATTCAGGATCCTCTTTGGAGACATAGGTGCCTTATCACTCCAACTGCAATGTAAACGCCAATGTTTTAAAAGCAATGAAATAAAGTTGTTATCGATACAATTGCAACAAATGTATATGTTATGTCCTGAAATAGGACTTAAGTGAAAATTCTTCGAGGTCAATGCTTTAGTTCTTCTTTTATGGTCATTTTTGCATAATTTGGTTTGTAGATTTTATGTGAGGAATAAGCTGAACCACTAAATACTCTTAGCTATATTGTAATCTTAACTACCATTTATATATTAAGAACCTGTTTTAATAGGCTAATTTGGAAAACTCCAGGTTCTTCAAAGTCGCGGGGTTTTACTGTGTTCTGAATAACGTTTTGAAAAATACGTTTGTCTTCCCTGATGTTTGTAAAAAGTTTATTAGTTTCGAAAAACCTTATTGGGGACCCGGGAAGGGGTACAGTATTTCCTATAATGGCTGACAGTGGGTGATTCCGCCCGAAAGGGGTACTTTCTTAAGGCTTCAGGTATTTGAGAGTGTAGGGATTTCGCTAAATGAAGTACACGGACGGGTAGGGAAATTTGTCATTTTGACCTAAAGGGTGTAACGGAAAGATTTTATGGCTGGGACTGCGACTCCGACTCCGTTTCTAGTCAACGTCTACAATTTTTTCCGAGGATTTAGCTGCTTCATGTCCTTAACGGCGAGGCGTGTCTGCGAGGCAGCTGGGTTCTATTATACAAACAATTCGACACAGTTTACGTGTGCTTTTACAAGCTGGAAAATAACATGTCATGACAACTGCCAAAAATTCCTTTCAGTGAGAGCACTTGAAAGACAGACGTCAATATCAGTGCCTGACTTTGCAAAATCTTGGAAAAAATTAGGTTGAGCGTTTGAAGTATGTCACGTCTTAGTGGTAGCTTACCCCTGGTTAATATCCTAACACCGATGAGGGCAAAAGCTGCAAAGTTTGGGTGAAATGCCATGGTCCGCTCGTTACTCTTCTACACTCCTCCTCAAAATGTCAGTGCAAATTTGTGTCATAAACATTTCATTTCCGTTGTCTGCAATTTTCTAATTATAACAATAAGTCCATTTTTCTTTCGCATTAATTCTTTCAACAATGCGGCACAACTTCCGCTCTCCTTTTTGTAAGTTAATGATATTAAGTCAGGTCTTACCCTGTTGATTTCATGCCGGACAAACGTTGTTTTTAGCAGCTTATATCAATTTTAATAATTTCATTTTTGGTTCGTTATTTATATTGTAAAGCAAAACCAAATCACGGAAGTGAATGATTATGACGGTACATAACTGCACATACTTCTTCTCTGAATATTCCATGCAATGGTGTCCTTAGAGGTAGAGAGCCTCGGATCAAAGCTTTGAAAACCGCGAACAAAAGAAAATAAAAACTGGTAAGAATATTTTATCTTTAGCACAATTTACAAGATATCTTAAGGCAAAGCTCAGTTACACTGTTGTGCTCTCGGGAGAGTTTGAAACTTCGTCTCAGTATGCATTTATTCGTTCGGATTCATACGCAGTCTTCAAAAGCGTTTGAGCTCCTTTCGACGCACTGGGTCCTTTTTCAAACGCTTCTTTTCATTGGTATATATCCTCAGGTTCAAGACTGTCCGTCATTTTCTCTTTATCATATGTGAACTAACATTGTTGCACTTAAAAAAAGTTGATATCAAAACTTCGTTTCAAGCTTTTAAAATTCTCAAAAGATTACGAACATGGCAGCAGAGGGGTTCCTCTTTCAGACGCATAAATCAGCCTATATAGGACCTGGCCGTTCGCCGATAAGATGTTGTAATCCACAGAGCCTCGTTAATGGAGCAAGAAACGTAACAAATTGAATGATTTTGCTCATTTTTTAATATTTCCTATTATTTTGGAGTAATTGCCAATGGGCGGTGGGGGGGCGTCTATTAGACAGGGTCTTCTGATACAAACTTAACATCGCAGTGGGAGCGCTTATAAGACACGAGGCCTTTTTTAGAGGGGGCGCAAACCTGGTCAATTACATCATTTAAAGTAATTGTATCTTTTGCAAATGAAGTTTATCGTAGGTCGATCAAAACATGTCTTGCTCAAAATTTTAACTTGCCCATTTTTTTCAGAGATTCCTGTTTGTCTGTCTTTTCCAAACCACTTGGTATAAACTATCTAAGTAGCAACCAATTACAGCGGCTAAAAGTTAAAATAATACAGCTGGGGTAGTAAATGTTCCTGTATTTATTTTTAAAAGGCTTTAAACGATGAAAACATTATAAATTGTTGTCGACTTCTCCTTTCTCACCAAGATGAGCCGACTTGTAAAAGCTGGTGAGATGAAAATGGTTTAAAATCAGCGTTTTCTCCAAAGAAGCTACTTGTTGCGGATACTTTTGTCACGTACAACTGAACTGAGTAAATGAAGAACCTAAGGCCCCGACCACACGTATCCAGATATTTGTGAATCCGCAACTTTTTGTTTCCGGATTTCCACATGTAACCGTATTCAACTCGAATAGGTCACTTCCGAGTTCCAAAATTCCTCACTTTCAAAAGTGCACAACCTTCCTTGAGAAAATGGGTTTTATTTGCATGAGAATGAAAAATCATTTCCATATCAAAGGCTAAGCATTTAACCTCGGTTTGATAGAATTAAGGCCCGGGGGAACTCGGAAATGGCCTATTTTCCCGTCCACGCGTATCCGACCTATATCCGGATTCACTCTCGTACCCAGGACTCCTCTGGGAATATTGGCAACAGAGCATGCGTCGAGGTCTCCATTTTTACTACTACATGAGAAATTTCTGCAATCTGATTGGCTTAGAGAAATGGTATTTCAGCTTAACTTGAAATACCCACGTGTGAAAATTACAAAACTTTTGTGGGCAGTAGTATAAACAAATAATAGCATGTTTTGTACGTGATCTTTGGCATAAATACCACTCGTGATTTTTCAAAATTGTCTCAAATTTCATTCGCCTAACGGCTCGTGAAATTACGTATAAGAATTTTGGAAAATTACTTTTGGTGTTAACATGATTAATGCCAAATATCACTACCGACTAATCATGCTATTACCTATACAAATACAGTATTCACGGTAAAAACTGTCGGGACCCAATTGTTCGAAAGGTGGATAACGCTATCTCTCGCTATCCACTTGACCTGACTTGATGGCGAACGATTAGAAATTTCGTATCGTTAACTAGAAAGAGTCTGAAACAAGGCTACTAGGAGTGAACTTCCAACAGAACTTTAAATGGCATGATCATGTCAAGGACATCTGTGATGCTTCTTATGGAGTCTTACACACATTGCGAAAATTAAACCATTTTACGTAGGAGACTTGCAGAGTCGCTTGTATTATTGCGGCTCGACTACAGGGTGTCCCAAAAGTTCGTTCTCCTAATTTCATGAGCTACAACTTTTGATAAAAACTTATTTTTACATGAAGTTTCGAAAAGATGTTTATTGCTCTATGGGGTACATGTATTCAGAAGTTCAGTAACTGGCATGCCCACTTTGTTTCTTTAATTTCACTCTGTAGTAGTTGCGGCATTGAGTGGTATAAGTCATGTGACGTGTAGAGCCACAGATGATTCATTT